GAAGACTTTTTCTCCTACCTCAAATACCCTGTTTTGTCTGTGTGGCAAGTTGTGTCTGTTGGAACTTTTCAATTTTCTTTCTGATAATTTCCCTGAATTCATCAGTTGACGAGTGAATCACTTCTATTGGTTTTTTGCCTGTCACTGAGTGCAACGATCGATTGTACTCCAGGGTTGCGTGCAAGATTAGTTCGTTGGTATCGTCGATCTTTCTTTCTAGTTTAATGCATCTTGCAATTTCTGATAGCGTACTGTGGAAACGTTCTACTTGGCCATTGGAAGTACTATGCAGCGGTGGTGTATTTACCACTTCTATTCCAAAACTGTTCCTTAGTAGTGACGTAATGGTCTCTGAATTAAAGAATGCTTCATTGTCGCAATATACGACTTTGCTTTTGGAAAGAAATTTATGGCTTGGATAATAGGAGCTTTTACGTCTGCTATAGTACGCGACACTATCGGCTGTACTATTGCAAATTTAGAGAATTTATCAATGCACGTCAGTAATTGCTTCTTGCCGGTTGAGTAAATGTCAATGTGTAACCGTTCGTCAGGATATGACGGCGTTGGTGTTTTTCCGAGGAACTGCTTCTTTGGATGCCTGTCGTACTTGCCTCTAGTGTAAGTTTTGCAGTTGGCCACTATTTCTGTGACCAGTTTGGTCATCTTGGGGAAATAGTACTCTTCCAGGATTTGCTGTACGTTTTCCTGTGCGGCCCTGTGAGCTCGATTGTACTCTGTTGTGGCGATATGCCTTTGCTCTGCCTTGTCGATTATGTCGGTTACCATATTTTTACAGCACCAAAACTTCGTCGACGGGAAAATTTTCATTAACTCATGTTGGACACACGCCAGTGTTGGCAGATCACAATGTAGTGCATTTACAACGTTAGGGTTAACTACCGCGATTACTTCTTTCAAGACTGTGTTCTTGTCTGTGAAATGAATCTTGTGGCGTGTTTTCCCGCCGAAGAATATAAAGTTTCGTTTTAGACAAAACAATGATTCATCTAAGATTATTTGATTCCTGAAACAGTTCACAGGTTTTTCCGCAGCCTCTATTGTGTAGGTTAAGGATAATTCGCTATAAATTATCGCAGCATCGGATATTACTTCATTTTGCAAAGCATTCACATTTTGCCGTGAAAGTGCGTCTGTAACATGGTTTTCTTTACCCGGTTTGTAGTGGAGTTTTGCGTTATGTTCGTCGATATACGCTTTCCATCTTTTTATTTTCGCGTTGGGGTTTTTGTCCGACACAGCGAACGTTAATGGCTGGTGGTCTGTGTAAATATTGATATCCCTTGTACCATATAAGTTATGTTGAAGCTTTGCCAAGGGCCAAACTATGGCCAACAATTCCCTCTCATTGGTGGCGTAGTGGGTCTCACTTTCCTTTAATGATCTAGAAATCATTGTGATGGGTCTATTATCTTGTGATAATACGGCCCCAATACCATGATCAGAAGCATCCGTCGTTAGATCGAAAGGCTTCTTGAAGTCAGGGTATCTGAGGATAACATCCTCTGAAGCTAGGATGTTCCTTAGTCTTTGAAAAGCATCTCGTTGGGGAATGCCGAAGTCGACAATGGCCTTCCTGGACATGTGTTTGCTTACTAACTCGTTTTCCCCTTTCAGCAAGTTTGTCAATGGCTTTGCTATTGTTGCAAAGTCTTTAACAAAGCATCTATAATAGCTGGCCATTCCCAAGAAGGATCGAAGCTCATATAAGTTTTTTGGTTCCGATGAACCCAAGGTACTCTATGTTTTGTTTGAAAAAATGAGTCTTTTCTTTGGAAACTTTCATGTTAGCATCGCATAGGCTCTTTAAAACCCAATCAATATGCTTTACATGATCCTCTTCGTTCTCGGAGAAAATTATTACGTCGTCTACGTAGACATAGCAAGATTTGCCTATCTGTTCACGCAACACGTCATCGATCGCCATTTGGAAGATGCTACCAGCATTCTTCAATCCGAATGGCAGTCGACAGAACTCATATTTTCCCCCATTTACGGAGAAAGCGGTTTTAAATCGAGCGTTGTGAAATATTTGGTTTTATCCAAATTTGCCAACATCATGGAGATGTTAGGCATTGGGTATTTATCGGCGACGGTTTTTTCATTTAGTTTCCTAAAATCAATTACCACCGCTTATTTCTGTTTCTATTTTCGTCGAAACCCTTTTTGTCAACAACCCATATTGGGTTACTATAGGGTGACTTGGAAGGCCTGATGATGCCATTTTCCAGCAGATCGAAAGCGTTGACCCCCATCGGGTGTGGATATAGCTTTGAATAGACCGCGTTATCATCTATTGTGCGCACTGTGGCCACAACAGACGTATTGAACGGTAACGCCTCGTTAGAGGTCGAAAATGCTTTAGATCTATTCAAAATCATGCTTCTAAATTTGGCTTTTACAGTTTCTGGCACTACGATGTCATTCACGTTAGTGAAATTGACGTTATCGCAATAATGGTGCTGTAGCTTTTCAGTCTCAGTTCCATAATTGATTGTGCCTTTTTCGGCATTAAAGGTTGCTCCTACCTGCGTTAGCAGGTCGAACCCAATGATACCATCAAACGGTGCTAGAGATTCTAGCAAGAAAAATGGAGCTGTTTTCTCAAAAATTTTCATTGAACACTTACGGGTTATTTTGTCAGAACCATGGATGGAACTAACTGTAAAAGGAGAGCTGACCGGGCTTACATTCTTAAGCGCTTTTACGGGCTTAATGTAATTTTTGGCCGCTATTAACATTCTTAGTTTTCTCCCAGCCAGGTTTTGTTCGATGAACGGCAACCGGGAGCGCTCCCTAAAAAATGTACCAGGTCATTGTCACTCTCAGCGTCGTGCTCCTCTTGAGCTTCCGCAACTGCGGCTTCGGCCGATTTGTAATATTCTTGGTCTTGGTTATCGGATGCATGCTGAATCGTGTTCTGCACCCGTTGACGTCTCTGATCCGACATTCTTTCGGAACCCTGTCTTTTTTGGCCTTGCATGTTCTCATTTTGAGGCCTACTATTTTGACCCTTTGCAAACTGCGTAGGCAGTTTGTACCTAGTCATAGTGGAACCAATTTCCATGGGCTCTGGTGCCTGGCCTTGATCATGTTTGGGGCTCTGATAAGCATTGCTTTGCTGCTTATTCAGTTTTCTGACAAAATGGGGGTTCCTGTCTTGGCCGTGTTCGAGCCTGTTGTTCTTTCCCTGCTTTTCTTGAGTACGCGCCTGGTAACTATTGTGCTCACTTGCCTGCGCCCTGTCTTCCATTGCTTTTTCATATGTGGCTGACAGAATTCTACGTTCTATGCTAGCCTCAGCTTTTTATTTATTTATTTATTTATTGATACATTTGTTTTTTTTTCTAACTTTGTTGTTAATTTTTCCTGCTATTTGAACATTCTACTTACATGTTTCTTAGGGTGTTTCTATCTCTTATTCTCCTTAGTGTAGGTTCTATTTAGAGTTGGGCGCCAATTATTAAAGTTGGATGATTCCGGTCCCGCGAAGTTACAGCTGGGATCCAGTTGTGTTGTGATTAGGTTGTCGTTTACGAAGATTACGTTGGAGAGTTGACTTCCTCTCTTTAATTACTAGCCTTGTGGCTTAGCAATATGAATAATTAAAAACAACAATATTTAACGGCTGAACGCCGGAGCAAGTGACTTTATTTATAAACGTCTAAAACTGAACTAACTTGGTGCCGCCAGCGAGCTGAAGCACAAGCCAAGCAAAGTTATTACATAATATAAGAACTTAAGAGATACAAAATAGCAGTCGGCAAGCCGACTTGACTCCAGCGATAATGCTGATCTTGCGGCATGTGCAAGATATCAGGTTACCGCCGATGGCCTGATACTCTCGGGTGTTGAACTGACATTTGCCCAATCCGCACAATGCTTTTGGTCTGCTTATGTCGTTCAACTATTCCGAGGGGTACTCAGTAAGTGATACCACTGTTCTCGAGGGGCACTCGTTAACTTATACACGACTATTGGCATGTAAATGTGCTTCCGTATGTATGTACGCACGCGAACCACTTCGCATCTAATGCACCTAAAGACTTTAAATTTGGAATATATGCGTTTGAAGAAGTGTTATGATTTTCCCGATATGCCTATTTGGGTCTGGGCAAATCTGGTAATGCTTTATCTGTTATGTCAGAAAACAGCACATTGGACGGGGTTCAAGGTATCTCTTAGACGGGCACCCCGACCATAGCTTTCTTACTTGTTGTTTTACAGCGCTTCCACTTGAAAGTTTTAAAAACTTAACTGGGTTTTTGCTATGCTCGCCTGTCTGTGTAAATACAAATTCGATTTTATAGATACAGAACTGCATAAAATAGAAATAGAACGAAATACAAATTTCAATTCTCTAGCTGTTATAGGTTTGAGGTCGACACCTTGAAACATACAAGCAGTCGAAAGGAAAAATAGACGGACATGGCCATACTTCTCTTGTTAGATTCTTTTTAATAAAACCATTATACCCTGATTTGCGGATATACTTTTGTCGTAAATACAATGCGCATAAGAAAAGGCATAGATAATATGCCGACGCTAATAGGTGACGTGGCAAGTCGCCATTATCTATATCTTCTAAAGTTGAATAGTTAGAAATTCAATTATTGAGGTACGGTACCTCTGTAGATAAATTTAAAAGATCTATTAGTGCCAGTTCGGGATGTAATATATTGAATATGCCATACAATTCGCAAATTTTTAGAACGAAGGCTCCAAAAAACTTTAACGACTAAGTTACTGTTGACCGCCACTATGTGTCTACTAAAATATATGTATCTATAAACTCTCTGCCAAAGGTTTGGAGTTCGTAGGCTTTTTTCCGACTAGAGCACTCCTATTTGTGCTGTTCTTAGCATAACAATAAATATTAAATATAGAATTGATTTGATGTTTAAAGATTTGAATTATTCAACAATATCTCAAGAACTTTACAGAAGTTTTGAATACCAAATTTAATGAAATTAGGTGCATAGGTAACAAATGTTGAGTTTAAAATTTTTGTAAAATTACAAAGGTTCAATTTCTTAAACAACTACAAATTTTCACATTATTTGGGCTCGAGTGGTAAATAACCTAAATTAATTCGCAACTGCTCATAAATAATAAACAATGATATTGTTGCTGGTGCCTTTCGAACAATTGTGGGCATCAAACCACGATAGGGGCTCAAATATCCAAATCGCATCATATACTTAATAGCATGGAAAACAGTAGGAAACTGACTAGGTGGTGCATTCATCATTAAAGTCTTGAGAACATCAAAAGGTTGCGAAACAATTGATTCGATAATTGACGTAATAATTGAACTTTTCAAGTGCAAGTGCACGTCATCTTCTAACATAAAACGCTCATGAAGTTCACTTTTTACCTACTCCAAGGGAAAAAGAGGCAGCCAATTATAATTACGTATTACAATACGGGGCCCAAAATATGTATTTACTTGGTCATAAACTGCTAGCTGGGCACAGTTTCCAACAGCTGCTTTCAAGACTGCAGCAACACCTCCACTATATAAGGTCATCCAGCCCTCTTCTTTGGGGATCCGAATCAGAGCGTCCATAAAGCTCTTATAACTAAGATAGTTTTGATAGAATTAAAGTGCGAATATGCATTAAAAGAGTTTGAACATCAAATATGTACTTTCGTCTTAAGTGCTCATCATATTTCATATCGTTTTGCATCCGCACATTTATCACATCCATTGGTAAACCAACTAATGATCCAACTATGCCAGCAAAACTAGCTACATACAATTTGTTAAGCATAGAATTTGAGTTTTCCAATATTTCTAAGTGCTTGCCGTTCTCATACAGAGAGAAACGAAGACTTGTGCATGTCATTTGACGAAGGGCAGCCGCCGTAAAACCATCATAAAACCCTAAAAAGCCTACGATAGAATGACAGATGAAAGCATCTTAACATGAATGTAAATAAAATATATGTTTAATTACCTCTTAAGCGTATGACTTTGAGAGTTGTTTTTAACATACTCTTCTTTTGTCTCTGTGTTTGCATATGTGTCTTGATTAAATCGAAAGGGGTTAATACACAAGCTACACAGGTGGATGCCACACCACCAGACCACCATCGTGGTCGCCGCAACACACGATCGTCAGCCAGTACCTTGTGATGTGCTTTTGATTATGACCAAAATAAGACATTCCACCAATGTAGAAAGAACTTCAAAACAAAAATGTTCTCTAGCGAAAATAATAATTTAAAAAATTAACTACCTACTGTGGTAAATATCTGTCAAAATTATTATTTAAATGACAGCTATTGACTAAAAATACCCCACAAGTCGGACTCAATTACAACTGTTTTCAAACTTTTTTGTATCTACACGTAGTGACTTAAATCCACAAACATACAATAATTTTCTGCAAAAAAAAGAAGTTTCACCTGAATGATTCAAATGATTCACATCATAAGTTTTCCTAAGCCATATCAAACTTAATTTTTTGTTAATCATTGCCATTATAGCTCTACCTGTGGAGAAACAACTAACAGTACAATTACACTGTGTTAATTTGTTATTGCCAATCAAAAGAGGATGTCAACTTTAATATTTGCTATTCTATTGAGTTTGTTGTATGTATTCCAAATTGAATCATGCACACATACATTCGAACTCACAATCATGCGCTCTGATTTCTGCGGATGTAACGCAGAAAATGCACTTGGATAGCCATATACTTTGAAAAAAACTTTTCTTTTAGATGGACTTTGGTAATCTAATACAGAGCGTGTATTTATTTGTCAAGGCACAAGGCTCTTGCATTGGAATTACGTTTTTTGTAAATTTGGGGGAAAATAGAGCGCATATTTGGGAGAAAATTTGGTAGTATACTAAATCAAAAATATATTTATTTATCATAAAAACCCCAACATTAAATTAATTGTTTCCATCTTTTTTGGTATTCAAGCCTCATTTAATAATACTAATTAAATTGGATGAGTTATCGAAAAAAGTTATTAACTCGTACTTCATATGGTATACAAGTATGCATATAAGATCGCTGCGTTCGCTGAATTACCACTTTGAAGGGGCTCAATAAATAAACATACGTTTCTGTAGTTTTCGATAGCACTGTGTTCATTCGGGCGAAAATACACACAGACGGACATGGCTCGAACGACTCAATTCGTCGGATTGAAGTATGGCTTCAAAAGTGGAGAATAATAGTGAACACGCCAAAGTCAGTGCAAGTTACATTTTCTCTGAGACCTGGAAGTTGTCCTGCAGTCACATTAACCGGTAATGTTATGCCTGTTAGTGAAGCGGTAAAATATCTAGGTGTTCAAATCGAAACGAGAGCAGCTTAATGTGAAAACCTGGAAAATATAGTGGCTGTTAGGACCACGTTCTGAACATAGTCTTGAAAACAAATTAAGACTATATAAGGCCGTACTGAAGCCAGTGTGGACCTACGCATTGCAGTTATGGGGTACTGCTAGTAATTCAAATATCGAAATTATACAGCGATACCAGAACAAGACGCTCAGAATGATTCCATGTGCACCCTGGTATGTGACTAATTATAATATCCACAAAGATGTTAAACTGCCCCTTGTTAAAGAAGAAATACAACTATATGCAAACAAATACATGTATGCATAAACTACATAACCACGATAATGCTCTAGCACAAAGACTACTGGATGACTCAAGCATCCACAGGCGACTCAAAAGATTTCATGTCCAAGACCTGTCCCACAGAAATAGATAAATATGTAAAGTAGGTAAATATATGGATGGATCCCATTGGAGCCCAAGCCATCCGGTTACTTAATATTATTGTTAACAAATTTGTTTATTGTCTAGTATAAGACAGATTGCAAATAAAACCAGCAATTAAAAAAAAAATATATATATATAAGTTAATGTTTCTCGTCTTCACTTGTTTAAGTTTTACGAAATGAAGACAAAGGTATTTTTGTTCTGTGCCGGTTTAATGTTCAAATCAGAAAAATACAATAGGATTCTTATATGAAGCTAGCCCTGCCCTATATTCGCTGATACAGCGATTTGGCCAACGGATCATGTGATTCTTATATGGTACGTTGACCGCGTACCCAAGGGTTCTTGGAATTCGCTGACTGCAACATCATTGCAACATTATTCTGTGCAACGATCGAGTTCGGAGCTTGCACAAAAAGATATTTGAGACGTTTAACTTATTATTGGCTTATTGCTGATTGGACGTGTTAACTTATATATATATATATGTAAATAATATTATTTTTACATTAGTTTACTTAAGCCCATTCGTTCCTTAGTTAATTTTCTTCAGGATTTTGAAAACATTGAACAAAAGCATTTGCAATCAATGTCATGATAACTTTTTAAAATAATTACACTTTTGAAATTCGATTGTAAAACTAAATTTCAGTTAGCAATAGTACTATGTAACAAGTGCAAGTTAATTTATAATATTGGCTATTCAATTGATTTGAGTTGCATAAGCCTCAGTTAAAACATCGTCCGATTCTATAAAGCTATGCCAAGTTACTTTTCTAAACATCAATTGTTGCATCCAACTTTTTTTCATTCTGAGCTACTTAGTTTTCTAACAATCCTTTAAAAGTTTATATTGATTCACATCAAGAGTGCCCGCTAATGGCGGGAAGTTGACAATACTTACAAAGCAGATCATTCAGTATCACGTCGCTTCAAAGCATTTCGGTTTTAAAAGAGAAAAAAAAAAAAATAAAACAATATAAAAGAATGTCAACTGAGAACAACAAACTGGGGAATTTCTTCGGAGACCAAAAGGTCTCGGACTACAACAGAAAGTGAGTAGTACGTGGATCATTACATTTTTGTATGTCCCCAAAAACAGCCGGCGATAATATATTTCAGAATTATTCCACGCTGGTGGAGCGGTGGGATAGCTGGGGCCTTTACCCATTGTGTTGTTGCGCCTTTTGATCTACTGGAAACTCAAATGATGTTTCTCAGCAAAGACATAAGTATGGTTGACTATATAAAATTTGCAATAAAAAATCATGGTAAGCACTAATTAAATACTAAACACCTTTTATTACCTGAGCCCACTGAAAATGTCAATTCAAGGTATGATGGTTTTGAGAAATTGTATGTGACAGGTAAAAGAAGGCGTGGCAGATTCCAAAAAATATAAATATTCTTGATAACGACGAGGAGCTGAATCGATGTAGTCATGTCCATCTGTACGACGGTCCGTTCGTATGAACACAGCGATCTCGTAAGCCACACAGCCTAGAGGCTAGAATTTAAGTATATCCGAGATTATTACAAAACAAGCTTATTAGAATATTAGCTCTATTCAGTGTTCAGGATGTCACCTAGTCGAGTAGTTTTAACTACAGCACACCTACTCTTTTTATATTCGACCAAGAAAAGTTTATCCATCTATATATATAAAGGCAAAGTCGCAAATATGTATACAACCAGTGTATACTATGTTTTTTACTAAATTCGGGGAAAGGGAGGTATTCAAAAGCAATAGTTATAAAATCTATGTATTCATTACAGGAACCGCCACAATAAAATGGATGCTACAATCTTTTTTGGTAATGAAACGACACTTGTGAGTTATATATTTACATTTTCAACGGGTTCATGGTTTAATCATATTATTGCTATTTAAAGACAAATACATTGTTATATGTATTTGTTAACGGCTTCATACAAATGCAGAGTTCTTAAAATTTTTCACACGATTGAATAAATTGATGTAGCTAATTATATTCATTTCAGGATTTTTATCGCTATACGACGGTCTGAGTGCCCAAATTTTACGACAGTTATCTTATACGACATTACGGTTCCATTTGTACCAAGTGGGAAAGCAGTACGTCGATGATTACAATCTCTTTCACAAGGTGTATGTGGCAAGCATATCTGGTCTTTTAGCGGGGACTGTCGGAATACCATGCGAACTGATTAACACGCGCATGCATGTGGATCGATTACTAAAAGTGAAATATAGGCGAAACTATCGAAACGTGTTTGATGGTATACATACAATATGGCGGAATGAGGGTTTTAGGGCGCTCTATACGGGAGGTTTATGTTCTTTTACTCGCGCCACACTTGTTAATATTGGACAGAATGCGATGTATGATCAGGTCAGCAACTATTTTGATTTTATTATAAGTATCTGTATCTTATATTTACAGAGCAAAATTATGTATAAGCATTACTTTGATTGGGACGACGATTGTAAAATTCTGCATATAACGAGCTCCCTCACTGCAGCCATTTTGTGTGCTCCTGTGGTTCAGCCTATTGAGATACTTAAGACGATGCAAATGAATAGATCGGCTGGTTATTTAACCACAACCTCTGAAAAGATTACGTATATGATGCGTTTCGGTTTCAGAGGTCTATTTCGTGGCATTACGCCGAGTCTATTGCGCATGATTCCACAGACAATTATTATGTTTCTTTTATATGAGCAGTTACGAATTCAGTTTGGCTATTATGAAGAAAAGGTAGACTAGAAGTGTAAATAAATGTAAAATATTGTCGATTTTAGCTTTATTATGATTATCTTTAGACAACCAATTATAAAACTTGAATATTTAAAAAAAGTTCAATATAATTTTATTTCGTTTTTAAAATTTTAATTTACAGTTTTGTATTTTCTAATTGGAGTATTTTAAAGGTAATAACGGGATTTCAATTGTAATGTTAATATATTTCCGATTTTGGTCGATAGTGATCGTTATGATCACTTAATGAAAAATTATAAACTTGTACTGCGTATGTGGTTGTGGTTTACGAGATCGGTGCGTTCATACGGATGGACAGACGAACAGACACTTGGTTAGATCGACTCTGCTCGTCCTAATCAAAACTATATATAATTTATGGGGGACGGGATTCAAGGTATTTCCTAGTTGGACACACCGACCATAGCTTTGCTACTCGTTCTTTTTTATTAACTTTATTAATTAAAATTCTTGATATAAAAATACAGAAATCGTAAAATATTTAAAAAATTAATACAGTAGTTTATTAAAATGTGAAAACTTTCAACTTACGAATAATTTAATAAAACTGAATATTTTGTAAAAAAATAAATATTAATCAAATATAATTCTGATACGAACAAAATATAATAAAATTGAGTCAAATTTATTTATAGAGTTTACCTTACGCTGCATATGTTTCGCCAGCTCCTAATATTCCTGATGGTGGCAGCTGCTGATCCTCGATCCTTTCCACGGTTCTGCCTGACGTCTTTCTTCTTCGATGTCCTTTGGTCAGTTTACTTGTGTTGATGCTTTGTAATTTCACGTTGACTTTCACTTTTTACTTTCATTTTACTGCTCCTTGTGCTGTGCTGCGGCCGCCTATTATAGACCAGTAGTTGACATTCTTGGCTCTAAAGCGGTACCTGCCTGTCGCTAGTGGGAAAATAACAGCTACATCGCCTTATCACCAGTGCAGCCAATTTGGCTATTATTATTATATATTATACCAATATAAAATTATTAAAATGTTTCGGATTATATTTTTATTACTTACAAAATCTCAAATTTGCTTATGTTTTCAATTGGTAGCTCATAGATCAACTCGAGTCATACTTTTTTATCAAGTAAAGTACTTCAAGATATTTAATGCTTGCGGATAATTTCCTTAAGTAAAATACTGAAAATAATATACAAATTAAAAAAAGCCTGGCTGAAGGAATCTTCTAGTGATCACTTTAAAATATCAACTTTCGAAATTGTTAAATGTATTAATTTAAATGCTGTCATCATGTGTTCTGTGTGTTTTATCCGGTTATATATGGTTGTGGTTTACGAGATCGGTGCGTTCATACGGATGGACAGACGAACAGACACTTGGTTAGATCGACTCTGCTCGTCCTAATCAAAACTATATATAATTTATGGGGGACGGGATTCAAGGTATTTCCTAGTTGGACACACCGACCATAGCTTTGCTACTCGTTCTTTTTTATTAACTTTATTAATTAAAATTCTTGATATAAAAATACAGAAATCGTAAAATATTTAAAAAATTAATACAGTTCGGATTATATTTTTATTACTTACAAAATCTCAAATTTGCTTATGTTTTCAATTGGTAGCTCATAGATCAACTCGAGTCATACTTTTTTATCAAGTAAAGTACTTCAAGATATTTAATGCTTGCGGATAATTTCCTTAAGTAAAATACTGAAAATAATATACAAATTAAAAAAAGCCTGGCTGAAGGAATCTTCTAGTGATCACTTTAAAATATCAACTTTCGAAATTGTTAAATGTATTAATTTAAATGCTGTCATCATGTGTTCTGTGTGTTTTATCCGTGTATGAAGATGTTGAACGCGCTTCCAGTAAAATGAAATATATAGTATTGTTCATAAAGAACATAAGATATATAAGAAAATATATTGCTTTAAGTCATTTATTTAAAAATTTTAATTATTATAATTAGAGATGTGGATAGCGCACATCAAATAAATATTGTCATATTTACCAAGGGCCTGCAAAGTACTTAAAATTGTGTATTTATTTTATTTTGTTTTGTTTAGATATTTTTGTTTTCAACAAACTTGTACATATTCAGGTTAACAAAAACCAAGTAGCCCGTGCATTTAATACGTGCGCTCATTTCTCCAGTTTTTGATTCACTTGATTTTTTACTCCAAATTTTCTAGCTTGCTCGACTGAGAACATTATGTTTTCCACCCTTCTATCATGGTATTTACCATTTGGTATTTACCATTATGTTCGTCCTCTAAGAGATCTTTTTATACCCTGAAGGAGGCGTGGCAGACCCCATATAGAGTATATACATTCTTGATCAGGAAGAGAAGTCGAGTCGATTGAGCCCCGTCCGTCCGTCCGTATGTGTGAACCCGATAAATATTCTTGTTTTATTGTTATCGACAAAAAAATGATGAAATGCAGATAGAAATTTTATCTCGCAAGTCTAGAGCTAAGGCCTCCAAATGTATTTAGTTTTATGTATACTTAATGCAATTTAGAGTTTTGTTAGATTTTGGAAATCTGCTCCAAGTTTTCCCAAATTCTTAAAATTTAAGTTCAGTTGGAAATAGGGTCAAAAAGTGAAGATTTTTGGACTCCTACCAAACCAATAAAATATGTAGATCATATGCTGATAATTTCATTAAAGTAAAACAGAAGTTATTAAACAAAACGGTTGGCCAATTTGCAAAAGCACATGTCAAGCAGCGCCACTCATATTTTTCCTATACATGTGGACACATACATTCAAATGCGTGTATTCTTCTCTATTCGAAGAATCGAAATTGCGATTGAATAATGCTTAAATTATAAGCTGCTACTAATCTTGAAATTGGCATCTCCTTGCGTAAGCATTGCAGTGGCGGTGTTGGTAGAGGCGACGCTAGTAAGCAATATCCTCTGGGTTCGAGCCTGGCGGAGAAGGGTTGATGCGCGTTGCGTAGACATTGTGGGTTCGAATCTTGGTGTCGTACAAAATATGGCAAATACTAAAAAACACAGGTTGGGATCAGGGTAGCTCCTAGTCGGGCACCCCGACTAGAGCTTTCTTATGTGTTACTGTGTATGTTATTGAGCCTTGTATTATCCGGCTCGAAAGACTAATGTGAATTCACTTGATTGTGGTGGCGTTCAGTTATGTAATGATCTTTATTTGTCTGAGGGTATAAGAACTCTAACACTGACTCAATCGTATTTCATCTCTTAAATCTAGCTTATCAAGTGCTGAGTGTGTAAGGGACAGCGCTGGTATGTGTAATTTTAGATTAAGAAGTATGTAATTTGATCTATTCCTATTGCACTCGAATTGTTGTATGCTCATGCCTGAACATTCTGTGGGGGCCAAATGTGATAACTGATCTCTGGGACGTCCAGGAACATCGTTGTTTATGCGCTGATTAGCTTGTTAGTTGATAATCCAGTTATATTGCCGAAGACAATCCATCCAAGTTTAGTGTTTTATCCCGGTGTTTTGTTGATTTTCTTCCCTTTTTCCAACATTCGTAGGGAAAGTAAATCAACTCAATAACAACATCAATTTGACTGGGCTTGTTAAAATGTGGGTCTGCTAGTTAGCAGCCATTCCAATCCTTATTAACATCCATGTCAATTTTCTTAGTCGGTAGAGCTCTCTGAAGTTTTGCCATAACAAGTGCCAATGTTGTAGTAACGAATTAACTTTTAAACCTGGGATTGATTGTTAAGCAAACGCTATTTTTAAGAATTTCCCCATTTTGCGAAATTCCTTAAACGTTCCGTTTGCATCTCCCTTAAGCAAACTGTTGTGTGCTTTAGTGCATTGATTGCAAGTCCAATTCTCTTTGCAATCTTCAATGCTATGGGTACCAAGACATTTATAACACAGCGTGTTTTTATACACAAACTCCTTGCAATTTTTAACAGGTTCAGCTCTATCCCTCTGACACGTGGTTCTCTCATGTCTAGTCAATTGGCAAAAACGGCATAGTTTGTAGGTCGTTGTCGTTGCTTCCATCGACGTATGGACGGCACTCTTTTCCACTAAGTCTATTGAGTTATATAGTTGCTCAATAAACTCGATCCCGTTGTCCAAGGACTGAATTTCTCTAGTCTTCTTTACATGTTGCTCGTAAAGTTGTAGGACTTCCGTAGAGAATCTTCGCAACAGAATCTGAGCGAATAGAACGTAAGTTTCGTTACCAAATTGACCTTTTTCTTTGATAATGAATGTCCAAGAACTTGCGAATACTGACTTCATCATTGTTCTTCAGCAGTTCCACGTCCACTAGCTGGTTAACGGCGTTTGCAAATATTTTCCGCTTATTTTCGTAGCGCTTGCATTTACGTTCCCATGCTGAATTATAGCTAGCAGACAAGCCAATTAATAAATGGCCTACGACCATTTTGGCTTCTCCTTTGAGGCATGATTTCAGCCAGTTCAGCTTTTTTGTGTCGCTGATATCTTTCCTGTTGTGAATCACCTCGGAGAATAGTTCGAAGAACGTTGGCCACTCTTTGCGACTTCCATTGAAGTGAGGAAGATCCACTTTCGGAAGATCCACTAGAACGTCTTCTTTTATATTTTGCATGTCACCTACTCTTCTTAGTTTTCTTGTGAGTATGGTGACATTGCATTTTAACTCATCGATCTCATCGATATCAAAGGCAAATTTCGTTGACTGGACTTTCTTCCACAGGAAAATCCACTTGTCTTTATACTCAAGGATCATATCTGCTGAGCTCTAGATTGGCATACACTTTTTGCATATGTTGCCATATTTTTAGAGTTCGTCTGTCCACAAGGTCTACCATCACATCTATTGGGCTCGAGCTTCTTTGGAAAAATATTATTTCCTGCTGCCTGTGCTGTGCCTTGAGTGTCTTTGGTTGGATGGATGCTGTTTGGTCGGTGTGTGGTATGCAACCTCGACTCCCATCAGATACTCTTCGTAGTTCCTGATGTTTTCCATTATGCCATCATATATTTTCTCCATAAAATATTGATGGTCGACGACACCGATTTTGGTCAGAGTTAGATGATTGGTAGTAAACTCTTCTGCCAATTTATCAATGACTGATAACGCATCCTTGTTCGTGATGTTTGATCGGAGTTTCAGCTTTGTGATTGCAGTTCCTTTTTCCAGGTCCCTAACCGTGTGGTCGATATAATTCAGCTTCTTCGAACACGCTAGCCAAATTACACAAGTTTTAGGCACTGCTGCTGCTTCAACTCCTTCCGATCCTTCTTCACGTCCTGAAATTCATCATTCAGAAGCATCAGCTACGTCAGGCAGAACTGGTATAGTAAAAAAAGATGCTAACAAATGTAGCGGTGCCTGTTGTCAATGTCCTGCCCGTGAGCAGCTCCGGCTTTGCTCTCGGGATCGGATCTAGACTCAAACTAAATTTGTCTGCTGACCACTCCGCCTACTCTAATAATAATAAACGTAATATAAATTGAAAACAAAGAAAAAAGTAAGTACTTTCCAGTCGATACCGATTCTTCCGATTTGAAACATCAAGTAGCTTATAAAAATTTTGGTAAATCAATAGCTGCCAACAGTAATGAATTTGTTACATATTCAGTTTTGAGCTGTAAAACTCCACTCCCCCAGTAGGCGTGGACATATAAGAGTGGAAGTTACAGGGAATTTTCTATGAGTCACGCTCCCCAACGCGTAAACCGTTTTTGAAAATGTCAGCAGTATGTTAGCAGTAACTCAATAATCAAAATTTTAATTTTTTAGCTCCACAACTTTAGCAGATAAATTTAAAAATATATGAGAATTTGTTCAAAACACTATTCAATGACCTAGGCTTTGTCATAGGTTTTGGCATCTAATTTATCGTTAACTTAAAGAGGATCCTAACAGTGACTCACAAATTTTGATGTTCTAGCAGCTCTACCTGCTTTGCCAAGCTCCCAATAATATAAGAACTAATTTTTCTAGGATCAGAAATGCGGTTTTAATACGTTATTACAGGTCTTCGTAAGTATACGCAAAGTTAAATATTGTAATTTAAATATGCCATTAAAGCAGATGGCGAGCTGCACCATCACACCTCCAATATGGCGGAGCAAAGGGTCCAAGTGATGCTCCCGTTTATGGAGATTATCAAGTTAAGCCCAACCGAAACTTCCAAATTAAAATTATTTCATCTGAAGAAAATAAGTACTTGAACTGGTAAGGCCGATTCATACGCCCTTGTGTAATATTTAACTGAGCTTTGCTCCGAAGCTTATTAAGTGGGGATTTTTAGTCTCTTTTTGAAATAAATAGTTAGAACTTTAAAAAAACTTGTCCTACGAACATTTTTTCTTTAATTTCTACACAAAACAAGTAAGAAAGCTCTAGTCGGGGTGCCCGACTAGGAGATACCCTGATCCCAGTCCTCTGAGTTTTTAAATATTTTCCGTAGCTTGTATCGAGTATTCAAAAAAAAGAACAAATAAAATCGACATTGCAAAACCAGGTTTCGAACCCGGATTATTTGCGCAACGTGCACCAACTCTACCAACACCGCCACTTCATAATTAAAAAATAAATAAAACAATAAAAAATGTTTAATGGATTTTAATGAAATTTTCAGCATATGATCTACATATCCTATTGGCTTGGTTGAGATGCAAACGCCTTCACATAATGGCCCTAATTCCAACTAAACTTAAATTATAAGAATTTGGGGGAATTTGGAGCCGGTATCCAAAATCCAACAAAAACCAAAATTGCATAAAATATACATGACTAAAAAACTAAAAATTTGGAGGCTCTAGCTCTTAAGACGTTTGAGATATAATTTTTTTACTGCATTTCAATAATGTTTTTATTCGATAACAATTAAATGCGAATAGTTATCGAATATTCGACTGCGCGTGCTACACACGGACCTACAAAAAAAATTTCAAGTCTCTAGCTCTTATAGATGCTGAGATCCACGCGTTCACACATACGGACCGACGGACAGACAGACGGACAGGGCTCAATCGGCTCAGCTTGTCGTCCTGATCAAGAATATATATACTTTATGGGGTCTGCCACGCCTCCTTCTGCCTGTTACATACATTTGCACAAAACCATTATACCCTGATTTCCCATTTTCAATGGGATCAGAGTATAACTAGTGTGAGTAAAATGATTTTTTCAGTGTGGAACGTCTTGAAGTTTTTCAACAACTTTTGTAATTTCCAAAAAATAAATAAAAGTTTTTCAATGTTATGGTCCTTTTTTTGTCAGAGTGTTCACATATAAAGATAGAAAGACGAAAAAGAAATAAAGTTTCGTGCAATAGGAAAATAGAAATTAGAAAAAAAAACAAATGAGTAAAAAAGGAGCCCAACCTAATATATGTGTATATGTGTTTGGGAAAATCAAACTAAAAACATTTATAATTGTTAAATTAAAGGTGTTTGTTATAATTTTATAAAGTTTTATTGATCGACTGATGTAAATGCTGTGACCGTGGTGTTTTTGTAACCAAAGTAAATTTGTCGACAGGAATAATTTAAATAGCTGCTGCGCGCTTGGACACAAGTTTTCGACAGACAGACAGAGGCAAGGAAAAGAATTTATAAGTAAGGAGCGCAGCATCATATTAAATGTAGGCTTGCTTATGTATATGAGTAAACTAAGAGTAAATAAGCGTAAAGAGCGATTCATCGATTCAAAAGAGGAGGCTGTTGTGACATGAAACTGAGGATCAGCACGCTAATTATCAGTAGACGGTTGCGTTGATACTTATGGAATAGCCTGAAATATTTAACGCCAAAAATTGCAGTTATTGATTTGGTTTTAGGAATTAGGAAGTTAATTTGTGAAGAAACGAGCGACGAAGTGTAGGTAAAATGATATAGCTCGCTTTTTTAGACAAGGTGATATTGCCAACAGCAGTGGAATATATTGTTGCTTTTTAGATTTTGTGGCACAATAGGTGCAGATGTGTCTATTAAGTGCCGGTTGTCATACAATGGAGTGTGGTTTTTCGACTGGTAAGTGAGCAGGAACTAGATTGGCAATGTCTCAACTGATGCACCTTTTTTTGGGACATTGAGCCAAGTCTCTTGGCTTCCGTATATGCTTCGATTGGCGACAATTGGTCAAAGTGCATAAATTTACAGATCATATGACCAAAAGACCATAGTAGCCGCACCAAACAATTTTGTAGATCTGTACTCTGACTTGCGAACCTGATCATCTTACCTTCACCTGACTTGATATAGATTAGCGTTTAGAAAAAAGTTTGACAATGCCCAAGAGGGCAACTTATTAGTATACAAATTTCTTTTACCGTGGCCTGAGTGCAGTATTTGAATGATGACACAATCACCAACTTCTAGAGCTAGAGAATCCATAACACGAATATCAATATTATCTGTGTCTGTCAGTTGCCTCAAGCTGCGAACTTGTAGATTCAGCCGCGTTCGATTATTATTTATTAACACGAGGTTATAAATATATTATGATTAATTAGCGTATCAATGTAGCATTTTGGTGCCGAAAATATCTTTTTAGTAAAAATTCAACCTTAGGGTCCATTCGATATGAAAATTGTTTGAAACCGATAATATATAATCAGTCTGTGTAAAATACTACCGAAATATTATCGATATACATACTCAGCCAAGAGCAGCTGTCTTACCAAAAACAAGTGATTCATACAAATAGGAGTGGAAAAAATTTTGTGAAGCGAGTTCAATTAACTGAAACAAGAACAGGAGCAAACAATCATTAAATATAAAATATTAATTATTAGTTTCAGCATTTAAAGCTTCAAACTGGGTAACGACATGTCGACATCTTCAATGGAAAGTAAGTATTAGCAGTGACGCCATTGTATTGCCATCCAATATAATAACCAACACTATCACTCCTACAGAACATCTTTTCAATTTAAAGTTCGCTGTAAAAGACCTGGAACGCAATTCCAAAAAATGTGAAAAAGAGGAAAAGCTAGAAAAGGCAAAGGCTAAAAAAGCCATACAGAAGGGTAATATGGATGTAGCTCGGATTCACGCCGAAAATGCCATAAGACAAAAAAATCAGGCCGTGAATTACCTGAGAATGAGCGCTCGTGTAGATGCTGTCGCCAGTCGCGTGCAGTCGGCGTTGACAACACGCAAAGTTACTGGCTCAATGGCTGGTGTGGTTAAAGCCATGGATGCTGCCATGAAAGGCATGAATCTAGAAAAAATTTCATCACTAATGGAAAAATTTGAATCACAATTTGAAGACTTGGATGTACAAAGCTCAGTGATGGAAGGCACTATGTCCGATACGGTGACAACATCGGTGCCACAAGGAGATGTTGATAATTTGTTGCAACAAGTTGCCGACGAAGCAGGCCTCGAACTTAATATGGAGCTGCCCAGTGGTGTACAAAGTTCTACCATAGGCGCCTCTACACAAGTCTCACAAGAACAGGATGAGCTAACACAGCGCCTGGCACGTTTGCGACAAGCTGAATAGCTTGGGTTTTTTTTCGCAAATCTCTTTCAAATTAATGTTACCCTTAAATTTGTTTTTATTTCTATAAGTACTCCAAATTGATGTAATTAGTAAAGCAGCTCAGTTTGAATCAATTCTAAGTTATGTAGATATATGTTGTGACTGCATTTGATGTGTATTTGGCTGGGGTTTTACGCGCTGTTTTCTAGGTTTGCGAGGTGCAACATCTTGGACTTCAGCTGTTACATTTGATGCAATCTGTTTACTTTTAGGCTTCGGTCCGCGGCGTTTTTGCTCGGGCTTTCCCTTTGGCTGTGGCACCATCATTGGTACAGCACGCCAGTTATCACCATGTTTGTCAAGTTTACTTTTTAATAACATCACATCGTATGCCCGGCGGCGTAGTAACTTTTTTATTTCATTTACTCTGCAATATTTAGCGTCCAATTTTAATTTGGAAATAATAAAATACGCCACTCTTTAAATTTACCTCATAATGCTTCGATCATTTTCCGCTTGTATTTGCTGGCATCTAGTGTATATTTTCTCTGTTAAATGTTTGTAAACATCATCTTTTTTAAGAAGCGTCATTTTTCAAAACATGATAAAAATAAGTATATCATACATATGGGTGTTTTCTAACAGGAACGAAGGGTTGCAAAAACATCGATATATTGAATATCGTCCACATTTCATAAGGCCTACACGATTCAATGATTTTTTAGTTTAGTTTAGCTAGAGTCAGTGTTGCTAATTTAGCTATTTTCCTGCCAGCTCTGGCGTTTTCCAAACACAGAATGCCGCGAAAATTCTAAAATATTGACGTTCATGTTTTCTAATCGATCCAAGCAGTACGTACTTTCAGAAGTTGAACTCGGTTACCGTCAAATGAATATCGTTCCAAATTAAGAAATACGTAATTTCTTAATACTTGATATATTAATGCAATGAATGTTCAAGATTGAATTTAAAGTATTAAGAAATTACGTATTTCTTAATAACTTAAATTCAATCTTGGACATTCATTGCATTAATTCATTACAAGTATATTTTATATTTGTTTATAACATTTTTTATTTTGATCAATATAGATTGAGCTTTCAGATGTTGCCAGAATCTTACCACTTTAAATTCAATCATGGACATACATTGCATGAATTCATTACTTGTTTTTTATGTTTTTATATAATAATATATATTTTTTGTACATATAGTATGAGCTTAGTAATTAGATTTTATCAGAATTATTTAGTACCTGCAAATACATACAATGAGTCTAATAAGAAATTGAACCATTGCAAACCTAATCATGTAAAAAGTAAAAAAAACGGAAATAAAAGTAATTATGCTCTTTACGTGTTAAATTTATCCCCTGCAATTTTTTCGTGTGCCAATAACTTCTACTTGAGGTTGACTTTATGGACTACCCTCCCCATTGAGAACAGACGTTCCTAGGGCTGCTTTAATTGTCTCTTCTGTGCAAAGCGGTGCTTACTTTTGTCCTAACCTAAAAACAAAAGTTCTTTAACAAAACGTGGCCGCTCACTTCAAATATCCTGTTTTGTTTACTCGAGTCAGATCTTTTGATTTTATCAGTGTTGGGCTTTTGTAATATTGTTCCTTTCGGATTGCCAAAGTTCGCTATATGCTGAGATATCGTTTATGTTTGTGGCGATAAGTGCAGTAGTTGAATAGTGGACATTTCTATTATTATGCGCGACGCCAGTGGTTGAACTACAGAAAACTTTCAAAACTTGTCATTGCAAGTGAGGATTTTTTGTCTTTCAAAAAATTATAATTTACCGTAAATGGAAATTGGCTTCATGGAGAACAATTTAATTTTTGAAACTGTTTAAAGGGTTTTCAGTCGTTTCAACAGAGTAGGTTACTCGCTTAGACCTCGTTTTCTAATTGCTTACATTCCAAGCTACCTAATTTTCGTTCTGCATTGCACTCCTCAAAGTATGATTTCCGCCACTTGATCTTCGCAATCGTGTGTCAATCTGGGACAGTGAAGGTAAGCTAATTCTGCATTTTGCCCAGACAATGGTTAGAAACAAAGATTCGATTGTTGCGTAAAGCGAGGATGTTAGTTGAAGGTCCTGTTATTGCCGCGAAATCCTTACTGAACCCTCTGTAGTAGATAGCTGCAGCGACAATCGCAAGCTGATCTGGCTGTTCGGTTCGACATATTCTTGTGTGACTCCAACTTTTTAGGGTCAGTCATTGCCTCGTGTTTTGACACTAAAAAGCCAACAAATACTATTCTCACTTTAGTGAACTTCGTTTTTATACCCTGATTCCATTAAAAATGGGAAATCAGGGTATAATGGTTTTGTGCAAATGTATATAACAGGCAGAAGGAGGCGTGGCAGACCCCATAAAGTATATATATTCTTGATCAGGACGACAAGCTGAGTCGATTGAGCCCTGTCCGTCTGTCTGTCCGTCGGTCCGTATGTGTGAACGCGTGGATCTCAGCATCTATAAGAGCTAGAGACTTGAAATTTTTGTATTTTATTATTATTGTATTTTGTTTACCTCAAATATTAGATAACTATTCGCATTTAATTGTTATCGAATAAAAACATGATTGAAATGCAGTTAATAAATTATAATGCGGACGTCTTAAAAGCTTGGCCACCCAATTTTGTATTTAGTTTTATATATATTTTATGCAAATTTGTATTTTGTTGGATTTTGGATACCGGCTCCAAATTTCCCCAAATTCTTTATATGCAAGTTTAGTTGGAAATATGACCATTATGTGAAGGCGTTTGCATCTTAGCCAAGCCAATAGAATATGTAGATCATGTGCTGAAAATTTAATTAAAATCCATTAAGTAAAACAGAAGTTATTTAACAAAACGTTTGGTGCAGTAGCTGCGTTGGTAGAGGCTCCGCTCGTAGCAGTTAATCCCTGGTTGCGAGCCTGGGGGCGATGGAACATTTTGTATTGTTTTATTTTTTTAAATTAGGAATTGACAGGGTTGGTATAGTTAATGGGTTGAGTTGGGTTCGAATCTTGGCGTCGTCATGTCGAGTTATATCTGTTTTTTCCTTGAATGTTGTATACAAACTACGGAAAATATTGAAAAATTCAGATAGGACTGGGATCAGGGTATCTCCTAGTCGGGCACCCCGACTATAGATTTCATACGTATTTCCGCTTGGTAATAATTTCAGCTGTCATCAAATGGTTTAAACAATTCGGTTGATTAACTGTCTCCATGCTACGTACTTGTCTAACCCCCACTAAATTCAGGGATTGACTTGATTATATCATGTGGGATGTCGCTCCTGATTACTGGGTACACTGAAATACTTCTATAAACATTCACCTGTGGTGCTTTAATGCATAAGTTATTAACCATTACTCTCACTTATTTAGTTATGCCTGTATTCTTTCTTCTCGCTGTTCTCTTACACTTGGTCTGCGTTCATCTCGACTCCTATTTCGTTTCTCACTTTGCTATTGTTGATGCTTATATTTTGCACGTGGCTACTGTTGGCTTCTGCATCACATTTTGTGTCATTATCGTACTAAATTTTTTATGATTCTCAACGCGTCAGAGCATCGGAAATTTGGTGTAAAAAATATATTTAAAAAATATATTTAATATATTTAATGTAATAATAATATTTAAAATGAGGTGATGTAATATACATTTATTATGGGTATTTATTTAAGTGTGGTTTTAATTCTTTTACTGTTTATAATACATAGTGTGCGCTATTAACTATTTATATTACGGTCTAAGGATGTCCTTGTATGTCGTGCGCCAATTATGAGAATGGGGGATCCCGCCTTGCAGATTGTTCACCGTAGTAATGTTGTCTGTAATTAGTGTCCTAAACTTGTCTTAGGATATTTATGTTGGAGGGCTTTCATGTTAGAGTCACTGGCATTGTGGCTCAGATATATGTTCCAATAATATCAAATATGTTGTACAGCAAATGCGGGAGCATAAAATCAAATGAAACTAAATCTAAAAGATGGGACCAGTCGACAAGCCGACTAAGTATTTTTGCTTCAGTTGAAAGCATTTGAGTTCACTGTGCGTTTGTGAGCTATGTATTATCTTCATCAGTATCTATCATCTTCAGTATCTATCTGCTCATTTTAGGCACTGTAAGATTTTGTATTTATTATTAACATAAATAACCTAACATAGCCAATGGAAATGCATGACTACGCAGCAAATACATAGATTTAGCCAAAACGCATATTTTTAGAAATTTTATCTATATCGATATATATCGAATAAGACTTCATCTGCCCATCTCAAACTCATATCGATATTTTCAACTTATACACTCTATTATCAATGAATACTCTCACTTAACACTGGGACGATTTTAATTCTTGGTGTTGCAATAATTCAATAATTCGTTTTGTAACCTACAAAGTCTAAACAACAAATAACTTTCGATCATGTAGTATATGGCTATAGTTTTTACACAGAAAAATCCAATTTGCTCAAACGTAATATGTCACATTCAAACGCAAACCAAATACATCTAATGAGTTCATCTGGAAGTGCATCTCAAATGGCCACAACTCAGGGTCATTTAACAGCCTCAGCCATTACATTCAATTTTCGAGAGCTCATCAAGGAACCAAAAGGATTGGATGAAGCTGCTAACTATTTGTTTCAGGGACTTCTAGATGATGTAGTAGCCGGCATTTTCATAGAAATTCATCATTTGCGGAAGACAGGCAATTTGACTGCCCTTGATGGAGTCGGTGAAGAAAATGCAGAGTCTGCCTACAGAATTTGTGAGATGCCAAATTTGGACATATTTGGCATATCAACAGCTAAAAAACCGATGGACTGCACCTGTCCACATTGTGACAGGTTAGTGGCGGCGGCCCGATTTGCACCACACTTGGAGAAATGCATGGGCATGGGACGCATCTCTTCTCGGATTGCCAGTCGACGGTTAGCAACTAAGGAGGGCACTAGTGCCAGTTCTTCCTCAACTTCAACATACCTTCAGTCGGGTGGAAATACAGGCGGTACCGATGACGAAGATGATGTGGACTGGTCGTCCGATAAGCGCAAAAAGAAGTCAACTCAGAGCTCACGAAACAACGGATCTAAAAAGAACAATGGAAAAACTTTCTAGCGTGACGTCTCCTAGCTTTATTAAGATTTGTTATTAAACTTATATGAATATAAATCAATATATTTAGAGACTTAACTCTTACTCCTCCTTTCCATGAGTTGAGTAAACGTGAACATAGTCAATCAGCAAATTGGGTTGTATCCAAGTTTCCTTTTTAGTATGAAGTTCAAACTTATATGGGCCCTTAGTATCATTATTTAAAAACGGCTTATGCTTAGACATCATATTTTCATCTGGGAAGTTAACATTTCCGGCTGCAGATAGACCCAACACAATATAACACTAAAACATTAAGAAAATTATGATTAAAATGACAATGTTAAAAAATGTACAGTTAACTTTCAGAAAATTTATAATTTGTTAGCAAATAGCAGCTACATCGGATATCGATTGATGCTCTCCTTCTGCCCACATGAAATTACATATATTTCGCCGTTATAGAAATTATATATATATGTATACATATTACGTTCCGTTGCATATACAGGTTTTGACAGTCCAAGATTAAATAATACAGGGAGTTAATTCTACGCTCGTTGGGGCATGGAAAATCGGGTAACACCGTATTTTCCACAGTTTAGAGCTAGAAAAAGATATAGATTATATATTTACACCCATAGGGGCGTGGCAATTCGTACAACACGATATTGTCCATAACATTTTATGTCCACATATTGGAAGTGTGCCAAATCGGGAAAAATTGTAAATTTCTATAGTTTCACAGTTTGAAGCTCAAAATGTAACGATTTTGTTACTTTGTCTATTGATTTACCAAAAATTTTATGTAAAATATAATCTTTAACGTTATTTATTAAAAAAAAAATATATATATAGCTATATTTTTCATAACGGGGTAGCTAGATTAAATTGGACAGGAGGTTAGCGAGACTAATTATGATTGGTCACTTCAGTGTGCAAGACAGCAAGACAAAAGGGATCACACACTGAAACTCAGAAGGGTCACAGATAAATGTTGATAAGGTCTGTTGTTATTAAGGAAGCTTCTGTAGCATGTTTGTGGTGTACAAAGTAATAGATATATTTCTCCGCTAACCTGTCCTCAGGCGGTAAATCTATTGTATAACAGAAGAGATTGTGTAGTTCCTAGTGATATATATAGTGAGGGTAATTATTCGTCTAGAATGCGGGTGTCTGAGGGTAATTATTCGTCTAGAATGCGGGTGTCTAACGCTGTGTACCTCGGGTTGAAACCGGAAGTGTGTTTTCCATAGATATTTCTTTTAGCTGAAGGGTACAATTATTTTATTTTGCTTACAATTTGGATTGAACTAGGTAAATTTTGGTTTCAAGCCTATAACTTCGTTTAACTTTAGCTCGATTATGAAATAAATATGTATCATTCATTTTACCTGATTATCTAATGACTCAAGTTTTTTTTTGAAGTGGAGAACAGGTGGAAAACTGTTTATCGTTTCTATGGATTTTTTTCTTTTCTTGAGAAGTTTTCATCTAGTACGATTCTATTTGAATTTGATGGAACCCCTTGAAATGTTCTCAATCATAATAGGTATTGGATATTTATCATCGAACGTAACTTCATTTAAGCTACGATAGTCGATAACTAAACGGAACTTTGTTCCTTGGATGAGTCATCTTTCTTACGTACGGTCCTGATTGGTGAATAATATGGGGACCGTCAGAACCTTTAGGTTTTACGAATTATTCCCTTTATTAATTTCTTCGTCAAATAACTTGAAGTAATTTTGATTTATAAGATTTATTGGAGAATCAGTATCTATGCATTTAAGAGTGGCATTGTTAATTACTAAATGGTCACCATCGAATATGGGCACTTGCCCCAGTAGAGTAAGCGCTATGTCCAAATGCGCTTCTAATAATTCCATCGTTAATTTTAAGTTTGATTTGTTGACCACACTTATATACTTCTTTATTTACTTTTAGCTTACTTACTACTTAGCTTCCTTAGTGGCTCTACGGCGGATAAAACAACAAAGTTTTCGACACTGCTTTATAAAGATTATTGGTTTCAAGAGTGTTAGTTTTTTAAGCCTCGCATGGGGTATCCATGATTTTAACACAGGTCTTGTACTATGTTGTCCCAAACGATCTTGGACCACAACACAACCTCAGATGTTGTATCCGTATAGTAACGGTTGCTAGCGTTTAATCAAAGTTGTATTCTTTACTTCATTTAGTTTTGTTATATCCTACCGGCTTCGCCACGTGTTATTTATTTTTGCATCTCCACATGACAAATTTGGACTGAAGGCTCGGTTCAATTCTCATTGCTCACTTTAGTGCACAAGACAGTGAGCGGTGGATTTCCAAGAAAATGGTTTTATATTTAAGTTGGTTGTGCTTATATTAAGATATAATGTAAGCTCTGCGTGTGGGAGCTTAATAGCTCGATCGATTATCAAGAAGGGACAGAGGTAAATGCTATTAGGATAAGAGCTCTTGCAGCGTGGTGTGCGGTGCAGAGTAGCGGATACATTGCTAAATATATATGCATCGTAAAGGCGTAGCAAATCGGACAACCCCAAATCTTCTACAGTTTTAAAGCCTGGAACAACTACAATATTCTACTTGCTTTTTTGTAATTAAGAACTAACCTTCTTGTGGAACTAAAAACAATGGTGTGACCAGCTTTGCCAGTGAGTAAAGTTTCTCTTTAATACTATTCTAACCCATAGATTACAATAGTCAATTCTTATAATTCAATTCTAAAAGAATGTGATAAGAGAATAACAACTATTAAAAAGATTTTATTAAAATCAATCCCGATAAAAAATTTTAATGTTTACTATTATACTAATATGCTTACCTCTTTTGAATTGAACACATTAAGAACATTTGGATTAGATATTGTGCCATATGTAAGACCATCCACCTTATATATTAACCGATCACTGTGCCAAATTAATGTGTAATTGTGAAAACTATTGCTTAGTGATTTGTGTGCTGGGTATATTTTAGATACCACATATTCCGAGTGTTTGTTTGACGTCCAAATCACAGCGCTTCCAAAGAGTCGGCTTCCACTAATAGGAATTGCGTTCTTATTTTGTAACAGTGCGTTGCTGCGTCTAAACGCAATACGTAATTGATTGACATAAATATCTTCACTGTGGTAGCTCGCAGGTTGCAAAATTAAATCTAAAAAATTATATTACAGCATGCTGATCCAATCGACGTTATCAAGTCATACTCACAAGGAAATAACCAATCGCCTATCGGCATCCTAGCACGTATTTCTACTCGGCCATATTTAAATTGAAACTTTTTTAAAGTGTGCAGTTTGGCTGAGTGCACAGGTGGTAACGTCGATGGTATTCGTAATAGTGGCCCACAATCCTTTTTCTGATTTGCTATATCTTTTATGGTTGTGCATCCATCTATAACAAATGGTTTAGAATTCGTATAATTAGCCCATCTCGCTATTATGTGCAAATAACCATCTTTTATATAATTTGTTTTTGGATCATTCATAAAAGCCACAAATTCACGATCGTTTTCTGAATCATAAATTCGTGACCGTTGCTCATGTGTCCAATTGGAAAAATTCAGATCAAAATCTTCCTTGAAAATTAGAGCACCCGCACACTTTTGGGTTTTAGAAAACATTTCTGTCTGTGATCTTTCACAAGAGCAATTTCCTTTTTCGATGCCTTCCCCATGGCTACCAATAATTAGGTCGTACGTTTCCGTTATTACTTCATTTTCAGTTTCGAAAACTCCTAAAATTCGGAGCGGATCATCTTTAAAAAGTTTTTTTTTTACATCAATCCTAAATTCAAATGTTCCATTTTTATCTTGGCTCTGGACAAAGGTGTAATCGGGGCCGCACTTTTCACCGATGTCCGTTGAAAAGAAAAAAGTTTTGACTTCAGAACCACCTGGAAAAAAATGAAAATTGTGTGTCTATAAAATTTGTAAGAACACAATAAAGTTGAAATACAATATATTACATACCTAATACTCCAATATTTATTTCACTGCCTTTCACTTTTACCACTATATCTTTTTTTCCTTCCGTGCCCAGAAAACCAAGGAAGCAAGAAATTAAAAGCACATATTTTATTTTCATTTTATAAAATAATATGATTATCAACATCAAAGGACGTTTCCTTAATGGTATTTTTAATCTTTCTACAATAAATAAACAACACTCCATATACCATCGACCGCAGAGAGTTGACTGATACAGCGGGTCAGAAGAATAAAATGTACATAGTCTATATTTAATCAGCGATTAAAGCAGTCTACGATCTATTAAAATCAGAGCGGTTGTCACGTCTACTTGAGCGTCAGTCAGTGCTCTTTAGCGTGACCTATACATAAGCTTTTGATATATACAAATATTTATAAACCAAAAGTATTTGTGCAATGAATTTTAAATATTTACTCTTTTCGTGCGGTTTCATTCTTGGTTTCCTGAGCACCAGTGCTATATATAAACAAGATGTAAGTGTTGAGATAAAAGGACGACAGCTCGTGGTCTCAGTGCCAGGTATGTGCAAAAGTTTGAGTTCTGTGCTAAGAACAACTTAATGTAAATTAATAAATTTACAATAAGTTATAATTTTTTAAAAATAAAAATTAAAAATTCGCAGATAATCCTGACGTGAAATCAATGTTTTTTTCAACCGAAGTTGCCGAAGAATGTACAGCGGATTATACTTACATCAACAATAGCAACGCGTTTAGCATAAAGCTTGAAGGAAATCGGAGTCCAAAGGAAAATGATTCTTTACGTGTGCTCAGAATCATTGAAACCAAAGATCAAGTATTAGCAGCAATTAATAATTTTCAAATTGATTCTAACGGCAATGGCAACACCCATATAGATGAAGATAAAATAGTTTCCGAAACATGTGCTAAGCCCAATTACTCTGATAAGTTGGATTGCATACTGGCGGAATCTGACTCAGATAAATCTAGGGTATGCAGTGGTCAACTTATTTTTGAGGAAAGTTTCAGAGACAACATTTTGTCAAACAATTGGACTCATGTTCAGTACTCGCGGCTATATACAGAACATAAGGAATTTGCGGCTTTTAAGAAAGATAAAGCAAATTGCTATGTAAGAAATAAAAAATTATATTTACATGCAACTTGGCCGAAAAAAATTAATCAACTGGAAACATTAAATTATACTGAATGTACGTATAAGAAACCTGAAGAAAAAACGTTTTTGTGTGGACCTTATGCATTCGACATTCTAAATATTCTGCCACCTGTGCACTCAGCAGCAATAACCACTAAAGCAACAAAATTATTTAAATATGGAAAGATCGAGATACGTGCTAAAATGCCGGTCGGTGATTGGCTCTTTCCCTGTGAGTATATAAACATATTCAAACTCTTATCTATCTTAGTACAGTTGTTTTTGTACATCACTGTTGTCAGATTCTCTTATCGTTGAATTGTTTGTAGTCGTCTTCGTTTTGGTTTTTGTTTTATTTGCAAACAATTTTTAAAACAAAAAAATGTTATTTTTTATAGATTGACGAGAGCTTGCTTGCTTGTATGTTTTTATACCCTGATTCCATTAAAAATGGGAAATCAGGGTATAGTGGTTTTTTGCAAATGTATGTAACAGTCAGAAGGAGTGGCAGACCCCATAAAATATATATATTCTTGATCAGGACGACACGCCGAGTCGATTGAGCCCTGTCCGTCTGTCTGTCAGTCCGTCCGTCCGACTGTCCGTATGTCTGAACGCGTCGATCTCAGCATCTATAAGAGCTAGACTTGAATTTTTTCAAATATTCGATAACTATTCCCGTTTTCTGTTATCGAATAAAAACATGATCGAAGTATCCTTGAATTATCAGCAGCTACTTATCTTCAAATTTGCAACTGCTTGTGTAAGCAGCACAGTGGCGGTGTTGGTAGACGTGAGAACTCGATACAAAATATGGAAAATATTAAAAAACGCAAATCCAAATTGATGGGTTGAAAAAGTTTGTTCTAGATGTCTCATCTATGTGCTGTATGGTTCGTAGTAGAAGTCTATATTTTGCATAACTTTCGAAGGCTTCCAGCACTCTTACAACATTTTAATAATATTAATATTCCAATAATTGAAATATTTTAGATTTACTGCTGTATCCGAGTAGCGCTGAATTCGAATCGTTCACAATAAATGAGCCTCACATTCGCATCGCATTTGCTCGAGGTAATTTTCAGTTAATTGATAGCTCCGGCAACGCTATGGGAGGAAACATTCTTTTTGGTAGCGTGTTAAGTAATAATGGTGACTCGAGCACTCTATATGAAACTTTAAAGAGCACCAAACCGGGAGTGAGACATTATGGAGAAAGTTTTCATAACTATACATTAATACGACACAAAGATCGAATAATATATAAAGTAGATGAGGAAACTTATGGAAAAATTGACAATCCAGCGGTTTTGGCGGACATAAATAAATATGAGGTAAATTGACTTTCAAGAATCAAATGGTAACTAATAATCAAATCTATTGCAGCATTACATCGTATTGGGGTTAACTGCTGGAGGTTCGCTGAATTTTTTCAAAAAAGACATTTCGAACTCTGAACATATAAAATTTTTTACGTCACCCAAGGGTCCACAGATATTTGAGCAAAAGAAATCAATTATTAATAAAACCTGGACGCATCCCATGTTGGTCATAGAATATGTCCGTGTTTATACAACGCATTCCGACGAAATGTAGAGTTTTATGCGTTTTATATATTATGCATTTGTAGATTTATATTTATTTATATATTTGTCGAATTAGGGGTTTTAAATAAATGAAAAGATAAAAATAGTTTAATTAATCAGAAGCAAAAAACAATAATTTAAAATATTTTCAGAATTCATTAATACACAATAAAGGACATAGGTACACAAATAAACATCTTACAACCGAATTACTGTGAACAAATAAATGTTTGTATGTATATTGAAAGATTCTTACAATAATTACATTTATACATATTATATACATTATACATACATTACATATATATATATATATATATACAACACTATATAGTCAAATCGGGAAAAACTGTACACTGCCAGTATATTCCAAATGCTAGTCTCGCGTCATTACCAGCGACATAATTGACGTTCGCTGACAGACGGCCGGGCAGCAAGACGAACATTGCACAAAACCTATAAACTTCACCTTGTGAATGTATTTGTCTTTATTACTTAGAGTCTGAAAAACTTTGATAATTATAGCAGCATGGTACTTGAAATTGAAGGCATATATTTTTAACGTATTAAGATATTTTGGATAAACGTTTTAGGACCGTAGCTGGACACTTTACATTTTCTTGAGTAGTCAACCTGCGATTAAAACTATATATAACCTATTTGGGATATGGCAATTTGGGTAAAAATATATCTGGTACGTCAGTGACTGTTGAATATATTATTAAAAAGGCTTTATGGTAAAAGCTCTTTTGTTATTCCACTTTTTTGGAAAACGCATAAAAAAAATTCTTCGTATCCATTAGACTCTGGTATGTGTTGTCTCGCTGGTGTCAGCTCTATTCAGCCCCTTAATCTCGATGATGCAATGTCATATGAGACTGTACCGCATTTTCCAAATGTTTTGAGCTGCAATCAGTTGAAAGGATTATATGTAATTTAATGCTGTAATCCCTCCTGAGGAAGCTAGAATGTTTGCAACTCGAGAATTCTTATTTGTTTAAAAAATATCGCTTTAGTGTTTTAATTCTCTACATATGTATTTTTATAGGCTATTAACATTGCCAATGGAACAGAGTAATAGGAACCTATTTTGAATGCAGACAGGCATTGCTATAACTTAAACTGAGAATAATGGTTTTAATTTATATTATGATAGAAATAACATTATATATTAAATTGCATAAACTTTAACATAATCGACCAATAGCTTCGGTTGCTTCCATGTGGGTAACCATTGATCCTGGCTCTGCCAAAAATGAAGTTTAGCTTGTGGGTGTTTGTTGATCCAAGGCTTCTCAAAGGTAGAAGTGCGCAACTTATCCACAAAATCCCCGAATCCGCCTACTGAGAGGCCAAAAGTGATGTAAAACTAAGTTTACAGATTAAAATACATAATGATATTAAAAATATTTACGGTATAATATGTTTTAAGAAATGTTAATATTATAAAAATATTACTATTTAATTTCGATGCTATTGAAACCATACTTTAAATGTGACATATGTACACTCGGAAAGACCTGATATAACCAGAGACGTGTCAAGAGATTCAATAACATAATTTTAGTGGTGTACCCTTTTTAACTTTCTCTATAGACAGGTCTAAAAATTAAATAGTCCAATCATTTGAAGCGTGAAAAATTTTAGACAATTTTTAAGAATTTAGTACGTTTTTTACTCAGAACGCGTATAATAAAATTGGTGGCAGCTGTCGGGTTTCTATTTATCTTCATTGAGGTTAAAATTTTGTTATAACCTCATAAGAATACTGGACTATTTTCGAATTTTGGTTTCCATAAATAATGGAGCAGAAAGAATATCACACCATTTATGTGTTTCATACCAGTACAAGATGCTCAGAATGATCAAAAAAAACTAATTATAATATCCACAAAGATTTTAAACTGCCCCTTGTTAAAGAAGAAATACAACTATATGCAAAAAGATACATGAATAACCGCGACAAATATATGGAATAATCTCATTGGAGCCCAAGCCATCCGGTTATGTAATATATATTGTTAAAAAAATTGTTTATTGTCTAGTATAAGACAGATTGCAAATAAAAACAGGAAAAAATATGTATGTGTTTCTTGATTGGATTCATATATGTTACTTGCCATTCGATCAAAGGGCGCCATAGGACTTCCCCGACGCCAGCTAGGATTTAGGTTAGATTCCGCGAAACCCGTCAATAGTTCACCATACTCTTGACCATCAATTGAAAATCGCAAGCTTTGGCTGCTCCATGTAAGGCTGTATAAGTGAAAATCGTCGCCAAAATGTACACTGCGTCGCTGTTGAACCATAAAATCTTCGCGTTGAGAAGCTTCAGTCGAGAGTACGGCGCCGCCAAAAATAGTGCGACCATCGATGAGCTTACCATGTGGGAGACGTAGCTGTTGATTACCACGACTCATGGCCACACGCAATTGACCTATATAGTAGATAAAACTGAATATTAATTATATTCAAGAAACATATGAATATCACTAGCTCACCAGATTCATAGCCACTTTGACCATATGCCTCCATGAGCGGCTCTAACAGCAATAGCGGCACCAACCAATCGCCCTTGGGGAGTTTCGCGCGTATATCGATGCGGCCATATTTAAAGGCAAAAGATTCTTTGGTGCTCAACCGGGGAACCACAACTGGCGGCATAATATGTGGTCCACTTGTTAGCAGTACGCACTCCTTTTGCCTATTGTGTGTGCCTGTGCAGCGGTCAGATAAATCTAACTGAGCATTTGTTATGTGCAAATCAGGGCGATAACTGGACCACAGCTTTGGCTCGATGAGCAGTTGGCCGTCAAGAACACGTGCCTTTCCATCATACAACACAAATTCAGCATCGGTACTGTCAAGTGGGGCTCGCACATCGTGAAGCCAACGGCTCTCGTTTAATTGGTCGAAGTTCTCCTCGAAAATTAATTGACCTTTGCAAAGCGGATTAGTTGGTGGGGATGACATCACCGTTTCGCTCTTCGTACAAGACGTTGAAGGTGATTCCCTGTTAATTAAATTGCGTTTTTCTGTTGCTGATTCTGCTTTCAGATTAGGGTTCTTCAAGCAGTCCGTGGGCAAATTAACGCCATTTAGTTGACAAACCTGCAGCGGCTGACCTTGATCACGAAATATGGCGTTTCCATGTTGTACGCTAGTCCATATATAAAGCGTATCATGTGCCCTTAAATGGACTCGCTTAAAATCATATTTCCAAAGTGCATCCTGTGACTCTCGTACTTGAGCGCTAAACTCGCCTTCCTCAAAGCCCGTAAAATTTCGATTACGATTCACATTAAAAGCCACACTTTTAATGCCATGCTCGTCTTCAAAAATATTTGGCAGATAAACTGTAGGTTCATTCATTGAAGCAATATAATTACCTGGTATGGACACACGAAACCCGTTTACCAATGGGTCCACTTTAACAGCAGGCACCTTATACGACCAGATGCCTGCAATCGAACTGTAAAGCAGAATCAGCAGAACGAGCAGCTTATCTGTAAGTAATCTTTTAGGGGACTGCATTACTTTCAGTCTGTTCTCTCTTACGCCGCGTATAAAACTAAATCAAATGCTCGCAGACTGGTTATATACTCTGCTTGCATTGAAAGCGTGTATTCGAGGCATAATCGGTTAGCCAAAACACAAAATATGTCCGCTGATCATAATTAAATTTAGACCTGAACCGACATAAGTTTACTGATTTTGAACTAGATGGCCACTCATTTTTAACTGATCCCGCAAGAAAACATTTTTGCTTACTCTTAAATGCTGTCTAGAATGTACGGTTTTCTGTAAACACAACTACTAACACTAAATCTACAAACGAACAACATTCAAAATAACAGAGTTTCGCTTCGATTGATGCTCACGCTGTTGATGTTAAAACACGCTGTTAAAACACTCAGTGAGTTACGCACAGTGCTCTTTGTTTCGTTACATTTAATGTTAACTAGCAGTTCTTTTGTGACGTCACATTTTCGGATTTTTCTCTGCATCTCATCTAAAATTTGGCGGGCAGTTAAGGAGAACTATGGAACAGCTTTTCGTAACCTAACAGTCTTTTAACAGCGAATTAGCGCTTTTTGAATACTATAAATACTATATTAAAATGAATTGAAACAAATCTAGTTATACCCTAAAACCATTAAAAAAGATAAATTGGGGCATAATGGCTTTGTTAAATGTATAAAACAGGCAGAAAGCCCTCCGTCCAACTATCCGTTTGTTTCAACGCATCTGTCGTCTTTCTGTCCGTCCGTGTACTTGTGTATATATGATTGGAATATCAGCTCTTTGTAAAGTTTAGGGCATCTCCTATTCGAGCAGTTTCGACTATAACACCCTAACACAACTATACCCTAACCCCATTGAGATGGAGGAGGCGTAGCTGACCCCAAGAAGTATATATATTCTCCGTCTGTCTGTCCGTATGTATGAATGCATCGATCTCAGAGCCTATAAAAGCTAAAGGTTTGAATTCTGCGTCTGTAGCATGCCCTTATCCAGTTTGAATCAAACATTTAATAACTATTTATGTTTTAATGTAATCTATTGAAAACGTTAATACATTTTTTTTCTATCTTTGGAACAAAAGTCTTATAATTTTGCATGTATTTTATTTATTTTATTTGTTAAAATTTGTGTTTTGTTAGAGTTCTAAAGTAAAGTTGTAAGTATAAATGTGTGCATTTGTTTCTGTTTAAAAATTCGCACTTGTGATTGAATTATCAGGTACTACTTAAGTTTTGGATTTGCCCCTTTACTTCTTAATATTGAACTTCGATGACGGTTGCGGTATTGTGTGTTGTTGACGATGAATGTGTTCGATACCCGCCAAAGGCAAAACATTTTTAAGTTAATTAAGGTTTTTGAAAAAATTCTTGTTGATTGTGAAGATGCGAGCGTTTCTTTATTTTCCTGTTATTTTTTTTTGTTTGATTCTGAACGCGCGAGTTTAATAATTTAGATATATGTATGTTTAATACAAGTTATGCAGTGTATTTGTAAACGCAAATTCGACAGGGTTTATGGTATCTGTTAGTCACACACCCTCCACTAAAGCTTTCATACTTGTTTGTTAACAACAATAGTATATGCTTAACATATGTAATAAATTTTTTTGTGGTATACTACTAGTAAATATAATACAAGTCGTTTTTTAAGAGTATAAATTAGAAAGATCAACATTTTTATATATATTTATGTAGCCCATCATATTGTCAGTATAGCTGTTAACAATGATTAAATATTCAATAATTGAATTAATATAATATAATTTATAAAACAAGTAAACATCGATTACGTAAAACGAATAACATTAACTAGAAATCATGTACATCGTCATTGACAGAAAAGTGCTAGAATATTTGAAGTGAATTTTTAATATGCAATTCTCAAGCAAAGCTTAGTTCGAATCAGTAGTGATGGAGCTTTGAATCTATCAAGTATCCATTGAATGCAACTCAACCGGTTTGCAACATCTTACGCGTCAAATTTTATAGAAAAATACCCAATACACAAATCGAGTAATATTGGCATTAGGATTAGCTTTATTCCGTCATGGCCTATAAGTTTTTACTAAATTTCAAACTGACCCTTCTGATAATACTGATAGGCAAAGAAAATATTGCATATAAAATACCCAGCGTGGAAATAGAAATATTCAAAGAACGTGGTTTTAAAATTTCCATACCAGGTAAGTGTGTGGGCTGTCTATAATAGCAATATTAACGATAATATTAAACCCATAGATGATCCCGGCATCCAACGAATCTTTTTTATGATGATAGCTGATGAAAGCTGCCCAGCGTTAATGGACTACATAACTCAAGCTACTAATGACAGTTGGAGCAGCACACAACACATCAGCTTGCAAAACAACGACAAGCTGCAAGTTTCAGTGTTGGTGCAGTACAATGACCATATCTATGAGAAGAGCGAGACATTGGTGGTACTCAACACTCGCTTGCTAAATGTCCAACAGAGCAGTACTCGCAATATCATTACAAAGAACATCAATCGCAACAACGGGAGCGAGTGCCAGCTGTATCTATCTTCAGACCAAAGACTGTCCAAGCAATGTAAGCCTACCAGCAGCATTGTGAATAGTGGAAGTACTAGTCAAGGTATCTGCCAGGGTGCGCTTCTTTTTGAGGATAACTTTAGCGAAGCACAACTGAATACCAGCGTTTGGATGTATGACATACGTCAGCGTATGTACCATGTAGAAGAGGAACTAGTAGCATTCGAAGATTCGCCGCAAATTTCGTATTTGCGGGAGGGACATCTACACATTGTGCCGACGGTGGCCAGTGAGGTGACAGAGGGAGCTTACCAGCTAGGTGATCGCTGTACGGCAATTGAGAGTCGTCAGCTGGAGTGCAGCATTTCCAAAGGCAGTTTCCATAAGATAAAACCACCTGTCTATTCAGCTCAGTTGCACACACGTGAGAGTTTCAACTTTAAATATGGAAAAATTGTGGTGCGTGCTAAGCTTCCAAAAGGAGATTGGTTATTTCCATGTAAATAGTTTAAATTATGTTAAGAAACCTCCTGATAAATTAAAAATATTTAATGCAACTTCACAGATATGATGTTACAGCCAGTCTCAACACATGCAGAAACCCACTATGCCAACCAGCTTCGTAAGTACGAGAATATTGTCTTTTATCACGAAATATACAACATAAACATGGGAAATCTAAAATATCTTTAAACGCATATTTGATCATTAGGTTCTACCAATAATTATACAACTTTACAGTTTCACACATACATATGTTAAAAGCTGTGTGTGCGCAATGCGCAACGCATTCGAACGCTTTCCACAAAAAATAATTAATATATATATGTACATATGTATATATATAATATATATATATCAAAGATAAGAGAGCGTAAGGAAAAGTTAGTGCTTGCATCAATATTTGCTTAAATAAGTTCGAATGAGCTACTTGCTACGTTCAGTTTACCGAACGTATCATATCAGCATTATTTCTTTTTTCCTTATTCTCTATAAATTTTGTTTAGTTAAATTGAAAAAAAAAAATAAGTAATTAAAACTCATATATTTTAGGGATTGCCTATGCTCGTGGCAATGATTATTTGCGAAACACTCAGAACGATGATATATCGGGTCATAGATTATATGGCGGTATCATTGTTTGGCATGATGAACGTGCCGTACAAATTCTAAAAAATCGACTAAGTACAAAGCACTACGGTGATGATTTTCATAATTATACAATGATCTGGCGGAGAGACAAGCTTACACTTTTGGTGGACAATGACATTTACGGAGAGATCAAGGATGGTTTGCAATTTTTTAATGAGAAGTGTTTCATCATATTTGGCGTTACAGTTGGTGGGTTTCTCAATTTCGATGACAGCATACTAATGAACGATGTAAAGCCGTACAAAAATAAACACCCCAGGGCTGCTTTCTCGTTTTGGCATAATCGAAATACTTGGGCATCCACATGGGGAAAAGACAGTGCGATGATTATCGACTATGTGCGCGTTTATGCAGATTAGACACCTCTACAAACATATAATTTAAAAATAAATAGAACATTACGCTTGTTTGCAACACATTCTTTATATTTATGATATTTTATGCAACTATAAGAGTTTGTGTACATTTATTATTATGTATATGATTTATTATTATTTATTTATTATTTGCTTACAATTGTATTGAGTAATATCAATTATAAGTTTTCGGATCTTAAAATACTTTTTAAATAGTCCTAGCTGTAAGCTTACAGATGTTTATATAAATATACACTTCAACTTTACCTTTCACTTATATATATGAGGACCGGGTAAGCGATGAATAATAAACTGATCAATCCATACCTTACTGGTTCGATTAAACGGAACCGCAATAAAATGCAGCCCTGCTTTTTGCTGTTTTCGTCTGCCTTGATGTTTCGTTAAAGGTTGTCTGCGCGCTGCTTTGTACGGGTATCTATTTATTTAATAGAACGGTGAATTCAATAGAATATAATATCACATTAAAAATATTGTTAACATATGGTAGAATAAAAGAGTACGTTAATGCATACAATACACCTTAATTGGATGCACTTGTTTTTGTGTTGTTTGGTTGCATAGCGAAACTAAAACTGATCCAATTTGCTAGATCCCGCGAGAGAATAAATGTTTCTCGTGCTTCCAGGTCATACTATAGTATAAGCCATAAGAAAATAACTTCACTTCAGCAGGACATGGATATATTGGACATTGACGAAGCATTAAAAGATGATTCATACATGTATGTAGCAGCATTTTTATTTGCATCTGCGGTTGGTTTATATACAAAAATACTTACGGCCCTTTTTCATCAATATTTTAGTTTTCTGGCAGATAAAACCCACGATGATATATCGAATATTCTTCACCAATGGAAAACTAATAATCAACAGCAGTCGCATTTGCAGCCGACTAATGAAGAATGTACGTATATATATCATACATATATGTATGTATGTAATATATGTCAACCATGGGTCATATGAACAGAGGCACATATATCTAGATACAGGCCGACCATATTTAGTAGTGCAATGGAGCTTAATGTTAACAGATCGACAGCTACGAATATGTTGAGTATGCTTTAATAATGGATGTAGGCGGGCAGCCCTTTTAATGTGTTGTATATGTATACATATAATCAAAACACAATTAAGTAATGCAACTACTATGTGTGGTTTTATAATATCCATGGTTTACAATGATATTAATCACTAAATACGAGTTGGCTTGTTCTATCCTTGTCTATATGGATTTTATGTAGTGTGTGTGACATAAGAAAAGGCAGCAGCTGCACTTGCTGATGTGAACATTTCTTGGTATGGTCATCTAAAGAAGAAAACACACTCAGAGCAGCTCGACTTCACTAAAATACTTTTACTATGTTAGTTTAGGTACGGTATCGAAAAGTATTTTATGTATATTTTGTTATATGATTTAGAATATGTTTACAAGCGAAAAATGCTTGTTTGTAAAAAAATATGAAAATACTATAAGAAATTAAAAATGAAGGGAGATTAGTCAACACCATTTATTTGTGAATTTGAATTACATCATTTATTGTTTATAAAGGGTCTGCCTTTAAGATAGCATATCGAAGTTCACATAATGAGCGTTTTTTAAATACTTCGGACGTCACGTCGTGAGTTACTCATATTATTGATATAATTATGAATTACGGATGACCCACGAATGTATTAGCCCCATAACGCACGACAGTATATCTCTTTATCGTGTTTTTATTCCGAACTGAGTTTAAAAGTAAACTAAATGCCTTACACGTATTTATAATATTATAACAATTACTGCATTTGATACCCGAAAAGATAATATGTCTGCGCTTCATCTGCTATAATCTATAATCCAATCTAATTTAATCCACAAATTTACGGCCAACAATTTCGCACTGGTGTTTCTAAATTTAATTACAATGTATTTAATGATATTAGACGTGAATTTGAGGTCTTAATTTATTGTACTACGCAAGAAATGTTCCTAAAGATAAGTTGCAACATTTACAAGAATGTCAGTGTTGATGGCACTGAGAACAATAATCATTATTATTATCATTTGTAGTTAGTTATCATTAGTTTAGTTCATTTATGTTCAGACGATGGTATTGTTGAATACCAATGAAGATGACCTCTTAGCACTAAGCGACCTTTAAGTTTCTTCTACACTTCTATAGATGTCAAGAAAAGCTTTGTAGATAGATAGATAAACACCCAGACATATCTTTCATTTTACTCATTTATTGATATATTTAATGAAAATATTTAATGTAATTATGTATATATTATATATCAAGCATACAAACATAATTCAAAAACATTCACGAGGCCCAAACGAAAATCACAAGTGACCGAAAATCTGGAGACTCAATATGTAAGTGAACATGATTTTTTTAAATTATTATTAGAAAGACGGGTTATCTTCGGAATAAAGAATAACAGGTTTATTTCTTAACGAACATTTTTACTTTTTATTACGGATTGTGACTAATCAGATAAGCTGTAGCACATTTTTTTATATTTAACTACTAATCATACAACATACAAGCCAGACTTTCACAATAAGCACACACACGGACGAAGACTTTTAAGTGTGTAAAACACCTTTGCCCAACAAACTTTAATTTTGTGAAATTTTGCTTGCCAGTTGATCAATGATTTTATATTATCTATTGATAGGAATGGCTTCCAATTGCTTAGTAAAGACTTAAGTCACGATTTTATTATGATGATTATTATATTTGCATATAATTTAATTTGTAATTAATTTTAGAGTATCTAAAATTACCTTTAGTAACGCGATTGAAATTTGTTATGCAGCCACAACCAACAAATGTCTCCACATCAGTAACAAATTCAGGATCGCCGATGCTTAGTTTGGAAATTGGAGGACTTGTGACAAACATGAATAAATCGTTTCTGCAGGACACGTCGCCACCATCGTCTATATGCACATCAATGAACAACGGATGCATGAATAATTCGCTTATCAGCTCCGCTGACTTTACAAATCTGAACTTTTTACAATCGATTCAAAGTCTGGAACCAAGTCAGACCAGAACGTCAACGCTATCCAATGATATGGGATACGCTCTCAGTGATATGATTAGGGATCGTAAAGTTCTGGAATCGCTTAGCATGTCCGGTGATGGTACACTAATTAAAGATTCGCATATTGGCCAGATTGATGACATTTCACTGACGCCACTAAGCAAAACAGCATCCGGTTGCAGCACTATGGATAATAGCACCGAAAGTGTGTCTGCACCAAATGAAATGCAATTACAGTTACAATTACACACCCACAGTAAGGGTCAGAATCATTTGTGTGCGACAATGATGTTGAGTGAGGAATTGATAGGTGATACAACATTTAGTCTGGTCGATAGTTTGACTACACGTACAACTATAGAATCGCCGAGTGAATTGGAGACAAATACTACGTTTAAACGGCCTACTGCGGTGCTAAATGAAACACAGCTGCTTGCGGGGCGACAGGTGAACAGCACTTTTACCGAAGGATGTCTTACGCCCGAGGCAGCTCGTTGCGATACGCCTGAGAATATTGAGACGAAATTGTCATTAATTCAGATGCAATCTACACCCCTGACAACTGTAAACACCCGTTCTCAATATAACAAAAGTAATAATAATAATAATAATAATAATAATAACAACAATAATAATAATAATAATAATAATAATAAGAGCAACACTAAGGTGCTTAGCTATACGCCTACACTGAGAAGCCGAGATGAAATAGTAAACATATCTCCTATTGTAAGCAGTAAAATGCCTCAAAAAAGCTACAATAATCAGCAAAAGTTAAACCATACCTATGAGCCACCAACGGAAATATTAAGCGGTCTTCAACTCAGAGGGGCGCCTGATAGTTTTAATAGTCAAAAGTTTGTGCATGATACAATGCAGTTATTGGAGCAAATCGAACAACCAGTCTTGGATGCAACCTACGACAAGTCTGATGAATATTTCCAGATGCAGTGCGTCTTGGATTTAGCCGAGGCAGAAGTGGAGCTGCTTGCTCAGCAAGGTGATGAAGAGCAGTTTGAATATATGCTCGATGAGCTTGGAAAAGTAAATACTCCCAACGCAGAGCAGCTAAAAATGCAAAAATCATTGGATAGTATTAAACGTCGCTTTCAGAAAGATGAAGATCATCCTTTTCAAGCTGAGCAGCAACAACAGCAACAGATAGTGAATTTGGCACAAGTGACGCCCCCATCATCAAAGTCGCATTTAATGTATAGTCCAAATCAAAGTCATAGCCAATCTTCCAGCAGCAATGAACGTTTGCTTAGCCGTCGTAGTCGCCTCTATGACGATGTTAAGTTAAATGCAATGCATGACAGTGATACCAGCAGCGCTAGTTGCAATTCCACATCTTTTATTGTTCATCGACGCGAGGAGCCGGCAAACACATCGGAGATATGCATACCACTAAGTGAGACTGAGAAGCACGTGCCGGTTGGGGAAGTGGGGCAAAACCAGATGACAATAGAATGTGAATCAGATAACTATAAGATAACTGAGCGTCGCAATAGAGATCGCGAGCGTTTTAAGACCATTAAAATAAGTAAGGAAATGCGCGCACCTGACGAGCAGCAAGGACACATTATTGTGCCCTGTATTGATGATGAAGATTCTCAGGTTCAGTCATTGGATTCAGCTAAAACAGAGGATCGAGAACAAACATCTCAAAAACGGCTTTCGCGACTTGATCAAAAATATGGAAACATAAACGGCTCAGATAACGATGCCACTGGAGTCAAAAATTACTTGACATACAAAAAGCCAAAAGAGAAAAGCTCACTAATGCAACAACAGCGAACGAATGCGGATCCCTTGGCATCCGAATGTGGACAGATTGCGCGACCTCAGCCACGATCGCTATCTCGGCCGCGCTACATTAGTGGTTTGCAAAAGGTCAGTACTGTGGGCAAAGCAACATCTGCTGGCACTGGTCTGAACGCTGCATCATCTGCAACCTCAAGGGCAACAGCGTCGAAAACAGTTCCAAAAACCGGTGATTTAGGAGGGCTAAAAAGTCCGATGGGAATAAAGTCCAAGTCATTTCATAACCTGTCCTCTAACATTAGCAGCTCAATGGGTACTGGTGGAACTGTAGAGGTGTTGGCACCTCGGCAGAGTATAGGTGGTGCCCTGAGAACACCCAGCATCCAAGTCAGCAAGCTGTCAAATGTATTTCGAGCAGCACAACAGAACGAGGTATGCATCAAAAGAAAATGTAATATCTCAAGACAAGAAAAGTAAAATCTAAAATAATATCAATCAATAGGATGAAACTTCCGTATTCAAAGTGCCCAAGTTTGTCGGCACTTTACGTGCACCAACGACAGCTGGAGGTTCAAGCAAGCGAGCTGCGGGAAATGGACTGGCGCGCCCCTCATCCGGCTATTATAGCCTAAGTATGAGAGGAGGTGGTGATTCTGAAACACCTGAGGTGAATGAGAAACTAATATTTAAAAAAAATCCTTAGTGTTACTATATTTACATTACAGAGCCTCTCTTCTGCATCCTCACGTGGGAGTCTGTATGACAAGGATACGAAACAAAGTGAAGCGTTTGAAACACAGGCACTAGGTTTGAAGTTGACACAAGTGACAACAGGTGCATCGGGCATTCCAAAGCCGTCAGGTCTTCGACAACCAACACAAATGAAACGCAGTGGGTTACCGCGACCGTCTAGCATTTTAAGGCGTTGACCTAAATGAAAACCGAGAATCACATTTGCGACCAAACCGAAAACCCCTTTAGAGCTTTGTTTATATGATGACATGCATATTATTTCCCGTGCCTTTTTTCGCTACCGCCTCTTACTCACTGTCAATATCAAATTTGTTGCTGTAATACCCATTCTACTATAGTTTTTGCATTTATTTATTAGATTGATCAATTAGAATTTCCATTTATTTGAAAGCAAAGTCTACATGTATATTTAAAAAAAAAACACAAATTTACAACACACTATGCCTTAAACGATAAACGGAGTCATCTCCAGATATATTATAGTAATGAAATGAAAACTATTACTGTATATTTTTGTAAAAGATACAAACAATTTAGATATAACATTATTTGATGTAATTGTGTGCTGCAAATAAAAAATCGAATAATAAAATTATATATATATATGAAATATATATATATATATATATATATATATATATATATATATATATATATATATATTTATATATATATATATATATATATTATTTATAATGATATTAATTACTGAACTACTATTAAAAACCAATCAATGTAGCCACACCCTGCTCAGTGGCTAAATCACGAAAAAAATATAATGCATAAGAACTTATTAAAAAACCTGTTTGCTATAATAAACACTATCTAAATCACAATTTTCGATATGTTGATATTGTATCCATTATATAAACACCATTAAATTTTTTACCGATTTTGTTTCAATAACAAAGCATTCACCCTATTTTACGACTAATGTCTACGAAAACGTAATATAATATAGGATTCCATATTGTTCATTTTAATTTACATCAATGATAGAAATCTATTCAAGTATGAGATTTTGGTCTGAAAAACTAATGGATATTTATCTATTATATGTGTATCGTCTCAATTCACTGAGAGTTATACGGGTTTTGACAAAATTGTTCTAATATCGGATAAGTGGTAACTGACAGCAATAATAAATATTCTATGATTTGTCGTTGACCATATTTATAATAATACTATACGTGGAGGTTATAAATACAAATTAGATTGACAAGCGCTTCTTTTATTAAATGTACTAATTTTGATATATATATTACATATATAACATTTTTTGATTAAAAACTTTCTTAAGTTGCTTTACAAAACCGAATTTTTATAAATAAAATAATTATTTTTCGAATACAAAGCAAGTATGAGTGCCCTAGTTAGGAGTTCCAGCCCTTAATTTTGGAGGTATACTTTATGAAGGCTACAAGGCTTAGTTTTGCTTGTTTCATTTGAACATAATCATTATAGCAACTAACTTATAAGAAATTTATTTTTCTGATCTACGATGTACGTCATGAAATTGTTAGTTGATCTTTAAACAAGATTACCTCTTAAAAAATAAAATCTCAATACTTTCTTATAAAATAAAATTATTCCTCTACTTAGTTAGTCTTTTATCTTATATATATACTGTATACACGGTTCAAAAAATGATGTACATGATTATAAAACTTTTTTTCACTAACCACTGACTCACTTATTGATGTGATATTTTAGAATATTGTTCTTTTTATTTTAACTAGTATTTCTCCAAATAAATTAATTATTATTAAAGTCAGGAACGCTTAAACATATTTAATTTCTAACGGAAAATAATACAGCATTTTTTTTTATTTATATAAATTATATTTTTATTAAAGTAATTGGATAAGGAATACCAATGTAGTTGCTCTTAAAATTCAAATCCGAAAATCCTATATTTTGCTCAGTCTCCGATATAAATTTGCCTAATAATTTGAATTATTGTTGATCAAAATCGGATAGACTTATAAATTAAAGGGTCCAGTTATTGGGGCACGGCAATTTCTGAGTAAGTATTGAGTCTAGAAAAAGCTTAGCTGCTATTGGGCCGGGAACAAGAATTATGCAGTCGCAACGTTTATATGTCCCATCATTTTATTCATAGTTATTTAAAAAATTTGTAATTATCAGCACAACAGTGCTGAAACAATGTATTGAAAACAGGCATAATCGTCGGGAAAATCCAAGAGAAAAGTTATACCGACTGGTGAAAATGCGAATACAATACAATTATAGATTTAAAGATCGACTGAATCCCTTTAAGAAGACTGATCCCATCATTACATTTCCAAAAAAATTTGACTAAAACACGATTGTATGATTTGTCTTACCAATTCCTCCCTTAAAAACATTTGACATAGTCATCCTAAAAATAAACAATTTTGGACAGGAATAAAATTGTTATAATTGGTGAAAGACTTTCATATATGCATTAACCATTTTGAGAATTCAAAAAGCAGTGATGAATGACATTTTGGAGTTACCCGAATCCACTTTCATTGAAAATCTATAAAGATTAAAAGGCAGTTCCTACTTTATAGTCATAAAAATAGGAAAAATAAGATTTTCTAAGGGCAAATCGGAAGTTATCTAATAAATTACGAGCTTACATTTCAAATTTTAAGTATCTAGGTTTTATACCACTGACATGTCTAAATCGACACAATTCGTCGTCTTGATCAAGAATATGTATAATGTATGGGTTCTGACACGACAGGCAATAAAAAAATGACTAGAAAAAATTTATCGATATTTTGTTTATTTCAATGATCATTAATTTATATTAGTTAAATTATTTACAAGTATAAAAGTGTAAAGCATAAAAAAACCTGTAATGGACATAAAGTGCTGTAGTCGACAGCTAATTTGTTAAATGAGATACATACAAATTTTTTACAATCACTGAATTTTTAGATAATAGTTTTGCTTAGCAGAATACGCGATAATCTTGGAATGATTAATTTAATGTTGTTCATTTTGTTTTTGGACTCTATTGTTTTTGTGTGGACTGCTCATGCTGCACCTGGTCTCTAATCTGCGGGTTTTGCTTCTGGTTTTGTTGCTGCTGCTGTTCAGGAAGCTGTTGGCTTTGCGCAGGTGAAGGAGTCTGATTATTATTCTGTTGCTGCACAGTTTGTTGTTGGTATTGCTGAGGCACTTGTTCATGATGGACAGCTTGTGGCATGTACTGGTAATTATTAGGTTGTTGCTGCTGTTGGCTAGGCTGCTGATAGATAAGCGGTTGCTGTGGTTGCGGTTGCTGATAAGCTGCAATAGGCTGCTGTTGGCCATACTGTTGCTGTTCGGCATATTGCTGCTGTTGATGATGATACTGTTGCTGCTGCTGCGTATGCAATTGATTTGGTTGCTGGTAATGCAATTGAGAACCTTGCGAAGGGGCGGGATATGCTGCTGGCGGTGGCACTGCATAGTAGCCTTGTGGCATATTGGGATGTGGGGGCAGCTGACCTTGGGCAATCAAGCGCTGTACTTCTTCCTGTCGTCGTCGCTCAAATTCTAAATACTCTTCGTGCGAAAATTGCGGCTGTTGATCAATAGTCTCCCACTCTGGGTCCTTTTGAAACTCTTCCTTTGCGGTTTGCTGCATGAATTCATCTATACTGATAAGTCCGTCATGATTGGTGTCAGTTTCCTAATTTTAGTTGCGCCGGGAATGTGTGAATTATTAATATTGGTTTTTTTAAAGCTATTAGAATTGTACCTGAAAGTAATGCTCCCGCATGCGTTCCATTTCTTCAGCACGCTCGCGCATATCATCCTCGGGTAAATTGCTTTGGTATACTTTGTCCAGTTCCTTGACGAAAAGTGCTTTTACTTCAGCTTCATCCCAAAATCCATTGCTGTCAATGTCGTGGATTGAAAAGAAGGTTTTTGGATTGAAGTCGTCCTTGTCCATATGATCCTGCTTCTCCCAGACTTCTTCTAATTGCGCTTTATTACCTGGATGATGGACTTTCTCGTGCTTCTTGTGTTTTTGTTCCTTTTCCTTTATCTCTGCATCAAATTTTTTGCGAGACTGTTCATCCATTACTTTCTTTTGGGCCTCCCGTTCGAATTCTTTTTGCATTTCGTACTCCTTGAACTCGCCTCGTCGTTTACGGTCTGCCTCAGCTAAATCGTCGGAAGTTTTTTGAATTAGCTTACGCAAATCTTCGATTTCGAAAGTGTGCTCGTTGCCATGATCCAAGTGTTGTGGTACTTTCATATGGTCGCGATCAATATCATTACTTAGCTCGAACTCTTTATTAGCCAGCTCACGTAAACGTTCCAACTCACGACGTTTTATCTCATCCAGTTTTGTGCGCACATGATGATTCACATAATCCAGCTCTTGTGCAATTTTTCCACTCTAAATAGTTTAGATCATTATAATGGGGTAATTCCATAAAAATAAGATATCGCAAAACTTACACGTATATCGGCCTCAGGTGCTTTGTCTAGTTTCTTCCTAAACTCGGGATCAGCTTCTAGGGCTTCTACAACTTCGCGTAAATACCGTTCATATTCCAATGCAGCCTCTACGTCAGCTGTGGCAGGTGTGCTGCTTGGCTCTTTGCCGTTCTCCTCCTTTTTATTTTGCGTTACAGGCAAAGCCACAACTAAAGAAGTAATTAGAGAGAGCGCCAGCATAACATTTTCCAGAATCATGGTAAAACGATTTACTTCTGACTGTATTTTAATAACGAAAAACAGTTGTGTAAATAACTTCACAAATGTATTCTGACGTGTCTGTCTGTCTTGCGTTCTATACCTTGGCTAATGTTTTGTAACTAAGTGTTACCAGCTGTTTTAACTAATTAAGAGCGGCAGATCCCGTTTTCGATAAAATTTCCCAAATTCAATATTTTTATATATAAGTATATATTTTTTATATTGTATTGTATCATATATATTATCAAATTTAGTATTAATAATTGAATTATTTTGAATTTTTGTATCAATTAAGTTTATCGTGGAACAGTACCAATTGAGTAAGGTATCGATAGCATTTCGATATAACTATCGCTTAACTGCTTATTAAAAATAGTACTTTCATAAATATAAGTTCAAATTTTCATGAAAGTCTTCAATAAAAAATTTCAGTAACCACACAACATACTCAAACTGTCTATTTGATTCCATTTTATTACATTTTGTTAGTAGTAGACATGCCATAAATTTTAATATCTACATATCTCCTTTTTTGACTTCCATCTATTTATATTTGGTATTAATTACTAAAATTAAGTTAAAATTCAATATATATTTATATATAAATAAAATATATATATATATTAAATATAGATATGTGGAAATTTATATCATAATCAAAAACAACATATTCAAATAGAAAAATAAAACATTTTTTTGATCACGTCGATGGTGGAGTAAGTTTCAGTCTTTTTTCTTGATATTTTTATTGATTTTGTTATTTTAAACGCATAAATCCAAAAAATATTTGATAATGTTTGCTACTTAAAATTTATATTTCTTAAATAATTTTTTACATTATTTTGAAACACATCCAATAAGAAGTATACGGCAGTCTATGGTTTTTTTATTAACAGTTTTTTTTTTTTTAATAATAACCATCCGCACAGATATATATGTGTTTGTATTTAATCATCATAATTTGAGCTTTAACCCTCACTACCAAATTTAATGTTTACTACCGAAAAAAAAAATATCCTGCATGTGCCCAAGGTTCGAACCTACGCTTCCGTGACCGAGCTATCTCTACTATGTACTTTACCACCACTCCTCACTTTGTATACTAAGTGGCAAATCCAGAACTCAACTATATCTTGACAACTTAAGCACAATTAAATATCAATTCTGATTCCCCAAATAACAAACAATACTCGTTTTTATATATGCTTGGAACTGCTTTCCATATTATTTAATAACTTCAGCATAACTTAACTGATTTCAATAAAATATTCAGAATATGCCTTATATATTCAATAAAAATTCAAACTCCCTGACATATTGGCTATACTTGCATTTGAAATTTTAGATGTAGAGCTTGTAAAATTTCTGTCTAGTATCCAAAATATAAAAAATCAGAATTGTATAAAATATACATGAAACTAAATGCAAAAATTGGAGATTAGCTCTGAAAATGTAAGAGATATAATTGACTAACTGCAATTTGATATTTTTAATCAATTACATTGGAAATGATCAATTATTTGAAATAAATGTAATCTGCACATGCCATAGAGGCATACAAAAGATTCCAGTTCCTATAGACAGATGGACAGGGATACATTTAGATCGACTCGGCTTGTCGTATGTATGTATGTGTCGGGGATGGGGTGATTTTGATGCTTTAGCATCTCTTTTCATATGTCGACTGAGACTCGGTTTTCTTGCACCGCTTCGTTGTAGTCAAGCCTTGAATGCATTTTGTAGGACTAGTAGACTTCCATATGCAGTTGTCATTGGTTCTTCATTTTAAGTGATTTCTTTAATTTATTCTTCTTTCATAACAAAATGGTTCTTAACTGAGCTCCAAACTAATATTATACTAATATGTAAGTCATATAATTCTTTACATATGCACATATATTTTATTAGTTTTACCTCGAAGGCCAGGAAGGTACCTGATTATTCCGATATGTTAAGTCCACAATTGTACAATACTTTGTCTTTTAACAGTGTGTTAAGTCGATGTTGCCCTGGTATGAATAAGTGAACAACTGAAACCAGTTCAATTTTATAAACAGATGCATTGTGTTCACTTATGATGAAAACATTTCTGCCAGGAATGGTTCCTTCAGCTGATCAGGCTTATAAGCAAAATTTAGGTTTGAAATTTAAATTATGGCACAAAGTGCAAATGTATCGGATAAAAGCAAGTCAATCAAAAAAAAAGTATTGACTAGCGTAGAATATGCACTAATTTGTCAGTTTATTAATGAATTCGGTGGTGGTGGACTCCCAATGGACTGCGAGCTAAATATGGTAAATCGCGTTTTCACTGACATTGAACCACTAGCTCTAGTGTGTATATTACAAACGCAACTATATAACAAGGTGCGCGGTCAGCATTGGCGCCATGACAACCGCGCCAAAAAGCTGTTAAAAAAGTGAGTTTAAATATAAGTATGTAGCTTGATTAAGAAGCTTTCTGATTGATCTCTTTGCTACTTCTCTTTAGTTACGATGATCAGTGTCACTTGTATAATGATAATAATCTTCTTACGCGTATGGCTTGTGCGGAATCAATAAATCCCATATCGTTGTGTCGTCTTCTACTGCAAGAGAAATATGATTTGAGACAAAGACCTATCGTTTCCCAATTGCTCAAACATCCCCATTTAATAAACGATGCACGGCTAGCCGCCAACGTACAGCAGTGTTCATACAGCGACAATCAAGAGGGACCTATTACAGATCTTCGACGACGAATAATTGGCGAAGAGTACGAGCAAAAACTTAAGCAATTGGCTAATGAAGCTGGTATATATTTCTATGATGAGAGAGATTTGCGCCGTATGGGATATGACAAGACGCCCGACATCAAGGTTATATTGCCGTTTCTTTACAAAGGGCTTATAGTTAACTGGATAGAGAGCAAGGCTAATTTCGGAGATCCCAAAAGCCACAAATGGAATATACAGCAGCAATTATTGAGTTATTGCAATCGGTAAATACGCTATTATTGGATTTTGTACATATACATATCTATATTATATACATAGTTTTGGACCTGGTATTATTATCTATTGGTTTGGATATCATGAAAAAACGCCGCAGCTACCGGATAATAGTATTGGTATAACAATTCTAGCAGATTTTCCCGATCGCGAGCATTTGGATTTCATGCAGATGCCTGAATTACCGACTCCTGTATAAGCTTTTTCCATTTAACTTCTTGATACACTGTTATTAAGCAGTATTTTTTATATACTCTCATATATATAAATAAATGATTGCAATAATAAAAATAATATGTGTAATATATATATATATATATATATATTGAATGTATTGAATAATTATTGTGACAGAAAGTAAAACATTTATTATTTAAGCCAATCAAATGTATGCTTTTAAAGATAAGCTTGCATTTTATTTTTAATTATTGATTGTTTCAAATCTTATTGTTGCAATTATTCGTACTAGGTAGGCAACTCGTCGTTTACTTTATAACTTTTGAACTTGTTATACAAAATCATTCGAATGGGCGTTACAGGTCTTTCAGCTCCTCGGGCATATCATTTTTGGGATGTTTGTTCTCAAAATGTTGCTTGTAAGTCTTAGGATCTGGCATTTGCGACTGCGTGAAAGAATTGAAGTTTAAATTTTATGAATATTAAAGTTGTTTGGATAACCTTGTTTCTTACTTTGCAGAGGACACAAACATGTACGAGTGCTTTTTGGGCCGCTTTTTTTTGGTCGTTGGCACTGTGGCCCTGCTGCTTCTTCATCTTAGCTTGTTTCTCAGCGGCCTTTGCTTGCGATTGTATTTTTTGATGTCCGCGTGCCATTGCTGTTGCTTCTCCAAGCTCTACAAAATATCAAAATTCGTGTTATAATTTTTAATCAGTAACCATTAACAATAGTTAAATAAATATAAAAATTTAATTTTAATTTATTTCATTTTCATAACTGCACAACACTAGAAACCACAGCTAATTGACATTTGGCATTCCGTTTGCCTGTCTGTACTTTCTCTGTGGCTCATGTGTTCGAATAGATTATTGATACGACTAAATCATTCTTTTTAAATAAAAGTACTTGTTAGACGTCATCAGAAAGATATGGCTGCAAGTTTATATCGGTTGCCAGCTCCAACCATCTTTTTCTTAACACGTTTTTGCTCATTTAATGACCACGTTTTAATGGCTCACCTAGTTGTAAATTTGGTAGAAAGATATGCAGATGCAGTTATTAGCAAACTTAAAAATTTGTTGTAATTTAACTACGTGTTTTGTGATACCCGAAATTATTGACACTTGCTTAGCGTAAATTTCCTTGTATAGTTTGTTTTTTATTTTATAGTATTGTGACCTCTGCTTTTGTAGTATTGAGTGTTGTGAAGCGATTTATTCGCAGAACACAAGTTAAATTGGTCGTCCACCGCAAATTATCGATATGCTAGAGGTGCAACACTAAATTTTACTTATGATAATTCAAATCGTCATATATTAAAAAATAACAATGTTTCGTATGATAAAGGCTATGAAAATTCTAATCACATGAATTATAGAATATATACATACATATAATTTTTTGGTGCACTGAAAAAGTAGGTCAACAGTACTCAACAATAGAAGTTTTAAATTTGCGGTTTGTTTTATTTATTATTGTGAGTTGTACACACGAGAATATATTTTAAATTTCAAGTCTCTAGTATCAATTGTGTTCACAATATACGTAAGTTGGCGTGGTCGAAAATTTGTTGTCGATCTATACAGAATCTTCACAGAAAGTCACATGTCAAATTTAAATGTTCGAAGATACATTTTTTCCTAATTTTCAACGTCCCCATTGTGTGTAAACGCGTTGTTGTCAACGCGAGTATAAGTTCCATATTTTAAGTCTGTAGCACTCAATTTTTTTTGTAAGACGTGGTGTATATTTATACTATTTACAAATTCAATTGAGGAGGTCAACAGTAATTCTGTTGTTAAAATTTGAGAATTTAGCTTGTAAGACTCTCCCATTGGCCGAAATGAAGTCTAGCAGTTTAACTGAAAGCTTTTCTCAAATACCAGATATTGTATTTCTCTATTTGCCACGTCCCTAATGGGAGTGTCGGCAGAATCGTAACACTTAATAATGAGTATATATACAAAAATTTAAATCTCAACAGCAGCTAAATGGCTTGCGGACGGACACCATGACGGACATTGCAGGAAACCAATATACTACTTAACTTCGTGAATGACTATATATAAATATAATATAAAATTTAATTTCACTCTCTTTTCAGAACATTTCAAAATATTGTTATATTAAATGACAACGCCAAGCGAAAGAGATGTTTTCATTTTTTGTTTTATGTATGAGAATAAAGTAAGCATTTAATTGTGAATACAACAATTCTTTATCATAATCATCATAAAAGAAGTGATTAGAAAATTGTCAAACAAGAAATTATTAAGCTATTTGGCAATTAAACTATCAACAATTTTTGTATTAGCTTATATTACATATAAATTATATTAATTAGAGTAATTGGTCATAATATTGTTATTTTTCTATTGTGGACCGTAATACTTAACGTATTTTACACAAATGAAAATTTAATTATATATATATTTATATATAAATATATATATATAAATATATAACGTGTCTAAATTGGCGACTAAATTATAAACTATATTTGAAAAGTGAGATAATGATTTTTTGTGAATCCATGATAAGCTTCTATGTTAAGTTAAGAAACTCTGGCTTTTATTGAGATATTCTTACGCCTATTTGTTTCATCAGTTATTTATATGAAAAATTAATCATTTTAAAACAAACCTTTATTTATATTAAAAAATAATTGACTTAATTTATTATTATTATAACTTTATATATATTAAAATCAATTGTAAAGTTAACATTATCAATATAAAAAAGTTAAACTAACATGCTATCATTATTGTCGCAAAATTCGTTAATATTATCAACGAATACAACTTTTTCAACTATTTTCGAATCTTTCTCCAACGTTATTTGCTTAAGGCTGTTTATTAAGCACAAATTTTGTTTAATGTCGTTTTTCAGCTCGAGAAGCTCTTGTTTTGCTTTAGCAATATCTTGTACATTGTCTTTAATATTACCCTGCAACTTTCCCACAAAGAGGATCCTGTCCCTATTCGTAAACCTCTCACTTTGGTTTTGATAATGCTTGCATTTGTGTGTTAGCTCACGCGTTAGATGGTATTCCTTTTCGTATCTGGCATTTAACTCGACGTTCAAGGACGCCAATTTGTTACGTAAGTTATTTCGCATACTCGGGTCTTTGCGGCGACGTCGAATGATGTTGTTGTTGATAAATGTTTCAGTTGTGTTTTTATTAGTTTTATGATGGTTCTTTTTAAGACACCTTTCGGTCGATTTATTTGTACTCGGCTTTTCGTAATGTTGATCTGGTAATATGACCTTAATTTCGATTGTCTCCGTTTTTGGCTGAAAATTGCTTTTATTATCGGTTTGAGTTATGGTGTTTAAGTTCTTAATATAGGATTTTTTCTTAGTTTCACAGCTGAAATTCAAAAGCCTTTTTAGACATTTTAAAATTGAAAATCCATTCCAGGGTGACGAAAATTTTATGCTCTGCAGGGGCATCGATTTTAATTTTGATTCCGATTCCGATTCCCTTAGAACTTGCCGTAGCTTAAGCGATAGACACAACTACAAAATATAAATGGTTAAATATATATTTAAAGTCAAAAATTAGCAAGTAAAATGTTACTATCCCAAAAATTACATGCAATGCTTGTGTGCATCAATATTAAAATCAATATGCCCAGGCAATAGTTTTGTGTCTGCTACTAACGATACATTATCAAGTTATAAGTCATTAAATTGTTCTCTACGTAAGCCAGAAAGAATGAACTATGTGTACTATATATACTTTCTTTTACATTAAATAAAAGTTCATGTCGTAGCAAGTGATCAACGGTCAAGGAAGGGAGACGGCGGGGGTTGCTTTTAAACACAAATTTCGCATTTTCAGTCGCGTGTGGCGCCAGACGGACGGGAAGGTACGAAAAACCACACTTATTATGCAATCACTGTCGACTATCGCTCTTGCATTTGGGCCTAGTTTTGTACGGCGTGTCGGCAGGGTATGATATTAGGGAGGCAACGGGAAGTGTGGGCTTAACGCATATTACCTCATTGTGCACACGGCTTCCAGCGAGCCAAACAGGTAAAATGGCCATGGCGCTATCGTAGCTGCGCTCAATACCACGCAAACGTTCCGTTATAACGAAATCGTTGTAGTCACGCAATTCTGCTCCAGAGTTTGAGCCATGGTCGCCATATTTTTTTTTTTTGGGCCCTGCACAAACGTAACAATAAAAAAAAACCAGTAAATATTTGTTAATAAATATAGAAAGAAACTCCGTTTATATTTCTAACTGACTTAGCATAAATAATTTAATAACTTATATCTATAATAAAAAGCCTCTAATCTTTAAGCAAAATAACTTATGGAAAAGTTTAAAGATAATTGAGAGACGATTATACCTTCTTCTGATCATCTAAATATTTATAAATGTATATTGCTGTTTGTATATGTATATATTTGTATGGACTTGTTGGAAAGAACTTGCACATATTTAAAAACATATTTATTTATCCATATTTATGTATATTTACGTTTTGTATTTAATTAAAATACATATAATAATCTGTTCTAAAGTCTTTCAAATGGGTATTTTATAATTGAGATCACGCAATGTTTCTGGACATTTAATGAAAAGGAATACAAACTCACCTAGCTTATTGTTAGCGATATTATTATTAATGTTGTTCTCGGTGTTGTAAAATTGTGCATTGCCATTGTCATTGCCATTGCATAGCTCGTCATCAATTAGCGCTTTGATTATCTCATAACAAGTTGTTGTTTTAGTTACACCCGATACATAACGTAACTCATTACAGCTTAGCCAAATAGGCAATTCCTCATTGCTCTGTTTCTGTTGGCGCAGATAGATAATGTATTGGTTATTTGTCTCCAAGAAAGGTAACTTTGATGTGATAATGTATTTTCATTGAATATATTTTGAATATCAAATGTCGATGTAATAAATCCGTCATTCTGTCCGAATAAATTACTAGTTTCAAAGGGTAAAAAAAAAAATTTGGAAGTGGAATTCTGCTTAAAAAAAATACAAGAAATTCTAATTTTTAAATCGTTCTTTTAAAATAAATATATGGTATATATTATATACAAATGTATATAGTATATACAAAATATGAACAGTTATATTGTCTTTATATAATAATTGAATTTTATTTTTTCATTTTCTTCATAGGATCACGAATATTTTTTTTATGATTAAAATTAGGGGATTTTAAATTTTACTATATAAGTTTAAATAACTGTCCATACTATTGCGTACACCAGTTTGAAATTTACCGATGGAAGTTCGAACCGACTTTTAACGGCAACATTTTTGCTTTAAGTTTAAAGTGTTAAATTGACATAAATACTTTTTTTATGAATAATACAATTATGATTTGTGGATTGTTTATCTATTGAAATTTATGGGAACAATTTAAATTTCAAAGGTCGAATACCACTCTAAAAGATTGACCCGACAAAAAATTTGTCACCCCTATAATCAAGAACTACTCATACTGACCAAAGCCAAAATTGCTGGACTACTGGACAGTACTGTACTTGCTCTAGCTCTAGCTCCTACTACTCGCCGAAATTAGTCTGTTTGCTTGAGTTCAAACTAATACTGACGTATACTTACCATAGTGCTATTAGCGTTGCAGAGGGATTCGAAACGCTGTCGATGGCGATAAAGATGACGTCGATTAGTAGCCTTGGTTGGTTGGTCATTTTCATTTGTCGTGTTGTCATGTTTATTTTGGGTATGTCCTGTGAGCAGGGGAGCATCGATATCTACTTTGGGTGCTGTCGCTTTTGCATCTGACAAATGATTAGCACTTGGCTCTTTGTTGTTGGCGTTCCTTTGATTTTGGCGTCTATGTCGATTTTTTGGCGTAATTATGGGGCTACCAGGAAAATGAAATAGCAGCGAGCCTGGAGCATGATCGTCGATGAATGTAGAATTTTGTTGTTGCTGCATTGGTATACGCTCGATAATTGGTCCTGGAGTGAAGAAGCAGGTGAACCTTAATTGTAATTATATGTGGTTGTGTAAACGAATGGTTGGTTGGTTTTGTATATGTAGGTGTGTTTGTATATTGTAGCTTGATTTCTGAAACCATGCAAAACTTTCTGTTGCCGGCTAGTTCGATGGAAGCCAACGCCTCCCTTGCAATCCATTAAGATTTGTTGCTAGCGATTAAATAAATTATGCATGAGTTTCTATTGTATGGTATTGCCAACTAACTTTTGGAGTAGTGGCTCGATAGACACCACTACAATGTTCACTTGCCCCGCCAATTGCCCACGTTATTTATTAGAAAAGTATTCATCATTATTATTACCATAATTCTCATTTGAGACCCACTCACGTTTTTTGTTAACTCATTGCACAATTTTTCTTTTCAGATTCAGTTAAAAAGTCATAGCTTCCATATGTAGATTCCAGATCAGAACGATACCACGCAACCATAACAGTTTATATAATTTCCGAAATTACATTATTTTTCAATGATATTACGATTGATTTAATATTGAATTGTATTTGAGTTGTCATCAGTTAGCTTAGATTCGGATATGGCACTTTCATAAGAAACAATGAAATGGGGTTTTAATGAGTAATGACCGAGTAATCAATCATTAAATAATCTTAAGAAGTTTTGAAATCTGACACGAAGGAACATTATTATTTAAACAAATATATCATTTATATTCATTATGTATATAATATCTATATAATTAAATTGGACGCGGCAGAGAGTAAGAGTCTAAAAATGTTGTGCCAATTGGTAAAACCAATTTGTTGCATTTTGTCTATGCATTTGCACGCATATATTTAAGCGCTTGAATTCTTTTCTATCAGATTGATAACGAGTTCTCTTTTAATTATTAGCTGCTACTTCAGATTCGTATTTGCAATTAATCATGGAAAATATTCTTAGCTTGGCTGGCTGAAAATACAGACCTGTCTTTGTTCAGGTCTGTCCCGACTAGAGCTTTCTGCAGTATTCAATGTGCCAAATCGGCTAAAACCATATATTCAAAAATTCCGTGACTGTGTCGGTAGCGTCGAACTGATACATTCTTGCTTATTCTTTATGTTTGTTTCTGTTACTCTAGTATGTCTGTATATATTACGTTATGTCATGAGAACCTCTATTACATCTATTATAAATTAATATATCTACCTTATCTAATACATATGTGTTATATAAATTGTTTACTCTTCTGACTTTGAACATGAAGCTTTTTACAAGATATCACTTATTCGAACATTCTCTGTTGGTATATGATAATTGGTTTAAGGTTCCAGTTCTTTTTTGTTTTTTTGCGCTGTTTTATTCCACACATTTCATTTTGGCACCCGCAGAACCACAGAATATTATGTAATCAACTGTGAATTCTCCCAGTGCCAAGATAAAATAGCAGAAACTTGGCTTAATCGACATGATTATGTACTAAAGACTTACCAAATAATAGTTTTCCTCTAAGTTTGAGGCTTGCTCTGTATATTTTGATTTGAATAGTATTTATTAATCTCGATGTTTAAATGGTTTGTGCCATTATGTTTTATAAAGAATTCGATGCTCTGGCTACCACACTTGCTAACTAAGCTCAGTTGTCGGGCTGGAGGTACAGGACATGTTAATCCTTTGAGCTTTGACACTTGACTAAAGTTCAAATTTGAATTTGCAGCAACGTAACGTTCCTCTAGACGTCGACGTCAGCAGCGTCGAAAATTTGTCAGCGCAGCCGGAAACTGCTTACATTTATTCTAGATCTAGGGAGGTGTTATGTGCTAAGCTGCTGTCCTTGTTTTACTGCAGGCGTAGAGTGATTGCCCCCTTGCAGTTTATGTGTATTCAAATAACACCACACATACTAAAACAGGCTGAACAGACATACAGATTTAACAGGATAGAGAGAGAGAGAGAGAGAGAGAGAGAGAGAGAGAGGGAGAGCGAGAGCGAAAGAAAGAGAGAGAGAGCGTGATGGAGAGCGAGAGAGAGGGAGAGAGAGTATCAGAGCGTATAGCTAGTTTTGACTAGGAATATTATTCGACAGTCCTACAGTTATTTAGCTGGTTGCTAGTGACAACTCGCAAGTCGCGTTCGATGCACAACAAACAGAAATGAACGATGACGTATCCTTGACGACGGCTTGTGACTAACTAAAATTTTATTTGCTACCACACAAAACTTTAAAGCAATAGCGGGCAGCTAGAAACGCGCACGCACACCTGCCATAAACATATGCACGCACACACACACTCGCACATACCGGGTATGATAAAAAGAGGGTAGTTAGGTTCTTTTTCTGCCGTCATCAGCGACTGTTGTTGCTGGCAATAGCAGTTAACAACTAACAACTGGCCTGTTGTCGTTTTTGGCCAACCAGCAGCAACCACCAACCAAAAGAAGTCGCGTTTTGTCGTAATACTTTTCCACTTGCCTTATAGACAGGCGATCCACATGCGACCACTCCCTCAATCCACATTATAGTTCGCTTTTTTCATAGCGTGCAACGGCTACTACGACTACAGCCACAACACTGCACTCCCTTTGATGTTATTAGTAGATATTCTTTACCAATACCATTGGCAATACTCAGGCGTTATTTGGTAAAACCAGATTGTTGATAAAATTTTACGGTAACAACAACGATAACTAGCTGTATGTATATAAAATGTACTTTACTGGCAGGACCTAATTCGATGACTGCTGTTTTACGGTATTATATATTTTGTTGTAAATGGACAGCATTTGGATATTCAATTCGATATTCTTGTAGTCTCTAAAAATTATAAGTAACAGGCATATCCTTCTTTTATATTTATCTGTAACACACTATATATATGTGTATAAATATATGGAATACAACGTACGTTTGTCGATCATTTCGTCTATATATACATTATATATACATATAGTATGTGCATTTAATTTGAATGTATTATGTATTTATCGGCTAATCAATAACATTTTATGTATATCTCTAATATTTTCTCTATATTCCGTTTCTATACAGTTAGATACATATTTAACTGTTGTTTCATTGATCAATTCTTTATTATTAGACTCTTCACTTCCGTGAAAAGGACAAATACTGAATTGAACAAAAACTAATGTATAAAACATGGAAAATATATTCTTTAAATAAATTCTGTTGTATGTTGAATGATAATCGGATGTTATTTGATATTTTGAATGTATATTTGTATAGACAAGGTGCAACTAAGAATGTATTGTATTTACACACCGAGTTGAGCTATCTCAAATCGTAAAACCGATATGTTCTACAGCTCTACAGCTGTAAACAACGTAGTATTATATATATAATTTATATATAATTTAGTTTAGTTAACTTCCTTTATTGATTAAACAAAAAAAAATTATACACATTAGGCGGCGTATTAAACCATATCGTATTTTCCACAGTTTTAGAGCCTAACAATTTGTAGGGGTGTCACAAATCAGAGAAAACTGTATATTCTATTGTCTAACAGATATAAACTGAAAGTTCGTATATTATATTATACGTATGACCAACATGTAGGGGTGATAAATAAGTCTAGCTCAACTCCATAATTTGACCGCTGTCTTATTGTATACAGTTATTTTACGTATTTAACTGTGTTTGGTTGTTCGTGCACAAACTGCAACATATATGTATAAATGTATACAAGATTGGTAAGTGATTCACTTGGCATAACGATTTTTAAAATAACATTTATGAAAATTCGCTCCAGTGGACGGAGGCTTATAATTCTGAATGACGAAATGGTGAGCTGGTCAATACCTACTTGTAGTAAATAATTATAGTAAATAACTGTACAAGAACTTCTTGGCACCTGCTTTATTGGGGTGGAAAATTCGTAGTACTTGCCGTTCGTTGCAGTCTAATGATTTTTCGTTAAGTCAGCTAAGCTGACGTAGTACGTCCCATATAAACAGTAACTGAGACTCTTACATGGTACTTAAAGACATAAAACATAACAAACATTCGCAATAAGAACATTTTTAAATCATAGAAATAAAAAACGATTTATTCAACTCGTTTTTAAGTTGAGCATATTGGTTTTCTGCAACGTCCTTCTTGCTGTCTGTATATCCGTATGAATGCAAACCATTTTACCACCATTGAACCTATATAGCTCATTAGTACCATTGGTACATAAAATGTTAATATTTCTCTAATACGCCCACTACAACCATGACTGAAAGCATAGTGATTTGTAAAACTGTCATACCTTGAAGCTGTTAGTGCTAGAAATAAATTGAAAAGGGCATATTTTCTAAAGTCCTCTAGCTCGAAACTTAAGTATTTAGTAATTGAGTTAAAGTTGTACGTTACATTTGCGGCGTTGCATCTTAAAAGGAAACTATGACTTTCATCCACTGTTTTGGAGTCTAAGCTAAAATTTGGCACTTACATTTCTGCAAACCCCTTCTTCGAATTGACCAAAAATAATATTTTCACGCCCGGGGATCGTTGCAAATCAAATATTTAGCTTCGATAGTTTTACTATTATTGACCCAGTATTTATTTTCAAAACATTTTGTATATGTGGCCTTACAGGGCGTGCCAACTATATTTAAAATTGGATTTGAATGAGGTTACTGCAGATTCCAAATCGGTTTTTTTTAACTTTTGAGTTTGAGTCGTCAAATTTCAGGTCACCTTCTCCATAAAAATATTTGTAAATTATTTTATTGCTTTTAGACCGTATATAAATAAACGTAAATATTATATGCAATTATTATATGCATTCGTTATATATAAATATTTTTGAAACAGTTTTTCAGAAACCAATAAAAACACAAATTATTTGTCAACCCAAAACCAGACCAAAATTGGACTACCACCAATACCCACATTAAACCGCGTGCCAACTACTGTGCGGTTGTCATTGCAGCAGCAGGTGTTTTTAAAGATCTACGATGGTATTGAAGCGGGAATGTTCACTTTTTTAAAAACAGGGTCCGATGGCTGGTGGATAGGTTGTTGGCGATGTGCGTTAGGCTGTTGCATTTGCCAACACACTTGTTTTGTTGACGAAAAAAGTAGGAACCTGTTTTTGGCGCGCAGTTAATATAAGCTGTTTGCCCCTTGACATATGTCTTGCTTTTGGTTAGGGGTGGGTCCGTTAAGATATTGGTGGCAACAACGTATGTTCATTGACCTGAAAACTAATACTCTCTTTATACCCTAAACTCAGTGAAAAAGAGTAATCGGGGTATAATGGTTTTGTTAAAACGTAAAATGTATGCATATGTTCCAAAATTCTCCAAATGGTTAAAGTTGAAGCTCAGTTGCAAATATAGCCAATTTGTAAGAGAGTATGCATTTTATTGAACTGACAATATTCCAATAATCATTGAAATCCGTTAAGTAACACATAATATGTTAAAAAAAAAGTTTAGCCATAGCTATAGCACGTGGCAAGCTGCGCCATGTGAATCCATCTCAAATGGATGATTTTTTTTCTATTCAAAGAATCATAATTAGAGTTGAATTATGTACCTTTGCTTTAAAGAGTTGAAATGAAAGCGCAACAGATGATGTTTTAACTTTTGTGGTATTTAATCTATGCTTAAAAACAATATAAAATGATGGATTAACATACGACATACCACTACATAAAAATATATATTTAGAATTTCAAGTCTCTGGATTTTGTGGTTTACGAAGATCGCTATTTTCACGGACGGACGGACGAATTGAGTGCCGACTAAGATTCTAAATTCAAATTAATTTATTTGACTACGTACGTATTTTATAATAAATGAGATTATTAATTAAGACCCCATCAACTTTTCCGATTAGCTTTGCTGTTTGTTGTCCAATTCTGATAAGATATCCAGATAATCATGTAACAGTTTCCTGTCTATTAAAAAGATCTGTACAAAGCCAAACATCAATTCAAACTATTATTCAAATATTTGAAAAAAAAACTTAAAATGTATTTCCATATTAATGTTAGGTAATTATAAATTTAATTTTTAATACGGCATATACAAATATGTGTTGCATTCCTTTAAAATTGAAATTTAGAGCATAACGTGAAAAGTTTAAAGCTTTAAAATATCTTTGATTTAAGGGATATATATGTAAGTATTCATTCATTCATAAAATTATGGACCTCATAACCTTTTAAAATAATTGAGTTGAATTAGTATTTTTGCAAAGGATTTATTATTTAAATTGTTGTTAAGTTTATCACAAGGCTTTAAGGATTGAATTATTTAAGCTAAACATTTTAATATTTATATATATTGTTTTTCTTTTAATACTTTTTGTTTTTAGTATTTTTCGACTTTGGTCTTCTATATGCATATGTTGCGATGCGTTATTTGGGCTTTAAGATAAATTGTATCTAAAATACATGGGCGAGTTTTTGTAATTGAATTAACATAGCTTCTACTTTTTTTTTGATTTCGGTGTTTCAAATATATGTTTTTAAATTTATATTTCTCCTTTTTTAGTTTTGATATGTTTTTATTTAAAATTGAATCCAATTCCTTTCTTGTTATGTTATATTAATTAAGTGCAAATATAGGACAAATATGATATTATACAAATACATTATTAAAGTATTAAAGAATGAATAACATATGAAGAAAGACTTGCTTAATATACATGTTGCTTTGTTATTTTTACTTAATACAAAGAATTTAAATTGGCTTTAGTGATTTAGTTGAATGCAGCCGACTAAAACGAGCCCTGTACCTAACTTCGAAATTATGTAATGCAAATTTTTTACTTACTAAAATTACTCAAATAGTAAACTGTAACTAAGAAAAATTTTTTACGAAAAAAATTCTGAGATTAAATTTTTGTTTTGTATTTTCATTTTGAGCTCTCCGCAGTGGGCGAAATTAAATGGACAGATAATTCAGTGTTCGTCATACTTTTTTTGGTTATGTTTAAGTCAATCTAAAAAATGTAAACAAATATTTTGTATAGCTTGAACCGTTTTTACTCATATTGTTTTCAGTGTAGAGGGGTACAGAATACAACAACTAACTTTGTCAGCAACTGTTCACTGAAAAAACCGAAACATTTATTTCAAGGCGAACAAATAATATAAATTGTTTGTACAAAATATACATACATATATATACTAATAGTTTTATATATATATCCATAAGTAGTTATGAAGAAACCAAAAAGCCTAAAATTGTTTTTGACACTTTTAAATTGAAGGCGGTAAAATAATTATACTGAACAATGTTTTAGTTGTAAATATTCTTTTGCTTATAACATCCTCAATTTTGTGTCTACCTTTTTATAATGAAGCAATTTGGTTTTGGTAAATACGAATAGCGTGTTACAGGCTTTTTTTTTTGGTCAACTACGGTTAGATACTTATAGCAATAAAGCTGATTTTTATATTATTTTTTATGTTAAGGTCTTTTATTTTAGACGGCATTACATTTTGGTACATGTTTCAGCATAAGTTCTTAAAATAGTGGCTTATATAATTTCTATAAATAACAATATTTATGTATAATTTTCAACTTGCTCAGTATTGAAACTAAAGCAAGTGTTTTCCAGTTTTTAAATAAAGCAGTCGAAAACATCTGCGTACGACTTATACACTGTTCACAAAATAAAAAATTAGTTTTATGCATTGTCTTGCGGCTGAATATTTTAAGTGCCTATTGAAGCCACATGCTTAAAACTTTATATATTTAAAAGTATATATAATTCGGTGTTTTTTATGGTCACGCCTAGCATAAGAATCTTATATTCCACAATTTTATGACGGACTTAAAATCTTCTAATGGTATACAAAAAAAGAAAAGTTTCTAGATATTAATTTGATCGATATTATTTTGTGTCTTTGTTCATTTGAAAATTGTTTTCTAAAGTCTCACAATTAAAGACAGTGCACCTGCGAAGAGATTATGGATCAGTTGGTTGCACTCAACTACCCTGTCTTTTTTTGTCTTCCGTACAAATAATATTATTTGAATGCTAAACAATTCGTTTGTGTATTAAATTTAATACAAAAATGTATGTTTTATTTATATAGTGTCGTTTTTTTTTTCAAATCGACAATTTAAGTTGTTTATCACTTGTTAATTTTTGTTTTGTTTTATTTTTACTATTTTGAAGATTGAACTTAATGTATTTAAAAATATTTTAATAAATTAATTTGTGTTGCTTTCCTTGTTACATTTAAGTTAAATGATCTGAAGAACTACGAAATTTCTACTTACTTATGGGCGTGACAATTATTATATAGTAATTATATGCATTTACCACATTTGAAGATTACTTAATAATTCTTTTTGTTTAGTTAAGCGCTTGTTTATTGGTGTTTATTTTAACTTATTTTTATGAAAAACCCTTATAGTGTACAAAGAAAAATATCAGAAAAATGGCATAGGCTGTTGGAAATGTTATTCTAGCAATGACATCAATCGTTTTAGCCACGCGTATCGGATGCGGCGGCTCCTTTTTGCGCATCTGAACAAAACAGGTCTGAAAAGAAATAATAAATTACTTAGTTAACGTTTTTGAATAAAAATTAAGTATTATGTTCTTACTTCTGTGGCACACCCATTATTGGCCGAATGGGTACATGGGCTATTACTGCTGCCACACGTTGTGCATGCCACAATCTCATTTGGTGCTCCGACATCGCGTCGTTTTTCGCCCTGATACAAGGAATTGAAATACAAGAAAATAATGAATTTCATAAAGGTTGGTAGATAAAATTATTTTAATTTAATATATATATATATATATATATATATATATATATATATATTTCATAACATTAATTTTAGCTTCATTTGGATACAAATAATTGCGAAACACAGTTTAAGCTTGATATCTTTTATTTCATAAATAAACCACATTACAAGATTGATATGAACATCTGCCGAGGCACATATGTATTATTTTTATGTAAGAAAGAATACTATAGATTTATCTATAATGTATATGGGCCTACCATATTGGATGTGGTACATCGGAAATAAATGGGTCATCCTAGTTTTCGAGTTTTGGGACAGACTGTGGAACCCTCAAAGTTGTAGAATATACAGTTGCTATTACTATTAAATATGTAATAGTGAACGGAAATAAACAGAACAGTTTTTGAAATAAATATTGATCCTAAGGATCTGGGAAAGAAATATTTATTTCCACAGTCTAGGAATACAAACTTTGGGGTGTGCTCGAGTTTAAGTGTATAAATCTTTACTTGACTTTTTAAAAACTAAATATATGGCTTATATAATTCAGTATACTTACGGGCTGTTTTATTTTATTTTTATTGGGAGCAGCATTGGAGAAATTGAATTAGAGTATGGCATATTTATTGCTTTACATTTATTTATCGTATTATGGTTCATTATTATTATAAGCCCTTGCAGATGGGTGACTTATATGCACACATATGAAACACATTTCTACAGTATACCATATACATACACTTGATATATTATAAAATCAAAATGTGATTGATTAACTATAGTCTTTATTAATTCATCGCTTAGTTGAAAGTAGTGTATAAAATATTACATATATATATATATAATATTACATATATATATTTATATTAGGCATTCTCAGACAAAATTATGATATATACGAGGGTTGCCTTTTATACATTGTGCTTGATAATGAAATTATAGTATTATCCAATAATTTGTTCCTTTAGTTTTCAAAAACAACATTGTTGTGTCAGCCGATACATTAGAGCTCGGAATGTCTTGGTGAATGTTTCCTGGTTGTTTCTTATTCAATGATTCTTGCGGTTGGTTTATCTTAATTCTTCGAAAATATAATAGAATATATTCTGGGTCCACTTACGATCTTACGTTAGCAATTCACGCGCAGCATTGATTTTTTCTGACACAACAACAAACTTCACGAAATATATTCTGCAAGGATCGTTGGCTTCAACGCCATTAAAAATAAATTTAAAAATTACTCAAAAATGTAAAGCAATGCTGGAAAACAAAACTAAGCACACTTAGTGAAAATATTCACTATATAAATATCAACGCTCGTATTTATCTAAAAAATGGAGTTTTCTGAAATTGTGCTAATAAGAAAAATATATCACAGCTCTGCAAGGGTATTCAACCTTCGGTTCACCAAAGACAAATCTTTTTTGAATTATAAGCTATTAATATAGCTGCTATTACTATAGCTATTACTATAGTAAATTTAAATAATTTTAATAAATTACGGTTTTTCTACATGGCATGAGAATTTTACTGCTGGCTTATGAAGTTTATGAATAGAATTTTTATGAAATATGTTATTTAAAAATCATTAAACTTGAGGGTGGAAATTGCTATTGTACAAAATAGTTTTTGAAGCAATGAAAGTCAATATTAAAAACGTGCTAAAAACATTGGTTTTGCGAGTGCACAAAGCGAGGGTTGCGTATAGGGTCTTTATTTATACCCTCGGATCCATTAAAATAGTTAAAAAATATTCTTGTTCTAAGTTGCAACTTAATGTAATTGGCAAAAGGAGGAGTGACCGGTCCCTATATATATTTTTCTATACCTCAATTTTAACAAAAAAATTCAATAGAAAAAATTACTTGCGAATAAATAGTTAAGTACAAACACTATGGATAAAAAGGATGTTCATTTGTTTTCCAATTAAAAACCTCTGCATTACAGTTAAGTATATAACACGCAGGATTTCGATATTAGAAATTTAAAATTAAATTGAGAAAAAACATGTATTACTTCAGATAAGTATCTTATAATTTTTAAACGTCTTTCTGTCCTACACATCTGCGGTCCCTCTGTTTTACTAATGTTAGCAATAAATTGAACTTAATTTTTAGAATACATTTATACGGTTTGCATATCTTTTTTAACTAAAATAATACTGTCTAGTTATTTAGTTGATTAAAGCTACTTATTTAGATAAATCAAATAATAGTAATATATATATCTCGAAGTTATGAATAGATGCTGGTAAGCAAAAAATAGAAATTATTAGTTATACATTATAAATTTTTGTTTGTATATGCATATATAAGTGTATATTAAACGTTTCTCTTCTTTTGTGTCTTAAGAGCTAGGGCCTCCAAATTTTGTATTTACGTATATCTTATGCATTTTTGATTTTTGTGTTATTTTGGATATCTGCTCCCAATTTCCCCAAATTCTTAAAACTTAAGTTCAGTTGAAAATAGGGCCATTTTGTGAAGGCGTTTGTATCTCAACCAAGAAATAGGATGTGTAGATCATATGCTAAAAATTTCATTAAAATTCATTAAGTAAAACAGAAGTTATTAAACAAAACGTTTGACCAATTTGCAAAAGCACATTTTTCCTATACGTGTGCATTCTTTTCTATTCGAAGAATCGAAATTGCGATTGAACTGTGCTGAATTATTAGCTGCTTGTTGACTTAACTTCAAATTTGCAACTCTATTTGCAGGCGATGCAATGTCTGCGTTGGTAGAGGAGACGCTCGTAAGCGATTAGTCCCTGGGTTTGAGCCTAGCGGCGATGGGACATTTTTTATTGTTTTATTTTTTAATTATGAAGTGGCGGTGTTTGTGAGTTCGAAGCTTGGTGTCGTAATGTCGATTTTTATTTGTTTTTTTTTTTTTGTTTTTTTGAATACTCGATACAAACTACGGAAAATATTAAAAAACGCAGATAGGACTGAGATCGGGGTATTTCATAGTCGACTTGTTCAATTATAATCTCTATTGATGTATAAATTAAATATTATTATTATTATATTATTATGTTCCTATTACGTTCTTTTTGTTAAGTTATACCCTTTTTACCATAGAAAATGATTTAAGCCGAATTAAATACTTATTTGATTTACTAATTTTCCTGTGCATGCCTGTTTCATAGTTATGGGATGTTGTAGTAAATAGTCAGATATATAACTTGGGAAAATATAACGGGATCAATATATAATGATCAATATTAATTATTTCATCCTGAAGATCAATGCTTGTCTTTTCGCTTTTTATGATATCTATAGTTAACTTATCTGTTAGTGTAATATTCTTCCAAAAAATATTTGCGACAATATATAAATAATCAATTAGAAATAATTGTTTCATAGTCAAGTACTTTGAAGAATACTTCAAATTGATCGGTGAAATCGAGTTTTATTATTAATCCATTAGCTACTTTTCTCTTTTATGTTTTTTATATAATGCAGGGAATTCACCATAAATTATGATTTCACAAAATGAGTTTTTCGCTCTTCTGCTCAAGTGATTTTGATTGTTTGTTAGTAGAAGAAATTGATTTTCCTATGAAGTTTATTTTTATCAAATTTGTATTTTAATTTTTTTGAATTAAAGCATATTTTAATAACATTTGTATCAAATTTTTTTCTATCTGCATGTACATAAGTATAGAAAATATATATGTCGTATCCACGTTTTAAGGCCCAGTAGAAAGTTATGTAGAGACAATAATAAGGGAAGAAAAATTCTAAAAGACACTTTAGAATGTTTCGGCTTGGCAACCGGCAATTACTCACATTTTCTACTGTAGCTTCAGCTTCAGCTTTAGCTACCGCCGTTTTCATCCTGTTTATCATTTCTGATTCCATATCCGTCACGTATGTGCTGTTTGGTGAATTAGAGCGGGAAGATTTTTTGCGGGGTGGCTTCAATGGCAAATTTAATTGTCGTTTGTTATCAGATATTTCGAGAATTGGTAAAGGTTGCCCTTGCGGTTGTTCCTTTTCTTCTTCTACATCATTTTCGTCTATTCGTACAACCAATGCTGGTGTGCTTGTCGCAATAGAGCTGCGTAACAAGGGTTTTTCTTTCATATCTTCAAGCTTAATATTTGTTACAGTCAAATTCGTCCTGGTTTTATCCATTGCTGGTTCATCATAAATATGATCGGTATTCAACATAGCCAATGTCGATGATTTCGATGACGCGCTCTTTGTGGCTTGATGGCCGCTCTTATTTTTGATCGAACGTGCCCGCAAATTTTGAACTGCTGCACCAATGATTCCACCATGCGCTTCCTGCCACCGCATACCGCTTAGAAATTCAGTCTCCGGTTGCCCAATCTCGGTGCTCGCTGCGGACTTGGAGGTGGCTATGCTCATTGGAAGCGGGGTATTGGTCATCTCTGATGTGCCAACCGTACTTGCCTTTTCGTTAAAAGACGATAAAGCAGCGTAAAATTCTCTTTCGATTACTTCCTATATTTGTATATTTTGATGGGACAGTTGGGTGCTACAATTGATTTGCGAACATTGAGAGAGGAAATATTGATGTTGAGATTGAGATTGGAGAGAAAGTTGGAGAATGATTTTAGTTGGGAATTGTTTGCAGCATATACGATTTTTCAATTAGTTGCATTACTGAAACATTCAGGTTAGTTTTGATAGTTCTCAATGGCTGAGCCGATTTTAAAACAAGCTATTGTAAGTAGGAAAAGTGGAATTATGAATATATATATTTGTATTTGAGGAAACTCAATTGATATGATTTAGATCTATAATATCATATCTGTTAATTGCTCACAAATATAAAAAGTTGTCCGTTATGAGAAAAATTGTAAAACGAATGCTAATATAAGCGAACTACCTACAGAAATGTACGAAAACTTATTGAGACCCACTAATAGTTATTAAATTCGTAACAGATATACTGTTATTATATAGTAATTGGTATTCTGATTTGTTTGTTTTTTCGGACATATATCCCATAAAAAAAGGTGGGATAGGTAATTGACTGTGAAATTTGTTTTGTTAGCATAAGAAAGAAAAAGCAGTCGGTGAAAAATATACGCTAGGTTATACATATATACAAAAGCTATGTGTGCACTGAACTATTTAATATTTAACAAATATAAAAAATCAACTTTTATTAGTAATGTATTTGGCTACTTTTGAATCACATAAACAATGTAAGACGTACAATTTAAACAAAATACTGACTATTTCAGCGCATAAGGTATTTGAGGTAAAAGAAAATATTGTTGGTATTAAAAGTCTATATACTCTAAAATATTTATTTAACATTTCAAAAATGATTAATGTTAAGCATATTATTAGGTTTTGGCAGTTGGCATATCAGTAGCTTGTGGGTACATGGAAAACAACACAAATATTTGAGTACAAATATCCTACGTAAATAATCAATTTAATGTTGCAATAATTAATTTATTGCTCATTTTAAATATTTTACTTATTATTTTAAGTAGTACCGTAAGAAAAATGAAAATGTTTTGAAATGTGCACATTTTTTTGGACACTTTCTTTTAACATTTTTCCCAATTGTAAGTGATCTTAAAGTGTGTTTTTATTTTATTTTTATTTTTTTTTTACTCAATTATTACTTTGACTCTAGTTTTACCGTTTGCGAATTCTTACTGTTGTTGCTATTATTGTAATAATTATTTGTTAATATTTATGACCAGTTTGGTTGTTATTGATTTTGAACCACCGAGTGTCATTTTAAGAGTATCTTGATTGTTGGTTATGGAAAAAAATTACAAAATTAAAACAAAACTTAATGAAAACTTTAAAGAAATGATATGCCATAAAAAACTTAAAAATGCGGCTATTAAAGCATGCTCCTACGTAAAAATAATGTATTTTGATTATTGCCTTATAATTCAATTTTATTATTTCGCTTAAAATAAATAACCCGTACCATGTACATATGTATTTTATAAGCATTAAGAATTTGAAATAATCTAAAATAATAATTCTTGTATGCATTTAGTATAAAAGCAAAATTCACATGCCATTTGTTAGATTTGCTTTAACTTCATGAAATTTGAATTTCGTGTAATAGGTAGAAGTGCGATTAAAATTATGTATATATAAATTTTTTAATGTAAATGTAATTGTAATTGTAAATGTAAATGTAAATGTAAACGTTAATGTTAATGTTAATGTTAATGTTAATGTTAATGTTAATGTTAATGTTAATGTTAATGTTAATGTTAATGTTAATGTTAATGTTAATGTTAATGTTAATGTTAATGTTAATGTTAATGTTAATGTTAATGTTAATGTTAATGTTAATGTTAATGTTAATGTTAATGTTAATGTTAATGTTAATGTTAATGTTAATGTTAATGTTAATGTTAATGTTAATGTTAATGTTAATGTTAATGTTAATGTTAATGTTAATGTTAATGTTAATGTTAATGTTAATGTTAATGTTAATGTTAATGTTAATGTTAATGTTAATGTTAATGTTAATGTTAATGTTAATGTTAATGTTAATGTTAATGTTAATGTTAATGTTAATGTTAATGTTAATGTTAATGTTAATGTTAATGTTAATGTTAATGTTAATGTTAATGTTAATGTTAATGTTAATGTTAATGTTAATGTTAATGTTAATGTTAATGTTAATGTTAATGTTAATGTTAATGTTAATGTTAATGTTAATGTTAATGTTAATGTTAATGTTAATGTTAATGTTAATGTTAATGTTAATGTTAATGTTAATGTTAATGTTAATGTTAATGTTAATTTTAATGTTAATGTTAATTTTAATGTTAATGTTAATGTTAATGTTAATGTTAATTTTAATGTTAATGTTAATGTTAATTTTAATGTTAATGTTAATGTTAATTTTAATGTTAATGTTAATGTTAATGTTAATGTTAATGTTAATGTTAATATTAATGTTAATGTTAATGTTAATGTGAATGTGAATGTGAATGTTGATTTGTCAATGTTGATTTGTCAATGTTGATTTGTTTAAAGTATCTGCGTTTCAAATATGATTGATTGGTGGTTAATAGCTTACCAAAGGACTTGCAAGAATAACTCCGATCCTGCTTAGTACTGCTGGAAGTCGCTGCAAAAATGTACACAAAATAATGTTCATACTCAAAACACACTTTAAGTTTATTTGTTGTTGTTGATTTTAGTTTAGATTGCGCTCATTCTGCTACATTATATGCACAGCTCAATTGCTGTTATGTACGATTTTACATAGCACATAAATTGGGAACAATGTTTAATATGTATTTGGACGAAAAGTTTCTTAAAATATTTTCAATATATAATTAAATGAAATGTAATTAAAATCATTAAAATTATTTTACTTAAAAACTTTAAAAATTCTATAAATTTAATTTGAGACAAATATTTGTTTGACATTAATACAGTATATTTTCACGAATAAAGGCTGAGTATCAAATGAATGATCAACATTTTTTAAACATAGTTCAGAAAATATATAAGTTTTAAACAAAAATGGGAAAAAACAACAGTATTAATGTTATTCAAACATGCTAAATGAGATGTGTATCTTTGTACTTATATAAGCATTCATACATTTCTGTATACGCTGATTAACACAATATGACTTTTTTATTTTTAGTATGAATATTTGTTTTTATTTTGTACACAAATCAATTAAAAGATGATCATGCAACATTTGTGTCTTCTTATTTTAGCTTTAATTACAAAATAAGGAACTAATTAAAATGTAATACCTTTATTAATAATCTAATTTAATTAAATATACCTCTTTCTAATTAAATATATATATATATATATATATTTATTTTTGTATAATGTTAAAGCGTTTTAGACACACCAGCTCAATTTGTAACATACAACAATTATCAAAAGGAAAAACTTTTTTATGGATGATTTATTTAAAATCTGTGTTACATTCGTGTGAGTTTCAAACACAGGAGTGATTACTGCAGCGGTTAGAGTGTAGTTGCATGGAAGTGTAATGTAACAATTAGTGAGGATGAGTTATGATGAATGGATTAGCGTTGATGCGCTCTTATGAGTGGCATTCTGTTTGGTGTGTAAATAAATGCACAGGACTTAGTTTAGAGGAGTGTGAGGTTAACCCACATCTTTTAAGAAGCAAGAATAAACAATAAGCACAAAAATAAATTATAAATGTTTTTGAAACCTAACGATTTTTGATTTTTTTGTTCAGGACTCAGAAGTTGTATTCAAAGTGCAAATTGATTACTGTAGCATAAATACAAGGTGAGTTTTTAAGCGAGTATTTATATGTGATATGTAAAAAATTACCATATAGAGATGAAAGTAATAATTGGGCTAGTTTATTTTAGAGTTAAGAGTTATGTAGAAATAGAAGATGATAGTAAAAATATACACATATCATTTGGCTTTAAGCATAGAAGGAAAAAACTTAATGAATTCGTTTGATTTTTGTTGTATAACTTTAGTCGAATAGTGCTTAGATGGTTTTGGAATCCTTTTAAAGGATAGTAAATTTTGTTTTTTTTTTTTAATTGAAGATTCGTTGTTGAAAATTTATTATTATGAATTAAGTATCTAGGTTTTTCTTATCAAATCAACTCATTCATAATGGATTTAATATTTCGAAAAATTTAAATAGTAAGTACACAAATCCTCAAGAGTATGTTATATTCAACGAAATTTAAATTGCATTTTATTCGAAATGAGTCTGTGTGCATGGTATGCTTCGATAAGGTAAAATAGATAATTATTGACATGAAATGCATAATAAATGATCCACTATCCTTCTTTTACCAATCGACGTTTTATTTAGGACAGTTTGAATAATAATTTACCTGTGTTACGGGGTTTTCTCCGGGGCGATAGACGACATTGTGCAGCGGTCGCTTGCGTCCCACATAATTGACACAAACAAATTCCAGTAAAGAGGCGTAAATGAAGCACATGCAAACGCCGTCCCACACGTTCATTGCTGTTAAATTGGAGACTACGGGTAAGGTGCTGCGGAAACCATTCGAGGTAGTGAAGAAATTCAACATTGTTGTCACGCCTAGATTATGTTGTTACAAGTAGTTGGGTATCCCAAATCGAATAAAATGAGAAGAAGAAGAAAGAATCTTGCATTACGTTTTTAAAACTCATTTACCATCCATCATGTTGCATATTTTTATATGCTACCTAATGGAGTAAATATGTACTTTTGGGGCTCTTTTGTTGCAGTTGGGAATTTGTGTTTTTTATTTGATTATTGCAACTTATTTTATAAATAGTTTTGATATAAAAATATATGAGCGAAAGTTCAAATTTAATTGCAGGGGCACATTGCGGATGTACAATGCGTGTTAAATTGTAAATAGCCACTATGTACGAGAATATCGAATATCTTTATTATATTTTTATTTAATAAAATTAAAAGAAATTATACATTCTCTTGCAAAAACTTTTAGCGATCAACCAGCAATATTACATCATATTAATGATGTAACAATTTATTCGCTTATCTACTTCGAACCAGTAACACAAAAAATAGACTTAAGTACTCATTTCCTAACAACTTTTGGAGTGTTCCTAGTTAAAAGTGTCCGTGATGACGATAGACACTTACCTTATTTACAGATCCGTGAGGCCGTAATTGTTTCTTTTACTTACTTATATGTATAAACTATATACACGTATATGCATAAAGTGTGTTATACGTTGTCTATACTATTGTCTTTTTTTTTGTCTTTTACTTTTATTGTTAAAGAAAAAACTAGGTTTGTACCGTAAACATATTGAATTATATACATGTTGCGGCTGATCTTCCCTTATAATATAAATATACTTTATCTTCGTACCAACCGTCCGCTGTCTTATCAATTTGATCTGCAATTGTACTTGTGTTAATCTTTAAACACTCGAACTTTAACAAAGTGAAGACCTATGCGTAAAATGTTAAGCTATCCATCATAAATAAATAAGCCTTAATTCCAGCTGATATGGAAACCCTTGTTGAAGCTATCATTTTTAAATCGTGAAAGACATTATTCGCCATTCAGCATACGGTTAACTTTACAATTATAGTGTTTTTTGGCAAGGTCTTAGCTTTCGAATACATTGTCATTATGTTAAAGCATACCCTGTAGTGTACTTTTAATGAATACAGAGATTTAGCATATTTTGGATTTTCGATGTCTCATAGTCGAGCAAATACTAAAGAGGAGGTTCAAAGTTTGAAGTAAGTAATGGAAACATAATAGGAGGGCCTAGACTCAATTTTTGAAGACCATATCGTAAACTCAATATTTTTTAGTACGTCCCGATGCTACTTGAAAATTAAGATACATATTTTCAGTATGAAAATTAAGACGTCCTATTGAAAAAGGGAACAAAAGGGATCACTTGATGATTGGTGTTGAACACAAGGGAGATTTGACTTATTTAGAGTAGCACGGCAAAACAGAAAGCAAAAGCATCCATTTTCTCCTCCTGTACAACGGAAGTAAAATCAAAACTATTATCTCGGCAAGCTGTAAATATTAATAAGCTCGTATATATAATGAAAATAACATATCAGATGTACTGTCAATTTTCAGCTCGACTTTAACGATCGAGCTAAATACATGTGCCATTTTAATGTAGGCAGTCGCCTGTTTTTAACTGATATTGATGACATTTTGTAGGTCTAATAAAAACGACAATTACAAATCTAACAAAATTGGCTAATTTATGTTGGTTTTTAAATGCATACATCTCCAGACATCTGTTCCTTGAACGCTCAAATATAATAAAAATATTTATTTATATATATGACTAAGAGGTCCTATTTCAGAGTTTCACATGACCATGCTACATTTTAACATTTTCATTATTATTTGTGGGAAAAGTATGAGGGTACGGATGCGCACACAGACACTCTCAATCCCTTGCACATATTTGAGCATTGTTAAGCGGAACTTTTGCTGCCCGTTTGAATTACAAAAGCTTACAATTTGAAGTCACTCGTACTGCACGAACATATTTGCATATATGTATAACTGTCGGATGTCTCGCAAATCAGTAGTTTGAAGTGTAGAATGACTGTTAAATAAGCTCATAATGGAAATAGAGAATGAATTGTTGATCATTGCTTAAAGAGCAATCTGAAAGGAATTGAATTTCTGATTGGATGTATGATAAAAAAAAAACTGTAGTGTCTACACTATATCAAAATAGGATAAAAGGGTTCGAGTTGTCAATGAAGGGGCGTTGTTGGCACGGAAGGTTCAGTGTGCAGGGCCTGACCCCTCCATTCGAATGATCGGAGTACAATCAAAATCAAAATTGATTTGTCTAGGCATATTATCACTCGCTTCAAAGTCACTAAAGGGCTGACTTAAAATATGTTTTATTTTTAAAAGCTGAGATTTGACAGAATAATATATTTTGGAAATACTCATTTGTTTTTCCAAGCAATTAGGACAAAATCAACATATTTCTCCACTTACATTACATTATGTTATAACTAACAAAAACTCGATTGTTAACAGTAAATTGTCATATTAGCAACTAGGATAATGCAATAACGACAAAAATAGCGAATTTCTGTTCATACGAAAATCATACAACGACCAAGAGATATAACAAGCACTCAACGAAAGAATGTCTTGCAAAAGTTGGAAATAGCTTTAAAATACCAAAACAACTCGTATTTCATAATCCAATAACATGTTTGACAAAAAAAATAAATAAGTAACAAGTAATTGGGGGTGCCCGAATAAGTTGATATCTTAAGTGCCGTCCGATCAGCGTTTTTCAATATTTTGCATAGTTTGTATCTACAAAGAAAAACTGATATTAGGATGCGTATGGTAGACGTTGGGTCATCAATCAACGTTAACACGCACCGATTGATTTTTTTAAGCAAAATTTGGTTTGCTCATGCTATAAAGTGTTTCTTGCCCTTACCACTGTTTAATAATATAATATATATCTTATAATATCTTTACATACATACATATAGACGAGACTGTGCATCTATATGTGGATTCAAGCTATGGAGTTTATTAAAATCGCAGATTGTTTGGGGCATGTATGTATATATCGATGTTAGAGTACAACGGTTAAAATTTTTCAATGCTCTCAAGCAGCCTTTTTGACGTCATTAGTAGATGGCCGTCTATACCATGTTCATGCTTAAATATTTTTCAGCGGACGAAGACGTCACTACTTCGACTCCTTCGCCTGCAAATATGATCGATCATTTGAAACAAATATATGTATAACAGAAGTCTGATCCGACTTATCTTTTAAATTTAAATTTGTATCACAAGTAAGCCGGATAATAAATAAATTTTAAATTACAAATCTGTTTGATTTTGGTTACTATAGAAACGATCAACAGATTGTTATGATTTTTTATTGCAATTTCAGTTTCTTTCAAATAAATTTTTTATTTTAACTTACTAAATAATTTATCTTTTCCTTGAGGACATTTAAGAGGACTTATAAGCAATAATATTGAATTGAAAGGGTAAGCGCACATTGTAAAGTTTAATGCCTGACTTTTAGTGTAGCTAGTGCAATAATTTGTTAATATGTATAATCGATAAATAAAAAGACCAAGTAGTGCAGATAGGATATACATATACTAGATAACAGACCAAACTTTTAACTTAATCGAAAATCTAAGCGTCGAGCTTCAAACTATTATAATCAATACTTTGAATAGATTGCAAGCTTTTTGATATACTCTTGGGTAAGGGATAACTTCAATATTTATTAATATTTGCTGGAATTTCACTAGCAAAAGAACGTCTAAAATGTTGTAAAATTAGTAATTGGAAGTACATGATATATAATTATTTTCATATGAATTTCTGATATATTATTGATTTGGCTTAATTTTTAATGGATTTGTGTTTTTTGCAGTAAAAATTTGGTATTTGGTTTACGTACCGATCATAACCCGTGCTGGTACTGCATTCCACTCTAGCCAAAATGTGATAAACGACGAGGTGACCAATATAATGCCAGGTATGAAAACGGTTGTAAAATAATATGCACGATCACGGGTAAATGTCATTTCGACCTGTAGGCAACTGTAATTTCCTTAAAGTACAATGCCAAAATCATTGAATTTGGACCACACATTATAAATAATACACAATTGTAAGCATCTGTTAACTCAGATCAATCATAGACGAAACAGAGACACAGACAGTAATATATACAGATTTATACAGATGTTACCTCTCCTATCAAAGGTCTAAATATTTTCATTCTAAGTAGTACTTCCATTATAAAAAAAAAACATACCAATAAATAAAAATAAAAAAGTGTGTGATTCAGGTTTCTGATGGATTCAGTTCTGGTCGGTTTTGTATAAGAACGGTTGCTAGAATAGGCATATTTATATATATGTATATATATATAAATTCAGAAACCATGCATCAAACCCATAAAGCAATATATTCTTAAGGGGAAGTGTCGCATACTTTTTTTGGCAGTGTTAACGCTTGAAGTAAATGTCTCTAAATTCAATTTGTTTTTTTTTTTTGCTGATATAAAAATGTGTTTTCAAATGCAAACTACTTCAAACAGCGAAAGTTAAATTACAAATTGTAGCTTAATCAAATTAAGATATGATTATAAATTGCGGCAGTAAAATTTTTGTAAGTCTATCGCTACAAAGGCGAAATAAATTAATTTTAAAAGGATTAAAATTGGTTTACTTTTTTGGTGAAAATAGCAAGGATAAATTTATGTATTGTATATAGTTGATATTTTAAATGATATTTGTTTTATACTGGTATTTTTTATATGGTTTTCGTTACCTATCATTGATCTAGCAGGCACTGCATTCCATTCTAGCCAGAATGTTATAAAAGATGACGTCACCAATATAATGCCAGGTATAAAAACGGTGGTAAAATAGAACGCACGATCTCTCGTAAAGATTAAATCGACCCTAAGGCAGCTGTAGTTCCCTATTCGATTTTAGATAATATTTATATTTGTTTTTTTTATGATTTTTTAGTAGTAAGAGGTAGCCAAGTGTTGTTATTATAACAATTATTTTTTTGTTAGGAGTAGACAAAGATAAGACCATTAGATATGCAAAACAATGTATTTATTGATAATACAAATTTATAATTTCTAAACAAATATTGCAATAATTAAGCTTCGAACTGCATTCTAAATTTAAAAGGATCTAAAAAACTAAAGTTATTTCTTCAAATTGTAATTTTAGCTCAAAAAAAAAACAGTTAAAGAATAGGCTAATATGATAAACCTTGATTCTAATTAAAATTGCTGCTAAAAATGAACACATAAAATCATACAGATAACAAACATACAGGATTAAGGCTTGCTCATGGGTAAACTTACCTCTCCAACTATTTTGATCACAGGCTGTTGTTTGATTTTTAATCAAATATGCATTTAATGTTGTCAATGAGGGGCTTTTTCGTAATGTGTCCTCATCATTTTTCCAAACATATTTAATTTGTGCTTCTTCATAAGAAACTGGCAGCCAGACACAAGGACAATGAAAATATAGGGGGAGAATTAGATAAGTAGTAATTGAAAAATTACGTCTAAACTAATGTTATTGAGAATCATTAATAATAATAACTTAGTTTATTTTTAGTGGCTAACTTAATCGTTAATGCTAATATAATGATTCGAAATGCATAGTAAAGTTAGTGAAGGGAAAAGTAAATTCATTATTCAGTTCGACAAAATTACTTTTAGGTATTCTAATATTCTCTTGGTTCTCAATAATGTTGTGCTTTAAAGCGGACCAATTGGAATATTTTGACAGAGCACATCTACATAGTGAAGTAACTCTAATCTTTGAACAGGGTAAATGCAGTTGAAAAGCCTTATCCATTCAAGAATCATAGGCCTGAAGACTGGTTAGTAGTTCTACTCTCGCGTCCCAGTGTAGCTTGTCTCTTCACATGCATTGTAATATTGCTCTGAACAAAAGTTTTTCTTTCGAGGTGTTAGTTCGCAAAGTGTATCAAAACAATTATTAATTTTAAGTATTTTCGAAGAAGAAGATTGGATCGCGAACTTCAATTGAATTTCCACCTGTGATCACGTCGTCCACGTAAAAATCTCCCAAGATAGTTTTATGCCCCAATGGATATGACGATGATTCATCCATAACTAATGACATCATCAGAGGAATCTTGCCATAAAATGAACTGAAGCATGGAATCAGGCGTTCCGATTCTTGCAAATCAATAGATGTCACCTGTAAGTGCAATGGAAAGTGTGGGAAAACAAGAGTAGCCTTGTCATAATCACCAGAAGAGGTGACTACATAACCGTTGAGCTGTTAACCATTGGTTTTACGAATTCGAAGTTGATTTTTTAATCTAAGATTACGTGGCACGAGAAAAACGTTACAGCTCGGGTTTTGGTCAGTATTATAACAGTAGCTATAAGCACATTATCAGACGGACTGAATGATGTATAGTTTGAAACCATTGTAGTGGTATACATTGGTTTTGCTTTTAGACCTTCATGTGACACAATATATGCCAATATGTCTATTGATAACGGACTGTAATGCAATAGATTGTGAGGCTTCGACTGGTACACTGTTCGCCAGCTTCCATCTGGAGTTGAAGGTGTTTAAATCAGCATCATTTAATAGGGGACGCAGATGCTGGAGCTTCGCGTTGGAGTTCAAATCCATGTCCTTATCAATAACTGTTCTGGTCATTGATTAGAAGTGTTCTCACTTAGTTATGTTTCTACTGAATTTCGGCAACTCCAGGTGCGACAAACTTGAACGATTAGCCATAACGAGCCTTGGATAACCATTAAGTGGTTGGTCAATTGCCGAGTTCGCGCTTGTCTGGACTCTATTAAAATTTGATTGTAGTTTGCTCAGGTCGCATGCATCCATCTGTTGTAGCCTATCAATTTCCACTTCAGTACAATTACACTGAGGTTATTTCAACTGATCAATTCCCATTCAAATTACAATGTTTATGTATAATTTAATGCAGCTTGTACATTAGTTATGTACATATATATACTTATGTACATATTTATGACGTATTTATGTACGTATTTATACCGACACAGCTGTTTTTGGTATCATGCGCTATCTATGCAGAAGTCAAAAGATCTTCGGGGTCACCGAAATGTTTTAAATTGCAGAGGCAACTCTGACTCCAATGATTTACGAAGGTTAAATTAAAGGCTTTACTTAGTATAATATGATTATTGTTTATTGATATGTTGTGATAAGATTGGAAGTTTTAAAGAGAAACACACCAGAATATTATGTGAATGAGTGGACTATGAGTAAATGCGCGCGACACATTGAAAGAGACAATAAATTTAAGATAGCTAATTAGAAGAGTTTGGATAAATTTGCAGGTTAAGTACCGTATTACAGTTAAGTACCATTGAAAGCTTACAATAGACGATTAAGATATATATAGAATTGTGCCGCTTATACAAAAATGTATAAAAGAAATAAAATTTATAGAAAAAAGTCATACTTACTGCTTTCCATTGAGAACGAGCACTTCGGATCATCGAATGGGAATATATGCAGACTTCCCTGACAAGACAGTATTAAGTGTCGTCTGTAATATTTGAAACAAATTAATTAAGCTTTTTAATATTTACGGTTATTTATGTATTCTCATATATTGTGTTGGTGTTACAATAATAAGACAACGTTACTAAATGTTGCTCATCTGCGGACTTCCTGTCGGAATCCCCATCCCTGGTAATTCAAGTTGATAGTAAATTGAGCAACTAACGCACAATAGTGAGCTAATGTATGCAGCGATCTCAGAAAATAGTAAGATTGAATTCTGGACGGCGATATCGGACTACGAAAAAAAAAAACAAATAATTCGGAGTTCATTACACCTGGAGTGACAGATGTAGCATTCTAGGAGCTCAATACGTAGGTTTGATATGGAATGGCAATGGGTTCTAAGCCAATGCTGCAATGGCACCCGTCTCGTTAAAAACCTGGCAGGCGCCCAAGTACGTTCAAAGCTTGTTTTGGCGTTTGTTTCTTTTAATTTTAGATAGGTTTTTAATCTGTGCAGAATCCTGGCTGACTGACTGGATTCGTGATATTTTCTTTTATTTACTCATTTATTCATTAAATAATATATACAAGGAAATCATAATAATATTCCCAAAAAGATGGGAATATTTTGTTTGCCAGCTGGTTAGCTTTGCCTCAATTCACAACTTTATTTTAAATAACTATAAAACAAAAAATGAATAATAATAACAGTTTAAAAAGTAAAAGGAATAGATTAATACAAAAGACTAAAATGAGATATAAGAAGAAAAAATACCGGAAAATCATTAACCCATTTAAGAACATGTTCACTTTCACAGATGGCCACTGTTAGTGATTTCCCACAGATGATCTGAAAGCTTTTATTAAGGCGGATAGTTGGTAGGTGTAGGAAAAAAAATTAAGTCTCCATAAAATAAAGATCAATATTACCAATAATCAAATCATGTAAGAAAACAATATCTAGGATTTGAGTCGATGAGTAAACCAAAATCTCAGACAGATGCCTTATAAGGAGATATTGTTAATTGTATAATTATTATTTATATAATTAACAATACATATTTATCATACGATTATTTATATAATTAACAATACATATTTATCATACGATTAGAGCAGTATAAATGTAACTGGTCAGCCACACACTAAACTTGCAAGGAATTTAGATCATTTCATAGGCGCATGGATTAGGATACGAGAGACAAAGTTTTACGTCATCGGCAAACATAAATATCTTAGAATGGGAAATACAGCCAGGAAGATTGTTTGTAAAATGAGTTGAAAGTAATGGTCCCTGATGGCTACCCTGAGCTACGCCCGACGAAACGAAGACATGTTTCAAAATAGCTGTTCTCAGTAAACCTCTTTAAGTTCTACCATTTAGATAGGGTAAAATCCAGAATAAAAGCTCAAGAGAGATTTCCAATTAACCAAGCATTTGATTTATTGTCAAGGCGCACTGAGTCGAATGCTTTACTGATATTAGTATATATAGCATCAATTGCATTTTATTTAAAAAACTGTCGTTGCCTAGAGTGAGTTCCAATAAATTAGCTTAAGTGAAACGATTCTGAGGAAAACCATGCTGACAAAGTGAAACAATCGATTTGTAAAAATTTTTCAAAGTTGATGTTATTCTGTTTTTTTAAATAACTTTGGAATAGCAGATAGTTTTTGAAAATATCTGACCAGTTTTTTATGTAAATTAATGCTGACACACTCTTTCCAAATCAAAGTGAAAACATATGCTTCAAGGGATAAGTTAAACAGATTCAATATGGGATGGTATAGACATCTACAGGAGAAAAAGGGGATTGGAAAAAATTAGGAAAAAAGAACCGAGGAATCATGATAAATACAAGAGTTATCTAATCCAAGGAATAATGGGGAAGGTAATCCATAAGACTTACGCCTCAAGTTTACAAAAGATTGAAATTGCTTCACATCGCGCACAAACTGAATTTCAAAAATTGAAATTTGACTTGACAAGGAAATGTTTAGATCAGTAAGCAACTAGACTTTTTAAAACATTTAGATTTAATGTCTTATACTCTTCTAGAATGTTTTATACTCTCTTATACTCCTCATGCATATACTATCCTTTAAATCTAGCTTATCTATTGATGCTAGTATTTTCCTGACTTATTTTTGATCTGGATCAGCGCAGTCGCCTGCAACGTATCTTGTCCTTTATTTTCTTTTAGACAGTTGCTCCTGACGGCCTCTTTTTTATTTGCATCCTCGTGAAGCAAATTGTTGTAGCTTTGGTGAATTGATTGCATGTTCATTTGTAGTTTATTGCCAGTTTTTCTGAATTTCTCTAGCCTTTTTTACATGTTGCTCGTAAAGTTGCATGACTTCCGTAGAGAGTCGTCGCAACAAAATCTGCACGAATAGAACGTCAGCTTCATTACCAAATTGACATTTATCTTTGATGCTAAAAATACATTATGTTGCTGTGTCCAAGAACTTGCCAATATAGCCTGTTCGTCGGCAGTTCCATGTCCACCAGTTGGTTAACGGCGTAGCACTTGCATATAAGTTCCAGCGCTGAATTGTAGCTAGCAGACGAGTCAATTAATAAATGGTTTGCAACCATTTTTGCTTCTCCTTTAAGGCATGATTTCAGCTAGTTCAGCTTCCTTGTGTCGCTGATATCTTTCCTGTTGTGAATCACCTCGGAGAATATTTCGAAGAACGTTGGCCACTTTTTGGGACTACCATTGAAGTGAGTAGGACCACTTTCGGTAGCTGTGGAACATCTTCTTGTATATTTTGCAAGTCAAGTCCATAAAGTAAAATAGAAATTATTAATTAAAACGTTTGGTTAATTTTCAAAAGCACATGTCGAGCAGCACCAAACGTTCGAATTTTTCTAGACGAGTGCACACATACATTCAAATTCTATTCGAAGAATCGAAATTGCGATTGAATTTTGCTTGAAGTGTCAGCTACTTAAGTGCTACTTAAGCTGAGATTTTCTCTTAAGAGATTTTTCACAAAAGTACTGCAGAGGTGGTGTTGGCGACGCTCATTGTCGACAAGATCTGGGTTTGATGCCAGGCGGAGAATGGACGTTCTATTTTATTTTATTTTATTTTTTAATTATGAAGTGTCAGTATTGATAGAGCTTTTATACAAATATATGTAACAGGCAGAAGGAGGCGTGGCAGACCCCATAAAGTATACATATTATTGATCAGGACGACAAGTCGAGTCGATTGAGCCCTGTCCGTCTGTCCGTATGTGTGAACGCGTCGGCCTCAACTTCCATAAGAGCTAGAGACTTGAAATTTATTTGTAGGTGCATGTATAGCACGCGCATTTCGAGTTTATTTCAAATATTCAACTATTCGGACTTAATTGTTATCGAATAAAAACATGATTGAAACTGCAAATTTCCCTAAATTCTTAAAATTGATATGTAAAGGCGTTTGAATCTCTCCCCAGCCAATAGAATATAAAGAGCATATGCTAAAAATTTAAAATCCATTAAGTAAAACAAAACGCTTGGCCAATTTGCAAAAGCACACGTCAGCAGCGCCACGCGCACGCATTTTTCTTATATGCGTGCATTCTTTTCTATTCGAAGAATCGATATTGCAATTGAATTGTGCTGAATTATTAGCTGCTACTTAACTTCAAATTTGCAACTTTTACACAAGCAGTGCTGTGTCTGCGTTGGTAGAGGCGGCGCTCGTTAGCGATTAGTCCCTGGGTTCAATCCTCGCGGCGATGAGACATTTTTTATTGTTTTATTTTTTGTTGTAATTATGATGTGGTGGGTGCGAATCTTGGTGAGGTAATTTCAGTTTTTATTTGTATTTTTTTTAATACTCGATACAAACTACGGAAAATATTTAAAAATTCAGATAGGACTGGGATCAGGGTATCTCCTAGTCGGGCACCCCGATCAGATGTTTCTTACTTGTTTACTTATGAAGTGGCGGTGTTGGTAGAGTTGATGCGCGTTGCGTAAAAAATGGGGGGGCTCGAGTCTTGGTGTCGTAATGTAGATTTTTATTTGTTTATTTTTTTTGAATACTCGATAGAAACTACGGAAAATTTAAAAAAGCGCAGGTAGGGTTGGGAACAGGGTATCTTTTTGTCGGGCACTCCGACTAGAGTTTTCATTCCTGTTTTCATTAAAACTGTTTCAGAAGGAATCATTTTTATGTGTGTAATTTCAAATGTTCACTACACTATTCGAATAATGAAGACTGAAAACATTAAAATATACAGTATCTGTGTATGTTCTACAAGAATATAATTGATGGTTTCTGTAAATCTTAAAGCTTTGCATATGGTTACTAGCCTGAAAAAAATGAAGGATATTAATAAAAAAATAATATTTCAAGATGGCCAGCATACAATATACAAGTATATTTTTGGAATTTCAAGTTTGTAGATTTTGCGGTTTTCGAGAATGCTCAGGTGGACATAACTAAATAGATTTAGTCTGTCGACCTGATTAAAAATATATACTTCATATGGTCTGCTTTTTTTTCTTCCGAGTTGTTCCGAAAATAATTTTCTGCTCAATCATATAAATGAACAAATGCTTAACAATTCGAAGCAATCTGTATTCATTGGAACAGTGAAGTGGATGTATTGAATTCGCTACTAATACGGGATCCATCAGATTTTGTTGGCTCTAGGTAGTTTTGTTACATTTTCAATGAAGCTTAAGTTTATAGAGTTTCATGTTTTTTTTTATTAGGTACTTTACTGCGTGAATGGAATAATTCGCATAATGATCTATATTTTTAATGTTGATCAAGAGTATGAATAACGTATGCAAAAATACATTACACGCCAAAATAATTCTGATTATCAAATGCTGTTTAGTTGAATGGGCTTCGATGTCGAGAAAAAAGACTTAATTATCCAACATTTGAAGTGTTATGTAAATTCGATGTTATTACAATAAAGAATAATGACTAAATAATCTAAATCATTGAAATATGTATGTCACATCCCAAACTAATTCGTAAACAGAAATGTAGAAGTGTAATGTAGAGCTCAACTATATTTGAAGATACTAAAATTTAAAGATTGTGGAATGGTCAGCATATATACTGTTATTAGGTTAACATTTTTTGGATTGATTACCAAGTGACTATGATAATTAAGGAATTTGACATTCTTTCTAATTTCGTTATAAGGCATTTGCATTCTGCCCGAGAGAATTTGCCATTGACAGTTGGCTTACTCTAGATGCTTTGTGAAGCGTAAAACTAATTAGCGACATATTCGTAAGTGTCGTTGTTCAGGCATGAACATACTGTAGTATGTTTAATAACGTATTCATAATACCCGAAGCAATATAGAGTATTCTACATATAGATGCGTCATATGCCTAACATATGATAGTGTATACTAAATACGCATATAGTGACATTTGTCCCTACGCATAAACATAGGGCGAGCGCAAAGATAAACAAATGTAATATGATCAGCCACTTATGGTCAGACCACAGCTGCGCGGAAGATGCCGCGTACGCACTTTGCCTAAGGTCTATGCCACTTGCCTAATGTTTATGCCATATGCATATAAGTATATACAAGCTATATATATGAAGCTACACAACGGGAGAGCATAGTATGTCTCCCGCTTGGAGCTCCACTCATTACATAATGTACTTAGGCTAAGAGATGAAATACGCATGAGCCAGGGTATAAGAATTCTTGCTCAGACGAATAAAGATCATTACACAACTGAACACCACCACAGTTATTTGTAGTCACACTTGCTCAGACGAATAAAGATCATTACACAACTGAACACCACCACAGTTATATGTATTCACAGTCGTTATAATAATACATAAATTATAATACAGTATACTTATGCTACTGCTTTTAGAGCTTCAATTGGGACAAGACCACTTGATTTTAGAATATTGAAATTGGCAAACTAGGGAACGGCGATAATGTTTCTTTGCACCGAACTTCTTTTATATTCTGAGATTTACTCACATTATCCGTAAAATTGCAAGTCTTGTGAGGTTTTTTAAGAGTTCGTGCCTAAATGAAGCCTGAGTGACGTTCACTGACTACGAATATACTTCGATCTTACTGCTAAAGCACGTAAACTAAGGTAATCTCGATTAATCCGTTGTTGTGTATTGTAATATTGTATTACAAGTTGATTAGATAACGATGAAGGCTTGATACTAAAATTCCAATTTTTTTAGCTGTGAGTATCAAATCATCGCTTGTTAAAAATAAAACCCTTAAGGGTTCATTTAGAGCATTTAAAATTTATAAAGCAATGGTGAGTCACAAATACTATACAACAATTGATTATTGTACCCTTGCATGAATTGGATAGAGTATATTGATTTTGGGCACAATATATCTAGCTGTCTGCCTGACAGCAAGTCGCAAGACCCCGTTTTATAACATCAATAATATTCCTTATTTTCAATAATAGCATAAAGTGCAAAGCATGATATTGAAAGCTTGTACTTTTAATGTTAGTCAAATGTTTAAAGTTAGGAAATAAACTTAACTGGTGAAATACTCAATAAAGCTGATTCGACAACTATTGCCAACCTGGTTTTAAAATATGAAACTATTAACCCATATGATTTCTTCCATGTAATTGCCTTTAACGAATTAACTCAAATTTACTTACTACGTAATCAGCATCGGAGTATGAATCAATTTTCATTAATTATAGGCTTACCAACAATGCCAAAGTAGCCAGTTTATTTTATCACTTCAATAGCTGTGATGAATTAAAATTTGGCATGATACTGTCTTGTGGCACATCACCTAGAGTTCTAAGCTAAATTGTGATATGTTCTACTGTGTGAGGAATATAAGTTTGATATTATCTACTAATATATATTTTTTTGAGTTTATTTAAATATTCGATTTTAAGTTCAATAACTAGATTTAATTGTTTGTGTTTAGATGGCTATGAAACGCCGCATAATAATGAATTTAAGTAAACTGTGAAATTATTCAAATTACTATAACACACCTCATTGCGTATGTAATGGTCCCGTTTCGAAATATTCTTAAAGCGAAATGCATTGGTATGATGGGATCCTTGAAATCGCCATGCATAATGAAATATGTGTCAGGCGTCCAGATACTATCATGATGATGCAAAGCATTTAAGAAATCGTAGTGAGACTTATTGCCATATTGCAAGCGTGGATCGTTCCATTGCTGATTCAGTAGAAACTCCACTTCATATTTCTGCAAAAAATTAGCATTTGAGTATTACATAAAGTATATAAATATAACCCTCCTTCTTACCAAGCTGCTCTCATCGGGTGATGCCAAGCTTAAAAGCAACACATTAACATTAACCGTCAGCGTGCCTATAAAAATAATAAAGTTGGTTAAAAATTTATTGAATATTATTTTAAAAAAATATATATTCGATTTTCTTAATATTTGTGTGAAAGAAGGTGCTAATTATTATAAGATTTAATTTTTGAATAAAATCACAAAAACGAATTTGTTCAATAAATACTAGAAAATTAATATATAAGCTGAATAAATAATATAGTGATAATATAAATAAATTAATTTGTGAAGTGTTTTGTTAAAAAGTTTTCTAGATCTTGTGATTTGTATTTGAGGTTTCACCAACCGCGATTATGTGTTCTCCGTTCGTTATGATTTGTGGCCATGTCGGGCGATTGCAAACCACAGCAAAAGTCCTCATCTGTAAGATTTAATGAACATGATTTACATGCGGCGATTATAATAATATGAGCTAGATCAAGTACACAGCAATTTGAAAGACAAAAAAGTAAAGTATAATATTTTATTAACCTATTTAATGAAATTTTTTCTTAATTTAGAAAACATAAACTTTTTGTCGTTGGGATCTTCCGGCTATTATTCATTTTACAGTGAAATTTCAGCACAAAAATTGAAACTGCGAGATCAGAGTTTAAGGTTTCTTGAAAATGTAAAACAAATTGAAATAAAGATTATAAGGCAATGGAATATTCTTTTTTACGAATAAAACGATTATGTTGAGATTTTCATTAAGCAAGTCTCAATATTTATGCGATATTACGGTTTTCAGAATGCTTTTTTTTTTAATTTGTATACCCTGATCCCATTATAAATGGGAAATCAGCGTATAATTGTTTTTTGCAATTGTATGTAAAAGGCCGAAGAAGGCGTGTCAGATGCCACAAAGTATATATATTCTTGATCAGGACAACAAGCCAAGTCGATTGAGCCCTGTCTGTCTGTCTATCTGTACGTCTGTGTGAGCCCATCGACTAGAATTTTTTTGTTTTAAGTTTGTTTCAATCAATCAATATCTCTTCCCGTATTATTGTTATCGAATAAACATAACCGAAATGTAATTTTTAAATTACATCTCGTACGGCTTAAGAGCCAAAGGCTCAAAATTTTGTATTTTTATATTTAAGTTCAGTTGAAAATAGGGTCAATATGTGAAGGAGTTTGGAATTTTTCTAAGCTGACAATTACTCACATCGAATATGTAGATCATGTGCTCAAAATTTCATTAAAATCAATTAAGTAAAATGGCCAATTTGCAAAAGCACCTGGCAAAAAGCGTGAAGCGTACGCATTTTTATACCCGAATCCCATTGAAAATGAGATCAATATTCAATATTCGATAACTATTCCCGATTTATTGTTATCGATTAAACACATAATCAAAATTCAGTTATTAAATTATATCTCGTACGACTTAAGAGCTGGAACCTCCAAATTTTGTATTAAGTTGTATGTATATTTAATAAATTTTTTATTTTTATTGGATTTTGGATATCGCTTCCAAATTTCCCCAAATTCTTGAAACTTAAGTTCAGTTGAAAATAGAGCTAATATAAGCCAACAGAATATATTGATAGTATGTTGAAAAGTTCATTAAAATCCATTAAGTAAAACATAAGTTATTAAGCAAAACTTTTGACCAATTTACAGAAAAACATGTCAAGGAGCATCAAGCGCACGCATTTACATACATTGCACACATACATTCAAATGTATGTATTCTTTTCTATTTCAAGAATCGAAACTGCGATTAATTATCAGCTGCTACTTAAATTAAAATTTGCAGCGTGTTACTCAAGCAGTGCAGTGGTGGTGTTGGTAGAAGCGGTGCTCGTAGGGGACAATCTCTCGATGTTTTTTTATTGAAGTCGCGGAGTTGATGCGTTGCGAATCGTGGTCTCGTAGTGTCTGTATTTATTTTTTAATTCTCTCTACAAACTACTGAAAATATTATAAAACGCAGATAGGACTGGGATCAGGGTATCTCCTAATCGGACACCCCCGACTAGAACTTTCTTACTTGTTTTTGTAAAAAAGATGTGATCGTTGATAGATCAATTTTAAATTGTTTTGCAACCTAGGTTTTTTATTTCATTATATATGATTCACATTACTCATGCGAACGTTTATTTGACATTTTAACAGAACGAAATAACACTTAAAAAAATCATTAAAGAGAAAACAATGAAGAAAAACGATATAAAGGCTGCAAAAATGTTTGCAAAAAAATTACTGCAGCTTAAATGTCATCAAATTTCGCTTTGCGTTACGAATTATAAGAGGTTTTAAAACTAAATTATAATTTTTGATAAGTCAATATTGTTTACGTGAAACACAATACTTTGAATTAATGAGGCATAAATAGATTTTTTACGAAGTAATGCATTTTTCCAATGGGACAGAAGATTGTAAGAATTATTCAAATTTTCTATTGTATATAATTGAAGACCAGCTGATATATATTGTTGTACACAACTTGTAGATGTAGGTCTCTGCGATAAATACACAGATATTTAATATTTAAAAATTATTAAAAAATTCATTAGGGTAGGTAAAGTTAACATTCATTTTCCTAAAATAAAATAAATAAGCGCAAAGTTCAGGATACTTTGAAGTCGAACTCTCCTAACTAGAGCAATCCGACTTTTTTTTATACCCTGGTCCCGTTTAAAATGAGAAATTAGGGTCTAATTATTGTGTTAAATATATGTAATACCTTGTGCTGGCCGACCCTATAAAGTAAATATATTCTTGATCAGGACAAGCAGAGTCGATGACCGTGTTCCTTTGTCCTTCTGAGTGTCTGTCGACCCGTATGAACCCAGCGATTTTGTAAACCTCAAAATCTGGACTTCAAATATTTGTACTTAGAACAAAAGTTATTCAATATATACTATTATAGCAAAACACATACTACAGTATGCAACCCAAGCACAGTCGCAACGCAAACTTTGTCTGATCTTCTGAACGTAGCGATCCCGTTAGCTACAAAACATTTTAAATATATTTTTATTTTGATTATGAAAGTGCGAGTTCAAATTATTATATAATCGCATGCTGGATACAAGCTATGGAGCATATTTAAAAATGTAGATTACTCCAGGTTCACGATAGGTTCAACTCCGAACCTCACGACTTGACCTTTCTTACTTGTTTCTAAACATATTCAATAACAAATAAAAATATAATCACCATAGTAAATAAGATTGTAAGATGATTATGTGTAGTACAATCATCTTTTTCAATCGCAGATTTTCGCAACTTTTAATAAAAGCATTAAGATCTATTCTTAAGAAATCTTTTCTTAAGCATTGTCACAAGTCATAAATATTGAAAAAGATTTTTACACATAAATGCCCAATTTATATCTTGTTCGGAAACATCAATATATTGTTTTAAATCATGTCTAGAAAGAAACTCAATTACATTCTAGTTTCACGTAAGCTTAGCTTTAGAACCCCATTTATAGTTAGTTGGAAATGTGTGTGTTTGATTCTTAATGGCAAAATTCGTAGAGTTTCTTACCATTGACAGGCGGCAGTAATCGTTTATCATAGCGTTTTTTCTCAAGTAATAAATCCAAAATCTCTTTATCTGAACTGGACTCGTCGAATCTGCATGTAAAGAATTAAATGTAAATTGTTATTAAGCATAGTACGTAATTTTAACTCCATTGTTAGAATTGTTAGAATATTTGAACCACGAAAATTAATTTAATAAGATTGTAGTATCTTTAATAATGATATGAATATAAGCTAGAAGGTAAGGTGCATGCTATTTCAATTATTTTATAAGTCCCCATTATCAAAGCACAAAGGAATGAACAACAAGTAGCTGACTGATTATTTTATATTTTTTATACGGCTTAGTATCAGTTTGTCCATGTGAAATATATATATTGTTTTTTAGCACTTTCAAGTGTAATACATATACATATATATAAAGATTATTAAGTCCCATGAAACCCGGAGAATTGCCATAATTAGTGCCCTTAGCGATCAGTGACAACATAAAAGTCTCAATAAATTCCAACGATATTCAATTAAGTTCTACTTTCAAGTACGTCCGACTATTATATTATAATCTTAATATTACTATTACTATTACTTATATTTCTGAGTTATATTCTTCTGAAGTATCCCAATGTGTTAATAAATGTAGAATTTGTTAAAATAAAATGAAATTAAATTTGCTGATATGATGCGAAGACTTGAATACGCACGATAACGACTTGCAGAAAAAGCTATTTAGCTTTTACAAAATCTGTTTTAGCTTCGATAAATCTAGTTAACTCTTTAATTACCCTAGTGACAGTCAAAGAAATAAACAGTAGTTGCTGTTGAGCAAAACAGTAGGTATGTAAAATTTATTTCGATTATGTTATTTATATTTTCTTAGTTTTCATAATTAGTTAGTAACTATAATTATGTTGTTAGTTACTAATTTTCTATTTTTTTCAAGTGCAAAACTTACTTTGACCAATCGATGCTGTGAATGAAAGAATTTTAGAAGAATGTAAATATAATTATATATTTTGGAGTAAAATGGCTACAGGTAGTACATTGCTATATAAAGATTCAGATATATAAATATATATATATATATATATATATATATATATATATATATATATATATATATATATAGATATATATAGGGTATTTTCAGACTTATAAAGCTAGATATATATATACAGTGACTAAAAGTAATAAGTACCTAATGTCTTCCCAGGCTAATGGTAAAATCACTTACATAGGATGCTTATCGATGGCAACTGTCTCCGATTGTGTGGATGCGGCCGTCGATGGCGTCGTCAGATAGCACAACATCAGTATAACACTGGAAGCCGCATAGAAGCTGAATGATTGGCTATATTGCTTATAATGCTGTGCCAGATACTGATATCCGGCAGCTAAGGTGGTGCTCAGAGTGGATATAATTGCGGCTGACATAGTTACGGGTACTACACCTCTGGCAATATTGCTTATACATAAAGTTAGATAGGTAAATGATCGCTCCATACCTCCATTGTCTACCTTATTCTCTTGTATTTGGCGCCGTAAGCTTTGCTCTTCTGAAGCATTTGCTATGTCAGCCTGAATGTGGCAGGTGGGTATTCCAGCCAGTGATGATTCTGCAGTAATCTCATTACATTTGCCTGAGCAGCTGCCACATCCTCCGGACGACGTATAATTCTGATACCAACGACAGCGTCGGAATCCCCACTGCTCATTTTTTTTAATTTTTTGGCTGTGGCTGTAGCAATTGGAGCAATTTGTTTGCAAAGAGCTTGGCTGCGTCTGAATATTGATTGTAAAAATGGCTTTGCGTGTAGCCAACGCGCCCTTGTTGTCATGCGCTATTTGAAAAAACGATTGTTGTTGTTCCGCTAAAAGCACTTGAACTGCTGCTTTCAAATGCTCAGCGGTTGCTTTTGCCGCTTGAGTTTTATGGCTTTGTTGATAGTTATCCTTGATTTCGATGTCCTCCTCCAACATTGACGTTTTGGCAGAAAAATTGTTATGTATTTCCTTCGTTGTACTGTGCTTGTGCTGATCTCTTGCTGATTTAAAGTCCCAGCCCATGGTATGAGAACTGTAAGTAAATTAATACAGTTGATAAGCTATACAAAACACTACTATTATTAAGAAATTATTTTTCATGTTTTTAATATAAAAATATTTTGTATATTAATTGCATCATGAATGACCTCCCGACATTAAATCTGAATATATCTCTCTTTTTTGGGTCACAAAAAATACATAAATTAGATTGATAGAATTTTTATAGATATGTGTTTTTGTGCCAAACAGTGACAAGCATCTACTAGCACATAGTTTGTTATTTGCGTATAATATATAATTAATTTCAGCACTACTTTAGCCCATCTAAATGCTTTTACTCTTCTCCAGTTTTGTATAAAATCAAACTAATATTGACATTATCAGAAACAAGAAAGAATGCTCTAACCGGGGTATATATGAATGTATTTAAGCAAATAGTTTGTAAATTTAGAAAAATATTGACACATCACCTTGGCATTAAGCATCACCTCTACCAACTCTTAAAAAAGTTGCCCTAAACTAAACTAAATTAGCAACTGAAAATTCAAATCACATTCGCAATTGTAATTCTTCGTAAGAAAAAATTCACGAATTTTAATGTATTTATTCATATGTAATGCAAAAATTGTGTATGCTTGGCGCTGTTTGTCATGTGATGGTGCTAATTGGCCAAACGATTTGTTTCATAACTTAACATAATCTCAGCTTAGTAAATGCAAACTTTTTCACATATTGTATATGTTTTCATTCTAAAGTATTTTGTGAAATATAACAAAAATTGCAAGTATATAAAATACACATAAAACTAAATTCAACGTACAAGATATAATTTAATAATAGCATTTCTGTAAAGGTGTTAGACTATAAGAAAACACGGGAATACTTATCGCTTATTTTAAAAAAGTTCTGACATTTATATGTTCAAACATGACCGAAATGCAGTTATTAAATTATTTACCGCACGGCTTAAGAGCTAGAGCCCCCAAATTTTGTATTTAGTTGTATATATATTTTTTCAAAATTTCCCCTAATCCTTAAAATTTAAGTTGGTAATAGGGCCATTATGTAACGGAGCTTGCATTATTACTAATAAAATAGAATATTAAGTAAAACAGAAGCTATTAAACAAAACATTTTGATCAATTTGCAAAAGCACGTGGCAAGCAGTGCCCACGCTGGGCACTGGGCATTAATTTTTCCTATACATTCAAATGTATGTATTCTTTTTATCCGAAAAATCGAAATTGAATTGTGCTTTAAATGTCAGCTACTACTTAAGTTGAGATTTGCAACTTGTTGCGAAAGCTTCAAAATTATTGAACCTATTTGGAAAATTATTTTACCAATAGAATCCTGTATTATCCCTGATAAACATAGGTAATAGAACATTTTGAAAAGCGTTAGGGTCCGTATGAAAACTTCGATAGGGATGTCAACTGTAACTTAATATTCAAATTCTTAAATTTCTAGCTCTACATTATTGTAATATATAGACTTTTGTGTAGTTTGTATCGAGTATAAAAAAAAAAACAAAAAAATCTACATTACGACACCAAGATACGAACGCGACATTTTTTACGCAACGCGCATCAACTCTACCAACACCGCCACTTCATAATTAAACAAGTAAAAAACCCCTGGTCTGGGTGCTCGACTAGAAGATACCCTGATCCCAGTCCTATCTGAAATTTTCAATATTTTCCGTTGTTTGTATAGAGTATTCAAAGAAAAAAGAAATAAAAGTCGACATGACGCCAAGAACCCACAATTTCTACGCAACGCGCATCAACTCTACACCGCCACTTTATAATTAAAAAATTTAAACAATACAAAATGTTCCATCACTACCAGGCTCGCCCCAGGGATTAACCGCTTACGAGCGCTGCTTCTACCAACGCAGCTACTGCACCGCTTGCCAGAAGCAGTTAAGTAGCAGCTGATAATTCAAGCAGTATTCAATCGCAATTTCGATTCTTCGAATAGAAAAGAATACATGCATTTGAATGCATGTGTGCACACCTATAAGAAAAATGCATGTGCTTGGCGCTGCTTGACATGTGCTTTTGCGAATTGGCCACGCGTTCTGTTTTACTTAATGGATTTTAATGAAATTTTCAGCATATGCTCTACATATTGGCTTGGTAGAGATACAAACGCCTTCACATAATGGCCCTATTTCCAACTGAACTTAAAAGTTTAAGAATTTGTGGAAATTTGGAACAGGTATCAAAAAATCGACCAAAAACCAAAATTGTATAAGCTATACATAAAACTAAGTACAAAATTTGGAGACTCCAGCTCCTTAGGCGTACGAGATATAATTTATGAACTGCATTTTGATTGTTTTTATTCGATAACAATTAAATTGGAATAGTTATCGAATATAAAAAAATTTAAGTCGCTGAGATCGACGCGTTCACACATGCGGACAGACAGACGGACAGGGCTCAATCGACTCGGCTTGTCGTCCTGATTAAAAATGTATATATACTTTATGGGGTTGCCACGCCTCCTTCTACCTTTTGTATACATTTGCACAAAACCATTATACTCTGACTTCCCATTAGCAATGGGATCAGGGTATAAAATGATAACGTATTAAAATTGTATACCGACAATAGATATATATATATATTATTTATTATTACAATTTTTCATATGAGCTTAGGAGCTTAAATAGTTTTTTAGACTCTTAATTTATTTATAATTATTAATATTTATTCAGACATTACATATAAATAATTAACTTATATAGTATTATACTCTAGATTAATTATTAGATATATTTCATAGTTTCAGGCGTACAAACTAACAAAAAGAACTCAAGTATCTCACCGACCAATATATAATATGAAATTTGTCTTCTACTGTTTGACACTATTGAGTTTAGAAAATAAAAAGAGAGGGTATACATCTGTATGAACAAGAAACTGAGATGACATATAATGCCTCGTCCAGGAACTATGCCATGAGTTGTATTTATGAGATAAAGAATATAAATACACAGTATGTTCAATACATAAAAGGACTTTTTTTTTAACTCATGGAACATGTAACGCCATGTAATGAATGTTGAAAACATTGGAAAGGTACAGGTCGCACCTTTCAAGCTCCAACTTCACTCAACTTCATGTAAATCATCTGGCAGGTAAAAATTTGCGCGCTTTTTAATGACAGTATGTTTTGGGCTTGTGTCGTAAAATTTCAATGGAACAAAGAGAAAATACTTAATTTGTTTTAAACTTGGAAAAACATTTGATGTAAAAAGCGTATGGTGATAATTGTTTAGCTCGTTCAAAAGTTCATAAGTGGTTTAACAATTTAAAAATGTACGTGAAGAAACCAAAAAAATACGGTATCAGAATTCCAGAATCTAGGCAATGTTGATCACGCTCTACGATTTCAAGGGTATGTAGACAAGAAACTTGTTCCAGAAGGTCAAACTGTTAATGGAGAATACTATTTACAAGTTTAACATCGTTTGTGGTCAAGAATTGTTCGTGTTAGACAGGAATATCCAGAGAGGAAACAGATATCTTGACTCATGTGACTATTTTCTGTTCCCTAAACTAAAAACTGCCATGAAAGGACCGTTTTAAGATGATATTCTGTAACACAGGTATTAAAGAACATTCCTTTGGATGACATGATAAAGTCTATTCATAAATGAGTTGATCATTCCAAAGGTGTTATAGAGTAAATAGAGACTACTTCGAATAAAAAAAGCCTTTCAAACATATTATTATTTATTGAAAATACTGTGTATGTGCATGGTGGTTTAGTTTGTCATGAAGAACTGAAAATAAATCTAATATCTTCTTATAATATGTATTAAGCGACACCTCCCAGTAACAAAATAAAAAAAAAATTATAAATTTTTCCTTTCATGGAAATTTAGTTATATACAATATGTCAAATGGAAGAAAATTTTAAAAATCAGTTGATGCGCTTTTCGTTGAGTTGAATAAAAGTAAGGAAATTAATAGGAAAGTAGTTTTAAATTCTCTTCCGATTATAGCAATATAAGTTATTTTTTCTCAAAAATATCAAAAATATATTTATGATGGATACAGGACCTACATCGTATTTCTTAGTTTTGCACTCAGTACTTAAGTCCTCTTGCGCAGACAAATATACACACCCTCAATGCAACGTTACTTTCAAACAAGTGGAAGCCTCTTTTTAGCGCACAGGGCACAGAAAACGAGGACAAAGGCGAGACGACAACCATTTAAACTAATCTTCAACCAGTTTATTTATATATTTCGAGAGACACTCATATTAGCAATGCTATCCTCGAATAGTTACATAATACATACAAGCTTATTTAGCCCATAACTACGAGAGGATAAGCGGCTAGCTTACACTTTTCAGAATTTGCTTACACAAAAAAGATGCATGTGCAGGTCTTTTAACATACATATACTTGGTTTGTTTTAAATTGTTTTTGCGTTTTCAATGAATTTTTCCTATACATGCGCATGCGTTACATTCAAATTCGTGCCTCGCAAAACAGCTCTAAGCGTTCAAAGTTTTCCTATACATGTGCAACACTCACAATCAAATGCGTACATTCTCTTCATTCCAAGAATCGCAATTGCGATTAAATTGTGTTTGAATTGTCAGCTGTTACTTTAGTTTAGCTCTGCAACTATTACCGAGGAATTCTGTGTTTAACTTCAGTAAATATAATTATTTAAAATATAATTATTTAAAAATATAATTAAATAAATAACTACAATATTATTATTTATTTATTTATTTATTATTATTTGAAATTTACATTATATATACGTTAATAACTAACTGGGAGAGTAGAAAATTGGGTAAAATTGAATCTAAATCGTAAAGTTTATGCTCTATCAATGCCTCTTAAGAGTGTGGTAAATGAGTATTACGCATTTTTCAGCACTCGAATGTAAAATGATACAAAAAACAACTTGATCAAATTTAGATTTAATAAGAATGAAGGCATTTTTATATAAATATTAGAGAAGTTATATATATGCATAGCAAAGCACATATGTATACATATACATGCATATACGCACGTATAAGTAAGTCACCGCTCTGTATATACGATATATATAGTACTTTTTTCATCCCAGAAACCTACATAGTATGTTTTTGTTTTATTCAGTCTACACTAAAAAATAAAACAAGTTTAAATTTTCATCGCTATAAACGTAATGCGTTTATGCATCAGAAAATGTAACAGGTAAATTAAGGTGTGTCTGATCCCATAAAATCGATATAAATTCAATTTGGCAATTTAAATACGCTGATCTCGCATATAATAAGATTAGGTGGCTACGGTGGTTTTCCTATAGCATACAATATAACATTTATTTTAAATTTGAAATAACTGTCTCGATCATATTAAAGCTCTTTCGCACTAAAAGAAATAGAAACATCGAAAAGATTATACTAATGATGACCCAAGTTACGGGGTTTCAGATGTTACTGGTTGTACCCAGAATCCATTGAAAACTAGAATTCAAAATAATATGAACTTGTAAAATAAAAGACGTGTCAAACGGCATAAAAATATCTATGTGTCTGACTGAGAAACCTTGCCATAGAATATGTAGATCATACAGTGGACAATTTTTAAATCCGTTAAGTAACTCGAAAATTATTAAGCAAAACATTTGGTCAATTAGCAATAACACGGGGTCAAGCGTACGTAATTTTCCTGAATTCTTTTGCATTCAATTGCAATTAAATTGTCAGTTGCTTTTTTAGTTAAGACTTGCAACTTCTAGCCCAAACAGTGAAATAGCGTTGTTGGATACCAATTCCTTCAGATACTCTATCTGAAGGAATTGGTATCCAACATATCCTTCCCTCCGGCATCCCCACTTATAATATACATATACTATTTCTGATATCATACTTTTCTACAAACGAACATAGCAGCATACACTCAATTATTAATACTGTTCAAAACAGTATGTATTTTATAAAGACGGTATATATTTGTTGCGACTACTAAATTATTGAAATGCATAGAATTCTTGAATAGCAAAAAGGAAGTCTGCAAATATGCAACAAATTTTCCGCGTTTGTAAGCTCAAAGCACATCAAATGCTCTTAAAATTTTTGCTGAGCAGGCACAGGCAATGTGACACGCAATGTGAGCTAAATTAGGCTGACTCATAACGCAGTCCATTCGACAAAAGTAGTTTCAACGATTTGACTGGCTGACTGGCTGATTGGCTGACTGACTCGTACCTGGCTAGGTCTCTACACATCGCTTGTGGCTTTTAGTTCATTGCGTGTAGCTTGGTATTAACGTAATGTGGGTCACCAGTAAGTTACGCCTTGTATAGTTAGTAGCCCTGCCTAGCCAAAATTCTCAGTTAGACCATGTAATGAGTTGGCTTTTGAATTCCCTACAATACTACTGTAGCGTTTTTTTCTCATTGAGTACACTTCACTTCACTAAACTTTATGTACTTTCAAGGCTGACATCCAAAACATTTTTAAATAATCTGCGAAGAGTTCATATTCTTTTATATAGTTTACAAGCAACACATTCTTCGAGATGTTTATATGTTTGCTTTTAATCCGTTTTCCAAACTCTCAATTGTACAAAATCTATGTATACATCTCCGGATCTTGCAGAATATGTTACCATCGTTTGAGTTATTTAAGCTACGCTTAAAAAAGAAATCAGTTATTCAGTTTTCATTGATAACAACGAAATACGTTCATACAGACGGACATGACTAGACCACCACAGCTCGTCGTTCCAATCAAGAATATAAATTTTAAGATTAAATACTTGAATATTGGTTTAAATATATATAAGATCACTAGTTAGGAAACCTCTTTTGTTTAGATTGGAGCATATAGTTAAAGAGTTAATCTAATTAATACGTTTTACATAGTATTGAATTAAAACATCATAACAATCCAATGTGTTGTAAGTGTATTTCATTATTGGCACGGTTTCTTGCTTAGTTTATTGCGAATGATGCAAATTATAAATATATTTTTAGGTTCGGTGAGGCATAATACACATACATAATGTTAACGCATATATAAATCTGTTAAAGATTGTACAATTGACAAGTAAATAAAATAAATTGCCCTCTATTATTTTTTTATCGAACGTTTATCAAAGGGAGTAGAATGCCAACCGAAAAGGTCCATTGAAAATCATGAATTGTATTAATTTATGTTTAGTATTCAAATCACTTGGTAATAGTGTTGTTAATTAAAGTTATTGTTTTTTTGATGTTCTGTTTGATCTTTTTAGTCTATTTGACAATATTTCAAATCGTTTAATTTGCGGTATTTCACTTTTCGGTATTTTGAAATTTTCCCAACAACTATTTTGTCGGTGCTTACGATGGCTGCTCAAAATTTTAGCTATTTCGTATTTGTAATATAATTCTTGTTGTTTTTGCAGATAATGTAGTAGACGTTGTCGTTATAGTTGATGAGGTGTTCGCCTGGCCCCTGCTTTTCAGACTGCACCTTGACACTCATATTAACAAATAAAAAAAAAGTACATCTAAAAATAAAAATTGCGCGACGGCAATGAAAATTGATTTATAAGAGGGTTGTTCGTTGTCTATGGTGGACTTCAATACACGGTAATTATTTTATTTATATTTAAGTGATTTATAAGTAATAATCAGAAACTTTACAATATATAAGTTTCATTCATAATAAACTTATCAGTAAACTTTATTGCATTATAAAATTTAGGATTATAATATTGATTTAAAAATCAATTAATTGCTTTTATTTGCGTTTTGGTTTTAAAAACAATTGTATTTCTTTATTATTATCACATTGTTATATGTATATATCAATGAATGTTGATTAATAGAAAAAACTTCACTTTTTGTTGCCAGGGTTCTATACCGAAATACACTTTACATAATTCTATGACAGCATTCGTACGTAACAACAAAATCAAATAACCCAACTTTAGAGCAAACTTTAGCAATTCAAAACACAAGAAAATTTTTTAATTATTTAGTTGATTCGATTTTTCTTAAATAATTTCTTTACACTTTGTAAGGCTTCGATAAAACATTTAAATTTACATATACATGTCGTACATGTATGAATACACATTATATATGGCTAACGTGTCGTATTTTGTTAATTTTAAATTATTCCGTTGATCCGATTTTTGCATTAAATAATTTATTTACACTTTGTAAGGCTTCGGCTAAACATCTAAGCTTATATATACATGTTGTACATGTATGCTTATAAATTATATATGTCTACCGTGTCTTATTTTGTTGATATCCTTTAAATTAACTCTCTTATAAAGTATTCCGCGTGGAAGGAGAGAAAGAGAGTTTTATTGCGCTTATTGTTTTGACTACTGTGTTAACAGTTGAATGTTAATACCATATATCACTAAAATTTTGTGTCCGTTTTGCAGTGCTGTTGTGTTGCTAACTCGACCCGAACTGAGAGTCAAATTGGCAAAAATTTTCATTTAATGCAGCTGCCACACGCATTAATTTCGGAGAACCAGACACGGCGAACTTAGCTCCCTCTCTTAGTCAGACTTCGGCAACTAATTTTTACTCTAAAGCTCAGAGCAGGTCCTCTCGCCAAGCTTTGCAATAAAAGCTTTGTATTATATTTGATTTTCATGAAGTGCATACGCTCTCTTATTTGAGGAAAACGTTGCCTCTATTTTTTATCTGCTCTCTTTGTGGAAAACAGCCGATTTGCGTATGTAGCTACCTTCCCCAATATTTAATTGGTGCTCTACAATGAAACATGGCAACAAATGACGTAATTTTTTAATGGTGCTTCATTATCGTATCACAGAACAAAGCATTAAGCTTTAAATATAAAAGAAAACCCACCATACTTACGCTTCTGTTTCAACAATTTAAACACACTTTACATTATCGGTCCAAAAATGAATTGGTATTTTTAAGGCACACAACAAAAAAACACAACCCTTTTTACTTTCCCTTAATGCATTATTTACAACATCGCAGCCTGATATCCAATCATATCCCATTTATAAAACATACTGAAGTTTGCAAGCATCAAGCTTAGTCTTTTACATAAGATCATAATATTTGACCGAGCATAATATTCGGTCTCCAAGAAAAGCTTTAAAACTGAAAAACATCTTCATATTTGGACGGACATATGATTATCTATATCGATTCGGATATTTCTAGTGAATTTGTGATTGCTTATATCGTTATTCTAATCTAACATTAAGAAAAAGAATACTGTTGAATGCAAAAAAGTTCTTAACATTCTCATGCATAGTTCCGAAAATAAAGAAAGTCGTAAAGGTCCACCATAATTTTGACTTTGTGACATTTACACCGCAACCACAAGGCTGTCCAAATTTATTCTGTAATTTAATATATACATTTACATATTATTTGTCTGGGAGTCCTTGTTTACCAGTCTTCATAAAATTTTAAGATGTTTACTAGAACATTTTACAAACTTATCTATATTTGGTTACTTCTTTACCCAATTAAATAAACATATACATTATGTTGAAATTTAATTTACCTAATTATATTAATTTATCTAAGTAACAATTGTTAAAAAAAAAGAAATACAGCTCTCATTATTTGTATTTTCAGTTCAGTTTTAAACTTATTGGATTTGCCATATCGAATTAGTGCTTTCGGTCGACTTTATTCATTATCTCTTATTCTTTCTCCATATAGAAAGAAAATATATATATGATACAAAAAGTATGCTAAACCGCATAAATAACCTCAAAAAATCAAAAGGGCTGTGGACCCGTTAGTAAAAAAAACTTAATAAAAATATTTGTTGAAAAATATTTGCAGTGCAAAACTGTAACATTTGACTTTTTTTACTCTTTGCTATTGTATTTCTCTTATGGCTAATCAATTCAGATAAAAGAGCCAAATATTTCACTAACAAAACAAGACTATGATCATAATGATGCATAAAGTAGAAAAGATAATACAGACCGTTGAAGTGAGAACATTGCTCGTCAGTGTATGTATATGCATTAAAGTTTTGGATTTCAATAAAAGAGGATGGAGAGTGAACTATATTTTTTTTCCACTTTAACATTTATAATGAATTGACAATGCTTAAACACTAAGTCAAAATCGGTAAGGTCAAGTAATAACTTAAAATTTGTCTGGTACAAAAGAAATGTCAACTGTTGTATTGACAACTTCAGCACTAACGAGTAAGAAAGCTCTAGTCGGAGTGCCCAACTAGGAGTTTTCCTAGTTATTTCCTATTAAAAGAAAAACAAAAATAAAGTCGTTACATTACGACACCATGATTCCATCCAACCAACCCAAAACTTCTCGGCAACGAACACTGCCTAACTTACTTACACCGTCACAGCCTTGCTTTTGCAATAATAATAACAATTCAAACATTATTCCAAAGCAATTTCGATTTTTCGAATAGTAAAGAATGTATAGGAAAAATGCACACGTTTGCTGCTGCTTGCCACGTACATTTGCAAATTGGTAAAACGGTCTATTTAATAACTTCGATTTTACTTAATGGATTTTAATGAAACTTTTAGCACATGATCAACATGGAGTAATTGTCCGCCTAGAAAAAATGATACTGAAATACTGAGCTTAAATTTAAGAATTTTGGGGAAATTGGTATCAAAACAAAAAAAACAAAAATAAAAACTGTAAAAAATATAAATATAAATATAAAATTTGTGGGCTCTAGCTTTTAAGCTATACAAGATATAATTTAATAACTGAATTTTTAATCAATAATAATAAAAATGGGAATAGTTATCGATTTTTAAAAACAGACTTGATATGTGCGTACTATAGACGTATAAAATAAATATAGACCTATAAAAAATTTTAGTCCTCGCTCTGATTCTGAGATTGACGCGTTCAAGCATACAGACAGACGTAATGAGCTTAATCGACTCGGCTTGTCGTCCTGATACTTTTTCAATGTGATCAGGGCATTATAAAAACACAAAATATTAAGTAAATTACAATTGGCGAGTAAAAGCAAAATCCTTAATCTAAAATAAAACTCAAACAGTTTTGTTTATAATGCTTGTTCTGTAATCCTGTTTGACATGACATTGTAGGAGGGAAATCTATATAGGGTATCTTCACTAAAGTAAAACAAAGTTCATGGAAGGGTTGGCTAAAGACAGCGTGAGACAATCATAATTGGTGAAACAGATTTGACTTGCTTGGACTGTCTATCGCAACCGTGAGTGCTGAGAAAAATAAATCTCTTCTTCTTCATCTGGATCTCAACCGAGAAACCTAGAAGAGTTTGTTATAGGAAAAAACATCTTCCCTCACAATTTCTGCTCGCTTTTTTATTGCTTTGGAAAAAGACAGAACTTAATTTGGATTTGGAAAGACTTCTCCATATAATTCCAGAATATTGCATATTCGACTAAGATCGGATACCAATTCTGACTATCCCTGCATGGTATTCTTTAACTGAAAGAACTCTGGTAGGAAACTACTAAATTGCGTGTTGATAGTTTGTTCTTAGTACTCCCTTAAGTTAGCTATTTTCTGGAACTCGGAGACATCCCGCATGAGCATTCCCTTGCCGAATAAATGTCTATGCTTATTCTAATAGCCCATTCTTAAGCATTATCTAGATTTAGTTACAATAGCTCAAAAATTAATACGATTTACGAACGGTTTTACGAATATTTCGATTAATAGATGTTAGTCAGAGTCCGAGTCAAGCTTAAGCCACGCATCCTAGGTGTTTCTATGTGTTTCTTTTAGTCCTTGGTACAGAACCAAGACTAGGTATATGTTTATGTGGTTATTGTAAGCTTCTAGTACAGAAACGAAGAAATAGTAATTGAACCAGGTGGACAACGGAGATAAGTAGAATTAAGTGAAAGACGAGACACGGTGCTCTATTTTCAATTGATTTATTCGTACTGATTTATTTCGCAAATGTTTTATATGCAGTTTCTTAGGTTCTAAGGGTCAATAATGATTTATGACATCAGATTACATGCCTCTTTTATCTATTTTTACCGAAATAAACAAAAGGTTTTATTACGGTCAAGAGGTTATCTTAAAACTGATACATATATATATGTATATAGCGTAATGATGGGTTATTTGCTTGCCATCTGTTCAAGCTGATAACCCTTATTCCTGCTATCTTCTTTTATGTAGGGTGAGTTCTGTAGAGCGTTATACTTGGGAAGACATGAAGTCGAACACAAGGGTTACTTGAGGTGACCCTACTCGAGGTTCGTTAATCGAATCATCGACGATCGCAGCCGATGGATTATAACGTGATTCAAAACATATATAAGCAAACGGTCACTTGAGTCAGATAAACCGATAGTACGATGCGTGGTTCCCACTCAACAGATGCTTTGGCATGGAATTTTCGGAGGAATATTGATATTATGCAAAAGTGATTAGTCCAATTTGATGGTTCATCTGAAGGATTAGGAGTCCATAAATTTATCTCTAGCATTAAATCATTGACAGATGAAACCGTATACAGTGACTTTACAGGCATGTGCAAGAATATGCATGTTATCTATTTTAGTTTAGTGTTTAGTGGAAAAGATCCATTATGGTCAGACATTTGTTCATCCCTCTGTCAACAATATGACGACTATAGCTCAAATTTTATGAACATGGAGATGATCAGAGCATGTAAGCAAAAAGTAAGACAATATTTTTATTTTTTTTTAATCAGATGTAGCCTCCCTTATAGATAAATCTTCCCTTAAGATGAGGGAAGAAGAGTTTATGGAAATTTGAAAAATAATTTACGCCCGGAAACTCAGGAGAAACTAGTATACCAGCCAGTGCATTCAGTAGGAGATTTTTGCCAATTAGTATAAATGAGCGAAAATTTGTCATATGAAAATAGCTGTCGTTTTAATCAGGGAAAGTCTAAGCAGACAGTGAAACATAGATGCTATATGAGTAGCATGAGATGATGTAAAAGAAGATGACCACTACGAAGTGCCAAACTTGCATTCAACCACGCCTCTAATTCGTTTTCATCCTTACGAAGAACGGTTATAAAATTACAAAGAAGTCCGAAATGTAATAATTCAGGATATTTCACCTCGAAATAAACGAAGCGGACTCTCAGATTAAAAAAATATTTTGCCGAGATTACGAAGAACCGATTTTTAATAACGCAACAGATCTTCGTAATTATGGCTAAGTTTTGTTATGTTGGACAAAGGAGCAAATATAAGTTGCATAGGCTCGAAGTTAGATACAAAAGATTTATCAAATTTATATTTATGCTTCAATTGGATGTGATTAAACCTAGTAAAGCTGAATAAAGTTAGTTTGTGCTTAGATGCACATAGACTTAATGCACCTACAAAAAAGATGCATATCCGTTGCCTAGCATTGATGGAATTTTTTCTCGATTACCTAGAGCAAACATTATTTCCAAATTAAACCTAAACGATGTTTTTTGGCAAATTCAACTCACTAAGC